GCTCGCATCTCCGAGGATCCTTCGATGCCTGGAGGATGGGCGCCGAAAACATCTGGGTCAAACTTAAAATGGAATAGATCCAATATATAAATTATGATATTATTACTATATTATTAATATTGTTACTACTATTGCTACTAATTTATGTAAAAGTACTATGATTGTTAGTACTATTGCTATATTATTACCATTATGCACCCACATTTAGGAATATATATATATTATCATATATGTATCTAGCAATAGATTTAGTAATATATATATATACACTAAATACTACAAAATGTGGGTTTCGAGTGCGGGGTAGTTAAGGGAGCATTAACCAGATCCTTATAATTAGGCAAAACATTTTTTAGCTGTGGATAGGAAGATATGATACTCAGCTAGAGAGTATGTGATTTGAAGGGTATCGAAGATAAAGGATGGCTGGAAGAGCGCAAAAACATCCAGGAAAACGCACCATGAATCCGCTTTGTCGGGGCAAGGTTTGACAATTGCTGTGTGCAGCTATGCAATGTTCAAACTCCACTGAGGGGATAAGAGATAGCATATCTGCAAGGGGCCCTGGCGAATCGTAGTCAAAATCCGGGTGGTGCCGTTCCACTTGAGGAGCTGGCATCGACGGAATTTACCAGTCGGGGACGAGCTGCCCAGGAGAACTAATGCATGGAGAGTAGCCAGGGGGATACCCTCTGGTAATGACTAACATAGCAATTGAAAATGACCATTTATAGTGGATTTTCCCATTAAAAATTGTGATTTTCCATAGTTATGTTAGTTTACCAGAGGGTAAATGACAAATCTAACAAGCCGACCTCAGCGCTGGTGACTATGGTGACTAGAATGGGAGATCATCCCCAAAGTAGGAAGTACAGCTGGACTTGTTACAGCTGTGCTTTGCCGACGGAGGAAGGGTTTGGCAATGGATAGCTCATCCAATGCTTACTGTAAATTGGGCTGTTTAACTGGCGGGGATCCCTTTAGTAGCAGATTCCAGTATTTCTTGTGGGGTGCAAAGGAGAATCAACCAACTAGGGTTTCTCAATCGGGGTTGACATTGCTTAAAACCGCGTTTTGGCAATGCAATGCACATTGCATCTGTTTTTTGTATGAAGGCGTTGATGCTTTAGTGAAGGGAGCGCTCAAAAAGCAACGTACCATAAAGATTGAATGCCTTCCCATCGGTTGAGTCTAAATATCCCCAGGTGGGGAACGGCATGCGTCTTAAATCCTTTGGCCTGTTGATGCATGTTGACACCAGAAAGCCTAGAGAAAGCATGCCAAAGCATGCTAAAGCGGGAGCTACTTGAGTCAAATTGATTTGAATCAATGCATATCAATGCTTTGGCTGAAGCTATCCGTCTATGGACTGCAAACGCGTGCTCTGGCTCGACACATTTTCTCACACGTCATGGATTTGCTCCTTCCTGAATCCTCGGAAATTGCAGCATTCCCGGGCCACCGGGCAGGATTCTTTCGAGAAGATGCACTGCAGCATCGCTTCAAGGCTGGGTATATAATGGTATATACCTCCCAGCAGCATCAGGTAGAGCTCAGCCCCAGCCATTTGAGTCCCAATCGATGTTTAAAAAAACACAGTGCCGAAGAGTTCGATACCACCCGGCATGCAATGTGTCAATGGGAATTTCAGTACCAAATGGAGGTACTGTACTATGTAAAGCCAGATTTTGAGGGCATATCCCCTGGATTAGCCCTTACATGGTAGGTACCTCCAACGTAGATGATGTGCAAAGCAGCACTAGTGGGTGCGGTGCAGCAACACGTGCAGGACTTCGTACTGCGTTCCTCGCGTGGCGTCGCAAGGTTGGGCCATTTCACAAGATCAAACTCCAACGATGGAAAGAGCCGAAGACAGCCAATGTTGGGCGATCTGTGAGGCTCAATTCCGCTGGCGTGCAGTTCATAGCATGGAGGTTGGAACCCTTGGGTGGCTGATGTCCAAATTGCAAGTGAAAAGTGAGATGTCCAGCGGCCATTCAAATTGTGGACCCAACATGACCCAACAAGATTCCATGGGCATCTGAAATCATCTAAGAATCCTGAGACCACGCTGCGAGACCGCAGTGTCTCTGTGAGATGTTGTCCAAACATGTTCAAAACATAGATTTCTTTGACAATTGATGGGAATGGGTTTTCACCAATTTTTGCAACATTTTATGTGTTTTCATGGAGGGTACCTCGCCACTCGCGACCCGAAATTCACCCGAAACCCGCGGGCCACGGAAGGTGGCTCGAGCATTTCACTCTTGGCACTTCTACGCCATGGGATTTCGCCGACCTGCCGGGGAACTCAGCGGCTGGGCGAGCTGGAGCAGTCGCCCCCTTCTAAAATGGGGTTGTCTGAATCCAGGGAGCTACCTAAATTGGCAATTCTCTTATGGCGAACATCATGTGAAAAACCAGTGGATTTTGGCAAACCGATCTTGTCAGACACAACCAAATAGCAAGGTTTCAGGGAACCAGGAGATGGCTATGTGGCGATGTTTTAACCAGCCCTTCCAGCATTTCCCAAGGTCTCTGGTGAGGTCCGAGAACTGGTGAGGTCCGATGGTTGGACTTGTCAGATTTGTGTTGGGGGATGGGCTGCCGAAAAAAACAAGAATCAAGTGGGAAAATGATGACAAACCACTGGCAGACACTGGCCGTATACCCCATTTTCAGAGAACTTCGGGCAAAATGCTTGGTGTTAAGCACAGATTTGGGTTTCACAAGCCGACTCTTTTGGGGATGCCCTGAATTTTGACCCACCAAAATTTCACCTCGGAGCACAGCTCAGGGCAGCGGAGTCTGTGGAACGACCAGAGGTGGGTGGGACATGCTGGGCATCTAAGAGACTCTAGAGGATAGAAACATGGGCCTCAGCCTCCAGCTACTATGTACCCTCTGGTAATGACTAACATAGCTATTGAAAATGGCCATTTATAGTGGATTTTCCCATTAAAAATGGTGATTTTCCATAGTTATGTTAAATTACCAGAGGGTAAGTTGTATAAATGATTCTACAGTAAACGGACTGCATGCCGATACATCTGATAAACCACTTTGGTAGCCATGTTAGCAACCCCTGATATTTACCCAGACATTTGCCAGTTGTCCCAAATTTTTGGTTGGCCCTACACTTGCAGTAGCGATTCCACCAATCACTGGCAAGTTTAAACCAGTCGCCAATTGGAGTGAAGAAATCACTTTCGAACTTATACACATACTTCACTGGTTGGTGGATTGGAACATTTTTTATTTGTCCATATATTGGGAATAGTAACCCCAACTGACTTTCATCATACTTCTATCCTGCTAAAATTTAAATACCCAATCAGAGCCCCCAAAATGAACGGATCCAAACACAAAAACTATGGTGTACAATTGCGAGGCTGGTATTTAAGATTTTTTTTAGCTCGTATATGAAATAGAATTGCATTGATTACTATTGAACAGTTAGGGCTAGGGTTTATAGTTGAGAGGGTGGTACTTAATATTAAGTTATAGTCATAACTGGTTGATCAAATATTATTAGGGCTCTTTTTGGATGGTATTACTGTATTGTAATAGAGTATTAGGGGGAAGGGTTATACCCATAGCTGGCGCCCTGACACAGGGACTCGCTGCACAGCTTGCCTTGGCCGCTAGCTTTCTGGCTTGGACATGTGCGGGGTGCCAGTGGCAGGTGATGCGATTTGGGGAGATGTGGGTTATGTTCTCTGAAAATGGGCATTAACACCTCCAAATACCCATTTTCATTTCCATTTTCATTTTTCAAATATGTTGCTCAATGAAGATGAGATGGGTTTGTGTCAAAAAGGGGGTACTAGTGCTGTACCCCTGGAATCTCTATTATTTACATTACAGATTTGATGATTTTGGATGCACCTAATAGTTGGAGAAACCGCAGCCTGATCCAAAATGCCTCTGCCTCAGATGCAGCCGGTGGTGGAGCCATTCTGGATTTGCACCGCTTAGTCTGGATCCTTAAGTCGCAATGGTTTCCCCTGGTCGTCCCTGTCCAAACAAACGGAAAGGATGTCTCAGGGCGAGGATACACTAGAAATCATTGGACATTCGGGCAGGGATGGGATATCATTGATATCATCAAATGGAAGGAAAGCGTTGGTACCCGCAAGAACAGCAGATCAAGTGAGGCAGATCTATCCAAAATCCGATGCCAATCCCCAGACTCCCCAGGTCCGAATGATATAGACAGTGAACCCCCAAGGTTTCCGATGTCCCTGAGAAATGAATCATTGATATCTAAATATATAAACAGCTTTCCATATATATATATATACACATAAATACATGGTTTCCCATATAGATGGTGGGTTTTCTATATGTTACTGTGTCGGGGATGGTTATATGTTACTCCCAGATACGACATCGACGAGAGATGCGGCAGAAAATGGCCGGGAAGCCAGGGATGACCGAAATCTGCCAGCCATGTGTCGACGTGGGGATGATATGGATGATATATATGATATGGATGGATATGGATCAGAACACACTAGAACTGATGAATAGATGGTCATCCACCTGGCAAAACCATGGAGGGGCAGGTAGAACACCAGTGATCAGTGGAAGTGGTCTCACGGTTGACATTGCTTTTTGGTATTTGCTTCATTTATGGGTTGATCATTGGCCATAAAGGAAGACAGCTGAAGATATAAAGATACCTGGAAGATGTTTGCATAAATATGCACACGATATCACGGTTCTATATATGACTATATATATAATATATTATATATGTATATATATGTATATATATACACATATCTAATCGTCACACACACACAAATATGTATATATATATATACACATACACATACACACGTACACATTGTACATATAGACTCGACACATTACATACACAACATATGATGCCCCACCAAGAATCACGTTTTTGCTCGGCTGTCAGCTTCATAGGATCAAAGGCCAACGAGCCTGATCTCGTTGTGCCCAAATAGGGGCACAGCGTGACGGCGGCCATGTGGTGGTCCTGCTTGGCGTTGCTTCCATTTGCGGTGGCATGTCCAGAAGGCCAGGGGAGGTCAAACTTGGGTCATTTGTTTTGGCTCCCGAAACAAGCAAGAGGACAGTGTGGATCAAAGTTGGAGGCCCCACAAAACCCAACAAATGGATCTATTTTGCGACCTGATTTGCAGGCAATTCCTACTTTTCAGCCCAGCAAATTGTTTGAGCCAGGCTTCCGAGAATTCAAGGAAGGATGCTATATGTTTACTGAGGCGCGGGCAAGGGTGGGAGGCTCATGAGGTTGATTGTTGAATTCACAACATGACCAGTCATCTGTGGTCCTTCTTACTTCCTTAGTGGTCACCATGGCCCATCATGTTTTCAACAAGTGAGTCCCTTTGGAGCAAACTTCCAGGTTGGCAAGGTTTGGTGCGGACAACATTTGGAAGAATGGTTAGTTGTGTGTTTGACACATGGCCAATTGGCATGGAAAATGATCTCAGATCCTTTCTTGGTGCATACACTTGCACAAGGCACACAGTTGCTAACACAAAATACATCTGCGGGAATCAAACAATGGCTTGCTGGAAAATCCTCCACTTATAGGTGTTTTTACCATATGAACCTCCATTTCTAGGGGACTTTCCGTTGCCACCTTACCAGAGGGTCCATCTCCGGATTCCAACGCCATTCCGCAGGAGCAAGGAAGCATGACGCAATGTCGCTCGCCTTCAAAGGGTGCTAATGGAGACAGTTGGACGTTTCATCAACAGGAATGGATTGTACCCAGGATAGAGGAGGATGTGGCTCAACATGATTTCCACGATGAATTCGTGGCCCCACGCATTTTATGGTCAGCCATTCGTGAGCACAGACATGACATTTCAACCGCATAAAATGGAGCCGTATCCATTTCATCCTAGCATTTTCTGGTTGGTTTCAGTGACCCATGTCTTAGGATGGGCCACGGTTTTCCCAACCAGTTGAGTACCCATAGTAATGTCCTTTTCCCAATTGTGTGTCGGCCATTGGTGGGACAATCATTTTTGGCAGCGATAGACAAATGATCAAATGATGATAGTCACCACCCAAGCTTACATTTCCCCTTTGAGGACATCACGGGGTTCAAACCCCATACTTGTTGAGCAAACTATTCCTGCTTCTTTTGCTTGGTTCCAGCATTTGCCGGTTCGATCCATGTTTTTCCTAGTGATATCGTTTTTTGGTTGGTCACAGTCGACCCCCATTTCAATTGTTTATATGAATCCCTGAGGATATCATTGGGTTCAATCCCCATAGTCCTATCCCATGGTGACCCCCCATTTTGGGCTGGTAAAAACCACCCAATTTTTGTTGCTGAAGTCAGAGTGAAGTCCTCACACATTTTGTTGGGTTTTAAACCCAATTACACCGGCAATCAAACGTGGCTTGAACCATTTACAGATGATTTTCCCAGCTATTAAACCTCCATTTAGTTCGGATTTCCCAGCTAGCCACGTTTGATTGGCTGAGGGTAAATAGACTTATCAATAAGAATGACCACTCATTGTGGAAATAAAGTCATAGACATCATAGACGTAGATAAATCTGTCACAAATAATGTTAGTAAAGCAATAGTAAACCATCCCCCAAATCACCATTTTTATGGGTATTATAAAACCATCAATCCATATGGGTGGTTTATGACATTGCTTTACTAACCTGAGCCATGAGTTTTGAAGAAAACTATGTTTCATAGAAATCCATATCTTTGACCTACCATCCCAACTAACATTTGTAGGGAATCCTCGTATTTCAACCGAGGTCAGGACCGCATCTGCACCTCAAAGGGCGCGACCTTGGCCGTGGTGCATGACGTAGAGGTGGCTGGTTTCCATAAACGCGGGTACCCACCCACAAATTGATGGTTTATAATGGAAAATCCCAAGTGGATGATTTAGGGGCACCCCTATTCTAGAACCCATATGGCTGAATTTTGATATGGGATAGTTGATGGGATACATTCAAGCAACTTGATATGAGATTTGTGTGGACCTGAACATGTTCCCGCGGGGGGTTACCTCCAATTTATGGCCAAATAACAGGAAAATGGTGCTTAACCGGTGAGATGGGCAGCTTATTTTCAGATCAACCAATTTCAGGGTCCAAAGATGCGAAGAAAAGTGCAATTTTGCCTTGGAAAATGGTGATTTCACCGGGAACAGTTAGCTGGGGATTTCTTGCTGTAAAATGAAAAGATAACAGAAAGATAACAGAAAGATGTTTGGATTTAAGCAGGCATAGTGATGAATTCCAACAACATGTTGTAATATGTTGTAATAGTGTAACATATTTTATGATATATTTGCACAGATATCTATCCAAACATGTTGCCTGAAAAGCCCCAAAACAAGGAAACTGGGCTCAAATTCGGACCGATACTGTCCGACAGGACACGATTTGACAATACGCTGATGGCTCCATGGGTATGCGGTATACAGCGGAATATACAGCAGGTTGTGTGGGACATGATTTCGGGATTGTCATGGGTCTCGACACTTGACACTTAGTTGCCATTTGTTTCAACGACACTGTTATGATCTGGGCATGGCTCGAAAATTATATACCAAGCATGGATGGTTGGATGGCTCGCTGGTTAGATGGCTAGATACTAAAAAACTGGATGGTTAGATACACATCTGTAACCCCCCAAAACTGGATCGTTATCCTCAAAATGACCAGCCATTGGACTTGAGCCATGCGATACCGCCGCTGAGGTTCAATTCTTCCTGTCAAACTTGACCCACGAGTACCAGGAGGGGCGCGCATACAGCAATTGTTTTATAGGTAGACTTGTAACATGCGGGGTTTCATCGGGGTGTCTCACAACCTAAAACCACTCAACAGAAAAGGTGTCCGACATTGGAAATGGTGGTTCAACCTACATCTGGAGGGGATATGACTCGGACATTGCCAATTGGGGGAGGGGCCTTTTCCACACTCCGGGCGATCACCTTTGGAGCCCATTTGTCTACAAAGTGATGCCCCCCAGCTGCAAATTGTTCTAACAACCAATCTTGGTATAGCCAAATAAGGCCAAACATAGCCACACATAGCTACATGAATCTCGTTTTATCATGTGTTATCCATCATGAATCCTGCTCAAACCTACTTCTAAATATCCCTCCCATTGGACATCGGCTGCCGGGCGTGGTTGAAAAAGGCGCCAGCCTTTCTGGGGCTATTCGAACGGGGCAGCAACGAAAGTGGCGACTGGACCTGGATCGATGGAAGCAATATGACCTTTGAGACTGATGCTTGGATGAAAATGACATTTACATATATACATGATATATATATAAGCTATAATATTATAATATATATATATATTTACATAATCCATATATATATAATATACTTTAATATAAACAATACATACATATATATATATATACATACAATATAATATGATATAATATAATATGATATAATATAATATGATATAATATAATATGATATGATATAATATAATATAATATAATATAATGTGATATAATATAATATGATATATCTCGGACTGTTGTGTGGCAACTGGGCACAGCAAAGCAGCAGTGCCGCAGCCGCCTCGGACAGGTCTATGCGATCGGTCTCGCCACATCAGCTGCCTTGCGCGTTTGATGTGGGAAAAAACCACTACAGTTGCGGCTCATGTCAGCCGCAACTGAAGGTGGGATTGAAATCAAAACTCCGTCAACAGGAACAATGATGCCAGCGCATTGCCTGTTCAAACCAACACAAAGATAATCTGTCAATCCCAAGGCCTTGAGTCCACGTGTGAGACCCTGGCGCACCTTCTGTGCCACAAATGCCAATGTTGGCCGCACAAATAAATCCTGGGCAGTTTTGCAAATCCATTGACCATCTTTGGTTCTCTCAACAGGAAACTGTGCGTTGAGAATTTGTACAATCCAAAGAGCCAACTCTAAGAAACTGACTGCCACAAAATTATGTTGCATCGGCTCCTCAGCGATGCAAATTTGAATCAAACTGGAAACGAATTCAGCCGGCAGTGCTAGAGACTCACTGCGCAATCTCAGTTGATGCTGCCAGTCAACCGAAAGAGCATCACCCAGTGGAACGTCTGAGATCTTCTGAATCCAAATGTCGGATTCATCCGTCAAATCAATCACTTCCAGTGGTTCGATCTTCTGTTCCGCGATTTTCAAGTAGAAATCGCGCAAGATATGCAGTTTGGAATCCCATTCCTTGTAGTAATCAGCCGCATCTGCCAACAAGCGCTCAAAGTCAGAACCCCTGTGGCGGTTTGCAAGCACTGCTTGAGCATCCGCTATGTTGTTCCAAGTTGCCAGAAACTCTTCATGGGAGGTTTCACAAAGAGAAATGTCAACATGTGAAGGGATCCAGCGAATGTCAATTTGATCAGCTGATCTTGGCGCCAGTAAGTGCATCGAAGCGCACAATGGCAGTTCATCGACCCATGACAAATTTCAGCACATTCCTCTCTTTCGGCAGCAAACCTGGGGCAGCGAAACCAGTGTCGTTGGGTGTCAGGTAAAAGGCACATCTGACAAATGGGCTGCTTCGTTCTGTCGAATTTCGAATGGCGCCACGAGGAGATGAAAGCGCCGTCAATTGCTGGTTGCTTGTCGTGATCCAAGAGCGTGAGGGCTGGATTAATGCCCTTCAAACCTTCCATGGTCTTGTGGTTGACTTTGGTGGCCACGTGTTGGAGCCATAATATATATATTTACAATTTAATATGATATAATACAATATGATATAATATAATTTGATATAATATATAATATAATATAGCATAATATGACACAATATAAAATAAAATAAAATAATATAATATAACATAATATAATATAATATGATATGATATGATACGATATAATATGATATAATTTAATATGATTTAATATAATATAATATGATATGATATATAATATGATATGATATAATATAATATGATATAATATAATATGATATAATATAATATAATAAAATATAATATAATATAATAAAATGTAATATAATACAATATAATATAATATAATATAATAATAATATATATATAAATATACATGTAATATAATATAATATAACATAATATAATATAATATACAATATAATATAAATATATATAATATATATATATGTAGATACATGTATAAGTGATGGCGATATTTGATGTAAGGCTATGATACATGGTACTGTATATACAGCAGCATTCCTGACTCCAGATGTGTGTCCCACATGGGACTAGCCATTTGATCACCAGACATCACCGGACCTTGGATAAGCAACATAGCACAACATAGCACAACCGAATTCCTAAGAGAGCCTAAGAGGACAGCCACAGAATTTCATTTCTCGAGAAATTGTCCGAATTTCTCGGGTGCTCAAGAAAGCTATAGCCATTTGACCCGCTCTTGAAGTGGTCTGGCGTTGCAAAATTTAATCGGGGATTGCAAGAATCACAACCCATTGTTGAAATCTAACTAATCAACTAGAATTTTGGAATAGATAAACAAACTATCGGAAGCGTGATCAAAGAACCGGTCGAACAAATCCACAATGGGTTCCGGAAAGTACCCAGCTGGGTGTCACACTGTCACCGGTCCCATTTGCTCAGGATGTCAACGAAACAGTGACTCTTGGCGTTTCAAGTTGGTGATGGCTTGCGACCGGGCGGTGCTTCTCAAAGCCATGGGCGGGGCAAACAAGCATCGTGGCAGAAGAAATCAGATATGCCCTCCCGAGTTTCTTTCAAGATCAAGGAGACACAATCTCATCAGAGAGCGGCTCTCACTGATTCTTTTCGGCTTGCGATAGATTGATGATTTCATCCTAACTAGAAACCTCCACTACGTGAGCCTGCGGGTGACCCGTTGGTGATGTGCGTTTCCGGTCGGTGGTTTCAAGTATTTATCATTTTCGCCCACATTTCCCATACAAATATTTTACCAGATTTCCCATTTTCAACCATATTTGAGATAGTGATCACCCATTTCTCAGAATTGGTTGAAAGGAAAGATTGCAGGACCGACCCCCTATCTTTGGGGCTAAAAACGCCATGGTGCGAATGCCATTTCCATTTTTCAGATTCAACCAACCCAACAATAGATGGTCATATTTTTTTCAAACCTTACTGGTGGTTGTTGGTGGTTGAATGGTCACCTTTGGTGGGGTTGAATCAACCCTTATTATCAATATCATTATTTTAGTATTTTTTATCATTATCATTATATACTGTATTATATTTAATTGTTATTATCATTATCATTATCATTCTTATTCTTAATGGTTATTCCTATTAATGAAGCCGATGAACGCCCTTAGTGTTGCTGAACTTTTCCTGCCGCAGTTTTTGGAACTGCCGCAGTGTTCAGGAACCCCTTGGCGGGATGGGCCTTTTCGGAACCTGACAACTGGTGCTTGGACGAAGACTGCGCCGCCCTGGGAGTCACTGAGCTCGCACGCAGCACGGACGGGACGAAGGGCTGGAAAGTTCGTAGCGGACCAGGCCCTAGGGGAAAATCATGTTTTTTGAGTTTTATTCTGGGCAGATCCAAAAAACGATGAAACATCCGGGTATATCGTTTTTTTTTATAACTCCGTTTTGTCATTGCATGGGCAACCCAATGCTATAAACCTATACCATGACTGGGATGGATTATAGCACCCACCAAGGTGATGACTTGGGGATGGTGCCAATGGCAGCCAGGGCACATCCCACATTAGTCATTTTTTTGATGATTAGGGGTAGAAGATCCTGGTATAGCTTGTATATAACTGATATACTGGTTGGTGGTTTCAAACATTTTTTATTTTCCCCAATATATGGGATAATCCTTCCCATTGACTTTCATATTTTTCAGAGGGGTAGGTCAACCACCAACCAGCATAACTTCGTTTTCTCACGGTTTTTTCAGTGTGATTTCAAGAGGTCGGAAGGGACTTCAGGGACTCATGCGTCCCATGTCAACGGCAGTTCATCAGATTTCCCTTGGCGTAGGGGACGAGGCAACAATCTGTTGGAATAAACAGGCCGTGGAGGAGAATCCACCTTTGCAGATGACATAAATACATATACAGATATTATATATATACATATATAATCATACGTATGTATATATATACACACACACTGTATTCTGAACATATACACATAGAGAATTGAAGTTGGTGATTGCTCATGCCCAGGTGAGGTGGTAAGTTGGCCTTACCCAAAAAGGAACGGCTAGGGTGAGGCGTAGGGCCGTTTGGAGCAAAGGTCGATTATATCGCCAACTATTCCGTCCCCTCGGCAGCATGAAGTGGGAACCGCCTGAGCCCCTGGAGCTAAGCCATGAAGGATTCCCTTGGTTGGAGACGATCCAGCAATAAGACTTGCAGAGAGGGTTTCCTATAAACCAGAATAGAACATCATTGAATGCCTCAGAATCAAGCAGCATGTCGGGATGGGATAGAAGTATTTTGAAAAAGGCTCAGATGAGTTTCGATGCGCTTTTTCCCAGCAATTCCTACCGGCCAGTGCCAGGGATGAAGTTGGGCCAATCCTCCAGATATTTAGGATAGCAACTGGAGCCTTCAGGGTATGTCTGAAAATGGCCCCACTAGCCCTCATCATAACAATTTTTGTAGGGATAGTGATGAGTAACCAGTGGATCTGGTTGGTGGTGTGGAACATTTTTTATTTTTCCATATATTGGGAACAATCATCCCAACTGACGAACTCATATTTTTCAGAGGGGTTGAAACCACCAACCAGTGGATGGAATGCAGTATCTGCAGTCTCAGGAGATGAAGTTTGGTATGTTCGCGCAGCTGCTGCGTCCTGCACGGTCGGTGGGATTCTTCGACATTTCCTGCAGTACCCAGCTACACTGCCTTTGCCAAACAGGTGCCGATGGTGGAGAGGTTTCAGGTATGAAGAGTCTGAGTGTTTGGCTAAGAAAATGAGGGTACAATTCCAATTCCCTAGGATTATCATCATTCTTCCTGTGAAGATTGGGTAGTTTTTCAGTTCTAGGAGCTTCACAAACCTGTTACAAAGGGTCAACTCCGAAGCTATGGGGGATAATGGGGCTCAACTGATTCCACGCAAGGGTCTTTCTGAAAATTCAGGGAAACCCAAATCAACGGGATTAGCACGATTTTCCCTATTCAAACTTCAAGTGTCATGGCTGGATAAAATCACTCAGATCATCTATTTTTAGACACGCTGATCACTGGAACTCTGTCACCAACCTTTCACCACGATGGGCTTCTGATTGGACAAAATACTACTTGCACGAAGAGATCCCTCAGTCATAAGTTGGTTTACAACCCGAAACAATATATATATATATAATATATATATATATAGATAGATATAGATATAGATGTATGTATATGTAGATCTATATCTACATCTACATCTTTAGCTATATCCACAATAAGAGCAAGTCATACATAGTATTACAATTCAACTTATCTAAGGGGCCCCTTCCTCTAAAACCTCATCGGACATGCGTGCTGGGGGTCAGAATCCAAGCGCAAGCCGGGACATGGCAGGCAATGTGGTCTCAGAGGATTTCCTGCTCTGGGAATTTAACAATTCAGCGACGCAGGATGCGTGGCGTTTTTGTCACCTTTTTTTTGGCTGGAAGTAGACCCACTGGGACACCACTCTGCTTGGTGGTATAATGTGGTTAAAACAATAATAAAGCACCCCATTTTTGATGGTCTATACCACCCATAAAAATGGTGATTTTGGGGATGGTTGATGGCATTGTTTTAACCACATTAAACGATGTTTCCGGTTTCGAAGAATGGGATGATCGGAACTGGCTCATATTGGCAGTTGAAACAGCTGAAACTTTGTGTGGAATGGTTGTAGAGGTCTCACAGGGACATGATTATAGGTTCGAGAAGTTGGCGGAAAGCGGAGAAATATGTTTCATCTATTCATCTGCATATTGAGCATAGCAAAGTGTTCAGGATTTCCTTGTCGTTTTGCCCAATGTTCCATGCGATTCCATCCCCATTTGCCAGTGGCAGCTCCATGCTGCACCAGAGGATGAGAACAGTCTCCATGTCAACAAGACATACTGGGAGAACTATGCCACCTGCTTTCACAAAAGAACACGGTGCTGGTGGCACCTTGGCAACTGCATGGCTTCCCATCAAACAACCCAAAAGAATGGCTTCGTCCATGAAATTGGGCAATTTCCACCTAACTTCTCAGCCAAACCCGAGTGGCTCTTCCTCGAAAAAACATGATTTCTAGCAAGGGATGCAGTTTCAAGATGTTTTCTGCTTCTAGCTGCGCTTGCTACAAATCACGAAGCATTCTGGCGAAGGTATCGGTAACATTGGTGACATTGCCAGCAAAAAGCTTGGAAAATCCCGGATCAAATCTGGGGTTCCCAGGGCACTGGTTGGGTTCTTGGGTTCTTTCAGATGGTGCCAATGGGCTGATCTTTTTAGACATTTTTCAGACGGATGCCTCACAAATCCAGTGGCAACTGGATTCCTGGCCCAACATTCTTTGATATCCAAAAGCATCGTAGCTTTTGACGTTTTCTTTTTGGGATCGCCATGGTCATCCCAGGCAATTTCGGTCAAAAAGCTTGGCCATCCCTGGATGAAGGTCGGTGGAATCATCCCTGACAGATGGTCGGTGGCATGTGATGATTTCTGGTTACCGTTCCCGGATTCCCAAAGGTATACGGACAACAACTTCCAAATGACCTTCGTTCTCGTCTCCGTTCTCTGCTTGACCGGCATTGTCTTCAGCATGACCGGCTGTTCGGGAGGCGCTGAAAAAGGGATGAGCTTGGTGAAATAGGGGATACTATATGATATGTATTTAACATATGTAGTAGACGATATACATGCAACATGTATAATGTATGTGAAATGCACATTTTTTTCTTTGTAATTATATAATTGTATATATGTATATATATATATATGAGTGTGTTGAACGACAGACACGTGTATATATCATTAAATAATATATATATATATATACATACATAATGTGTATGCAAAGCATACACTTGTACCCACATGTATATATATATATATAGATATTGATATGCATATATATATATATATACAAGTATATATACATACATACAGATGCGTTTTGTCTAAACATGTCTTCTGGAATTAATGAACTCCCATTCCCATTCGAAGAATCAGACTTCCGACCTTTCTCACATAAATCTACAGATAAGTTGGCGCAGTGGGACTGGGTGAGGTCTTATATCTTCCCAGAAACATCTCTGTGGAAACATCGTGTTGGATCCACAATTTTTGCGAAACCATCCTGGTTGACCCCCCATATTCTGCGCGTTAAATTCCATGAATTGACATCACGTCCTAATTGGACCAGCACCACCCAGCTATAACAGATTGGTTCACTGTGCTTAGGCAATGCTTTGGCAATCGATTTAAGAACATCAGGTTTGTCAGCGACTTTTGTTGGCCAAGCTCGATGTTTGATCCCGGTTTTTCTGGTGACCTTACGTTAACTGAAAGGAACGCACCTGGTTAAGTACCTTACTTTTTAATGTGCATTTTGTCATATAACTACTCTTCCCCAAATTAGCATAGACCCGGAACATTGCCTAATTTTAGTAGAAGCAAATCTTCCAACCCCCGATCATTTGCAGGGTCTACCGTCTGGTAATTGAACATAGCTATTGAAAATCACCAGTTTTAATGGGTAAATCAACTATTTCTATGGCAATTTTCAATAGAGTTATATATATATATATTATATATATTTAGTTTACCAGAGGGTATAAAAATTGGAACGGTCAGTTCCTCATGATTTGGGTCTGGGTCACCTCCCAAGAAAACGCGGTGGCTCACGCTGCCAGGCGTGCAGCGCGAGGTGACCTTAAATGATGCCACTGCAGCGTCCAACTACGGACAGTTGTTGGAAGCATGCGATCGCCGCTGGACGAACTATGTTTTTCTTGGGGAAATGGTGGGATTCAGCTCCAATTTATGGGGAAATGGGGATAAAGGATTGAATTTGGGGGTTACAAAATAGTATTTCATATAACAACTGAGGGAAAACATGTATTTGAACCAAGCACAATGAGGATATGATATGATATGATGAGGTGTGGTATGAATATGATTCTTGACCAACCATTTATGGTCAGTTTCTTCAAATCGGGAGACCAATAAGACACCAACATCGTTTTGTTCTAGGGAAACCCATGGTATTGGGGGTCCCCAAGTCTAGAAAGCAGCCAAATCGGCAAAAAATGACGGATTGAGAGGATTGGGCAGAGAAAATGACATCATCTTCAGGTAAATTCCCTAAGACTGTGACGATTTCATAGCGATTTCACTGAATCCAATACATTCCACCTGGGAGATGATAAGACCGTTGGGAAACGGCAGTGAAAATAGGGTGCTAGGAGATGTTTTGGGTTTGGTGGGACGACAGCTTGTTTAGTTGGCCGTTGGTTGTATACTATATTGGCTTTATGTGTATAATATCTATACTGAGAAATTCCATTAATTATAGATGTTCGTTTTATGGGCTTTGGTGAGTTTTGGATACTTCGGGGGGTGGGCTCAGTGGGGGTGAGCGACAACTGCACTCACGTTCCATGCCATGACACGCAGCCAAGGTCAAAGCGAAGTTGACAGCACGGTGGACAGGCGCGCCGAGCATTGTTGCCGGTGTGACAGGGCCAAATCTATGGGGTTTGAGCAGCAAACCTTTTTTTCTTCCAGTATCATTCCTGGGTTTCATTATGTTACCACCTATTCTTGGTTTTGATTATACCTTTCACCTTTGTTTGTAATACCATCATTATTGTTCGCCGTTAGCCGTTTTGCGGAGTATGCCCACGTGATGATATCTTCCGCCTGTTCGATGCTGATATGCTGCCGCTGGAAAGATGGGGAGCTTTATTTAGGGTGATTTTTTCTATGGTTTCCTCCTGATTTGTCTCCAAACTGTGCAGCTTCCATTTCCATTCACATTTCATACGGACCAGCCATGACTGAGAATATATAAGTGCCCAAACTACATTTATAGTTTCTCTATTGAAACGCATTGAATACTGTTTACTATGTCGATGTTGTTCAATAAAACTACTCCACCTGCGGCAAATCGACATTCGCAATCCAAGTTTTGAAGGTCTCTGATTCAGTTCGAGGGGTATAGCGCTCCCCGATATCTTCCCCGGCAGTTCGACTGTTTGTAGAGATGCTCTCCAAGAAAAGAAGCCAAACTCTCGATCTTTATTGCCCAAGTTCGAGGACATCGAATATCACGGATTTGTGGGATTTTCGAAATGCCACAAAGCTACAACCATTTGGGGATGGCTTTTTTCAAGCTATTTGTGGTGATTATTTGGTGATTTGATGGATGGATTGTTTCCACGCCAGGTGGATTGTTCGAGGGGCCTGGGCCTCCATGCTCTATGGTGTGATGTTGGTGTTGTTGTCCTTGACCACCATGTGTTGCTTGGCGATTCTGTTGGGTGTGACTTTAAACACAGGGCAGAATTCATGAAAGGTTTTTTTTGTTAATGGTTCCTAGTGATTGCTAGTGTCTGAGCATCTTTTCTGAAGACTATCTTTGACGGGCCAACTTTTTTACAGATTGTCCAGTGTGCAAAAACCCCGTCTTCTGCGGGAAGATGTTGTGCAAATCCAGTTTGATGATCGATCAATTTCTGGTAAACATACAAAAAACTATGGAAAATCACAATTTTTAATGGGAAAATCCACTATTTCTATGGCCATTTTCAATAGCTATGTAACAGATTACCAGGCCGGGTAATTTCTTGTGCACTTCCAAGAAATGGTTTCAGGTAACATTTCCAGCTCAGCCTAGAGCAAGTTGCAAGGTCAGTCATGCGTGGTTCATGTTCAAATGGGGGTACCGATTCCATCTACTTTTGGCCTATTTTTCAGGGCTAAATTTCAGGGAATATCCCCCCAAAATATGGCCTGAAAAATGGTACCATGGTACAGTACCTCCATCAATTGGATCCTGGGTCATTCCCATTGATTCAATCTTCAAAGCACTAAAGTCAAAGGCGGAAAAAAACAACAATGTTGGGGGTAAATAATTCTAAGGCCAAAGCCATGCTTACATATAATATCATAATGGAAAATAATATAGCATAGATTAGCATAGTATAATATACCTAGTAGTACAATACAAAATATATACAATATGAAATGATCCTTTAAAAGGGACTCTGGATCAAACGAGATTCTGGTATGGTGAGGGTTTCAGTTTGCATTGTATTAACATGATGTTGTCTATGGGTTTGTCTTGTAAGGGGATAACTTGAGTTATTATCACCATGTCATAGTCTGGTGTTTAAGGGGATCAGCTTGGATTGTTTTTGTTTTTTTTTATATCACGTTTTATGTGTAAATTCTTGGAACCCTTTTTTTGCCCGCGCGGTTTCTCTTTTGTTTTGGTTTGAACTGGAAAACATCGGGATTGTGTGTTCTCTTGATTGAATGATCCACATATTACGGTTCGTTACGCTCAGCCTGGCCTTGGGACCCGTTCCATTCTCTTCTCAAATTCAGATCGCCAGCCGCCGACGGCCATATCCTCCATGCACCATGCACCAGATCTCTTTTGATGTTTGCTTCGCTGCATGTATGAACATGGATCGGTACGCCGAGCCTAGCCTTGGGACCCATTCCTCTTATTTTAATCATGGCCATCTTGTCCTCTGCCATAGCCTGCATTTTTTGTTTTTTTTTGAGCTCTGAAGTTAAGCAAGACAGAGCCCGCGCAGTATTGAGTTAAGGGGCTAGCTGGTTAGGAAGTGCTTGGGGTGCTGTTGACCTTCGAGAAGTAGCATTCCTGTGCACTTGCTTCCACATTTGAAGCGGTTCAAATTGTCAACCACCTGACGCGAGCTTCCTTTTGTAGATATCTCACACACGGAGGCAGAGCTAAAAGAAGCAATGAATCAGCCTGTGCCACCCTATTTGACACTATTCAACACCATTTGACACGTCACTATTTCACACTATTTGGCACCATTTGACATTATTTAACACTATTTGACATTTGGCACTAGGCGACGCTATTTGACACTATTCGACACTATTTGACGAGGCAAAAATCCGCGCCTCCGCACCAAGGGGAAAGTCTAGACAAAGACCAAGACAAAACAGACAGTACAATACGAACAGGCAAGATCCACAAGACACGCCGGCAGACCGGCGGATTTGAACCGATAGATGAGTGAGTGAGGGAGGGAGGGATGGAGGGAGGGAGGCGAGGGGAAGGGAGTCCGGGAGGGGAGGGAGGGGAGGGAGGGGAGGGAGGGGAGGCTTTGATTTCCGGCATCATCGTAACCTTCGAACCTTTAGGACGTGAAGGGAAAGCGGCTTGCATCGAGGCTTTTACATCTCACTTCGCGCACAAGTGTGCGTGTCTCATTGATGACAACGCGGACATCTTGGAGGAGGTGAGCCAAAATCCAAAGGCTCTAGGAGTACATATCAAACTATCCAAGAAACGTCGGTTGAGGAGTGACTTCAACTTTGATTGGGGGACTGTCTGGAATTGAAACACCCGTCCCTAAGGGACATGCAAGCTATGAGTATCACCAGTCAATTAATCATGTGGATGCACGTCAAATTACTGTTGAAGAAAACCAGACTTTGCATGTTACGGATGCGAGGGTAACGTGGGCTTGGTTGACATCACAGATCGCAGCAGAGTACGGATTTTATTCATTGATCAGCATCAGGTACTTGACCGAGACAAAGAACAATACTGCTACAATCACGGTATCATCTCGGCAGTGAATCTTGCGGCAGTTTCTAGATTCCAGAAGTACGCAGAAGATCACAGTATTCAATTATACACCTTCATCTTGAGTTACGTGGGTTCAACAGATCGATATCAGTCTTGCAAAACCATTTGGAACAATGTCAAGAAATGAAGACTCCTGTGTAAAGTTACGCTGACTACCTCCGTCTCCGCAAGGACTGATTCCTCTTCACTTGAAGACTCGAGCTGCTCTGGAGCTGGAGGTGAGGGAGGGAGGTGAGGGAGGTGGAGGAGGTGAGGGAGGTGAGGGAGGTGAGGGAGGTGAGGGAGGTGGAGGTGAGGGAGGTGAGGGAGGTGAGGGAGGTGAGGGAGGTGAGGGAGGTGAGGGAGGTGAGTGAGGTGAGTGAGGTGAGTGAGTGAGTGAGTGCGTGCGTGGGTGGGTGGGTGAGTGAGTGAGTGAGTGAGGGAGGTGACTGAGGTGAGTGAGGTGAGTGAGTGAGTGAGGGAGTGAGGGAGTGAGGGTGCGAGGGAGTGAGGGAGTGAGGGAGCGAGGGAGCGAGGGAGCGAGGGAGTGAGGGAGTGAGGGAGTGAGGGAGTGAGGGAGTGAGGGAGTGAGGTTAGGTAGCGAGGGAGTGAGGGAGTGAGGGAGTGAGGGAGTGAGGGAGTGAGGGAGTGAGGGAGTGAGGGAGTGAGGGAGTGAGGTTAGGTAGCGAGTGAGTGAGCGAGGTTAGGTAGTGAGTGAGTGAGTGAGGTTAGGTAGGTAGCGAGCGAGCGAGTGAGTGAGTATAGTGATGAGTCGGAGTGAGAACACCTTTGTTACCAGTAGTACCGCGCAAGGCGGTGGCGGAAGTTTCAAAAATAGGAAACCTATAGGAGAGGTTGGTTGTTGTGAATCAGGGATGGCAGAGCGAAGCCACTGATGGACTGAAAGGTGATTGATCTCTTTCACTCTTTCTCTCTCTCTTTCTCTCTTTTTCTCTCTGTTTCTCTATCTTTCTCTGATTATCTACCGGCCTACCTACTGATCTACCTGTCTACCTATCTATCTATCTGTCTGTCTGTCTATCTATCTCCCTATCTATCTATCTATCTATCAATCAATCTATCTATTTATCCATCTATCTATCTATCTATCTATCTATCGATCTATCTAACTATCTAACGATCGATCGATCGATCTATCTATCTATCTCTCTCTCTCTCTCGCTATCTCTCTGTCTGTCTGTCTGTCTGTCTGTCTGTCTGTCTATCTAGCTCTCTCTCTCTCTCTCGCTATCTCTCTGTCTGTCTGTCTGTCTGTCTTTCTATCTATCTATCTATCTATCTCACTCTCTCTCTCTCTCTCTCGCTATCTCTCTGTCTGTCTGTCTGTCTATCTATCTATCTATCTATCTGCAAGATCAAAAACGAAGAAAATTTGCGAGACTTCCGTAATGTTTGAACATAAGAACGTCCCAAACGGAACAATTCTGCGAGACGTCTTCATTTTTTGAACTTGACAACATCCGAAACGAAGCAATTCTGCGAGACTTCCTCATTTTTCGAAGTGCAAGACATCAAAAACGAAGAATTCTGCGAGACTTCCTTCAAAAATGGAAAGTTGAGTGCAGAGCTGACAGACTCGTACCAATGCGTTTTGCGATTTTTCCAGTCCACCTGTCTAAAGTACTGCGCCTGCCACGGAAAATTGATGCCGGGTCATACGAAGTGCTGCACCTGTCACGCAAAATCATCTTAGCAAACCTGCGCATCTGATACTCCAAAATGCAACCCCTCTCAGAAAATCAGCGCCCTGACCTCCTAACATCTCTCATGAACATGTCTTTTGTACTGCGCCTGCCACAGAAAATGCATCTTTGCAGATCCTCTTCAAATGTCCCACGCCTGCCATGGTTTTTGGAAATGCAACAAATCCCTCACGTTTTGGTCACTTTTAACAAGGTGCACAATCCCTTGTGCCTGCCACGCGAAACGACATCTGAACATCCAAAAATGGTCCGTACATGGTGTGTTTTGTGCATTTTGACTTCTAAATGTGCTTCGTGCCACAACGGCGTGCACTTTTTCGACATCTCAACTTCCAAAAGTGGTCCGTACATGGTGTGTTTTGTACATTTGGACTTCGAAATGTGCTTCGCGCCACAACGGCGTGCACTTTTTCGACATCTCAACTAGTAAAAGTGGTCCGAACATGGTGTGTTTTGTACATTTGGACTTCGAAATGTGCTTCGCGCCACAACGGCGTGCACTTTTTCGACATCTGAACTTCCAAAAGTGGTCCGAGAATGGTGTCTTTTGTACATTTTGACTTCGAATGTGATTCGCGCCACAACGGCGTGCACTTTTTCGACATCTGGGCCTCCAAAAGTGGTCCGAGCACCGGGTGTTTTGTACATTTTGACTTGCAAATGTGCTTCGCGCCACAACGGCGTGCAATTTTTCATCTCTCATCTGGCCAGCTGGCTCCGCACCCGCCGCTTTAGCGAGCCTACTTTTCGACCCTCCGGAGCCCCAAATCATTGGAAAAACCCAGTGTTTCGCGACTTTCCTACATCTGCATCTTCTTTCTTACTCTTTCTCTTCTACTCTTCTTTCTTCTAATCTTTCTCTTCTCTCTGCCTCTTCCCTGCTCTGCTTTTCATCTGTCCATGATGTTGTCGGAAGTTTGACTTCTAAACTTCAATCGAATATCTAGAGTCTAGAGACCCTCACCTGGCAGGTGCGGAGGGAATAAGAAAAAAGAGGAGAAAGACAAGAGGGAGAGGAAAGAAAAGAAGGCGAAGGGGTGAAGGGAGATAAGAAAGAGAAGAAAGTAAAGAAAGAGAACAAAGATAAGACAGAGAAAAAACACAAGAAAGAGAAGACTGATAAGAAAGATAAGATAGAGAAGAAAGAGGAAGCAGAGGACAGGGAAAAGGACTTTGTGGTTGGTCATGCACTAACAAACATAACAGCTGGGACACATAGCAAAAATGGCGTACATGGCAAGCATGGCAAGCATGCACAGCATGGACAGAAAAGCATGGCAATAATGACTGTACTTGTCAACTCATGTCAGGACAGGAAAATGGTAAGCTGTGTGGCCGACATCCTCAGTGAGGATGACAACATGAAGTTGGGGGATCTGAGGCAGCAGCTTCAGCTGAAGTAGTCTGGCAAGTTGAGCTGTGACATCAGAACCCTCAACGCTGATGTTGATTCAGCAGTTGCCCACTTAAAAAGGAAACAGGTTGCCCGCCCTAGATCTCCCAAGCAAACGTGCCCCGCCAAAGCCAATCTTCATGAAGAGGTGAGCAAAGTAGATGTGTGTGGGGCAGGGGCAGGGTTGGCGCCTCACACACGGTAACTTAGGACCCATCCCTGGCCGAAACCAGAATCTCTTTTGATCCAGAATCTCTTTGAAAAGATCATTTCATACCATACTATGCTTTACTATACCATACTGTACTTTACTATACTTTACTATACTATAATGTTCTATACTTATACTGAACTATACTATACTATACTTGCCTATACTATACTATATGATAATTCACTATACTATACTATATACTACACTATACTATACCATACTTTACCATACTATACTATACTTTTCTATACTATACGATTCTATGCTATACTATACTATTCTATACTATACTATATTGTACTATCCTATTTATACTATACTATCCTATACTATACTATACTATAATGGCCTTTACTTTACTGAACTATACTATACTATACTATACTATACTATGCTATGCTTTACTATACTATAACATACTATACTATACTATACTAAACTATACTATACTGTACTATACTATACTATACTTTACCATACTATACTTCACTATACCATACTTTACTATACTATACTTTACTATACCATACATTACTATACTTTACTATACTATACTTTACTACACTATACTATATTATACTACACTATACTATATTATACTATACTATACTATTCTATACTATACTACACTATGCTATACTATACTATACTTTACTATACTATACCATACTGTACTTCACTATGCGAGACAATACTGCACAATAGTCAATGGGAATTCCAAGATTCTAAAATGGAGGTACTGTACCATATAAGGCCATATTTTGTGTGGATATTCCCTTACATAGGCCTTACATAGGCCTTATACATGGTAGGTACCTCCAATTTAGGTTCCTGAAATGGTCATTGAAATAGAATGCAATACAATACTTTACTATACCATACTGTACTGTACTTTCCTATACCATATTCTACAATACTATAACATTTTTTTAGTTTGATATGATATGATATGAAATAAATTGGTTTGATGTAAAAAAATATTGTACAATGCTGAGATGGAGTGTTTTGTGGTACAAGAATATAGTTTAGTATAGTCTACTACAGTATAGTATACTAAAGGATAAGATAGTGCAATACAATATAGCATAATATAGTATGATATATCATACAATCAAACATCTATTGTAATATCATGAAATATAAGATAATATGATATAATATAAAATATAATGCAATATATTTTTCAACAAAATGTAGTAAATAATATAGCATAGCATAATAAAATATAATATAAACTCATCTAGTATAGCATAATATGTAAACAATACAATATAATATGATAGGTGTTTGTAGCATAATATTATAGTATAGTATTTTTATGTCTGAAATGCAATATAGTGCAATATAATGAAAGCAGAAAAAACAATATCACACAACATGAAACCATACAACGTTATATCATAATATATATGTATATATACACATTCATACACACAGTACACATACGCAACATAGCTACATCCATACTTTTTACTGCCCATTTTTGTTGCTGAAGTCCCCGCCATCTCTTAGGTCATGTGAACTTTGGCATTTCCTTCGGCTTCGGAGTGGATGGTTTGGAAGCCTTGGCGCTGAGCTGTTTGCAGATGCTGCTCTGTGGCACTGCGGTGATGGTGCAGAGACACCTCTCCAGCAGTTCCAGGCAAGGCGATTGGGCAGGGCCAGGAGATGGGATAGTGGGAGGAAAGGACACAACTACTTGAGGTTTGTGTTTATTTGAGTTTTGATGGGGTTTCAACAAATTCTGAAGTTTTGTATTCTACTTTGTTGTTGTGGAGTAGCAACATAACATGGGGAACCTTAGCAAAAATTACAGAGATTGGACCAGCAAGAGATGCCAAATTGATACGATTAGACTGATTAGACCAGCAAAACCAGATAGTGCGTTTTTTTTTGGATCGGAAGCAGATGTGGCCACTGCTCCAGACAAATTGGTGTTTTTTCCTCTTGAGTTATTTGGGTCCATTGATACTGCACTGTTGCAGATGATAGGATCTCGTTCTGTATTTTTGCCTATACAGATTGGCTACTCACCCCATCTACATTTCATTTTACGAACAATTCCACTACAAAACACATCCCAAATCTGGGCATTTGTCAATATTTAAACCCCAAAACCACAAATGGATTGGTCATTTTCAAGGTCCTAAACCAACCCATCATCATGTGCTTACTTATATACATACACATGCCTATCTATGATCTTCACATATATATATATACACATCCATAAATACAATAATGTATTCATATATACACTTAAATACGTATATGCATATATATATTATGTGTATATCTATATGTGTATTATATATATATACACGCATTTTTACCACAACCAACATCCACGACATCCATCCCCAGGTCCGTGGTGCAGTGGTGGGTCCTAGCCTTCGCCATTGCCAAGCTGGGCATGGCGCTAGGGGACTTCGTTGTGGCCATCATGTACTTCAACCAGACCCTAGGTGTGGGATTTGGCTGTCATAACCCAAGTCATGGGATGATCATGATTTAGTATTGAAACCCATGGTGACACAGAAGTGGGGATCGGATGTTGCTGGAACATGTCATGAACATGTGTCATTGATGGGGGTCTATAGCTAGTAAACATGTGAACAAACACATGGGAATTGGATTTATTGGATTTTGCTGGAGCATATCATGGGGATTTCGCACAGCGTGTCATTGATGGGGGCTTATAGCACAGCAAAAAACGTGAAACACTTGGGATTGATCGGATTGAACGCTCTTTTGGTGAACATCTCATGGGGGGATTTAGCCAGTAAATATATGTACAAAAATGGGGACCGACCGGATCTATGAAAAACTGTTATTTATTCAGTTTTGTCTAAAAGGTGCTCTGTTTATTTCTCATTGATGGGTATTGTGGAAAAGAATGAACATGCGGATTTACCATGATTTACCCTACTTTAGTCTACTCTTCCTGGGACAATAATTCATGGTTCAATCCTGTGGGGAGTCGGTACTTCGAGGATCATCCCATGAATTGTCGTTAGGAACCATAGTCAGAGCTGATATATATATATATATAGTATAATATAATATATATATAATATAATATAATATAATATAATATAATATAATATAATATAATATATATATAATATAATATATATATATAATATAATATATAATATAATATATAATATAATATATAATATAATATATAATATAATATATAATATAATATATAATATAATATATAATTATATAATATATATATATCCTTTATAACCTCAACTGCATCCCAAGTGCACGCTATGGGCAAGTCTTGGTATGTTTTGTTTGGGCTGACAGCACTTCGGGAAACTTTTCTCCAGAGATGTGAACAGCCAATGTGCTGTGGAGCCAACAGGCGGTTTTGTGAAGCAGAATGCGAGCTTCTGCACCGCCGGCTATCTGTCACCTGGTCATCACCTGGTCATATTGGCGACAGGGATTGCCATGTCGGGCGAAAAATCCCAATTGACTCTGGGTCGGGTATCAATGGACCAAGAAATTTGGTCTTGTCTTAGCAATAAACATTAATATACCACCTGTGGGGGGTTGATTACTACCATCTACTAGGATCTGAGGTATTTTTTGCTGGTGCAGTTGGTTGAATCTCAAAGAATCCCTGTAGGATCACCACCTGCTGATTTCGCGTGCTTGTCCGCCCCAATCGGCGCCCAGTTTTCTTTGGATGCTAATGACCTCAATGCTATGTCAGACGGTGGCTGGCACTGCCTTTGCCCGAATTCATGTGGGTGCAGTGCAACGGATGGGCGGAAGCCAGCAGGTGCGGAGAGGGGTGCAGGCATTTGAGATCGAGCATGAAACTGCGTATATAACTTTTAGGGTTGACTTTCGATTTTTTGGTTGGGTGGCTGGATGGTAGGTTGGGGGTAACACTGTATTACTTATTTTACTTCCATTTGGTGATTTTGGTGTGGGGATCAGCAAAACCAACCCTCAAAGGGTCCTGGAAATTGCACCACTTGTTTCAAGCATACCCATTCTCGTTGTCCACTGCAACATCGCTAGCTTTGACCATTCTTGGTATTTTAGTCTTCGTTGTTGTTAGTTAGACAAGCTGGAACTTTGTTGGTCAAACTCCTATTTTGTGTAGATTTGAATTCCATATTCATTGTAACGATGTTTCCTCTCCACAATTCTTATTTAAGTCTCTATGTTTGTTGCTAAAATAGTCATTTTTGGTCGTCAAACACGGTCAAGTCCTCATTCTCTTCATGGCAGGTGTCAAAGGTGATTGGCTGCTCCGGCCTCATGCTGATCATCTCAACCTTCGGTGCCGTAGCCTCAAACATGGGGATTTGACCATTTTCGGAATGGGGATTTTTTTGGTGGTTGCAGCCCATTTCGGTTCATCCCGGTTCATCCCTACGATTTTACATGGGTGGGACATGTTGCTTTCAAAAGGTCAACATATCCACGATTTAGGGAACCTTTTGCTCGATGAAGTTGAGCAAGGCGCTGGAGTGGGCCTTGGTATCTGCGGTGCCCTCTTCATCTTTGATGACGAGGATGATGCCATTGATCCGATGGCTGGCATATCCATTAGCTACTTTGTCACCTGGTGGCACCTGGTGCCTGCTGTTTTGACCCAGTTTTCCGGTGAGAACTTGGGGTGTCGGATGCATGTTATGTGAAGGATCACCCAAGTTTTAGCGCAAAGAAACAGCGGAAAGCCACACTTACACATTATTCAAATCTTCCGGTTTTAACATATTTTGCTGCAAACGCACACATTTGATTTAGCAAAATGTATCGATATACTGAAATGATCCATTCAGTCATAGGCTACGAACGCCCTCAGTGATTCACCATCAAAATTATACAGGCAAGAAGAACTTCTCTATCTATCTTTTTGCGAGCCCTTTTTGGAGATCTGACTCTCTCTCTCTCTCTGTGTCTTTTTCCCTCCGCATATACAATATGCATCAATATGCAGTAATGTCAACCCTGGATTAATAAACCCCAAACGTCTGTTTAATTGGGAGGGTACCATTTATGTACCATTAATTGTGACTATTTGGAGGGTACCCCCTAATTAATAAACCATGGATGTCAGTGTATCCCAACTATTGGTGAACTCTTGGATCTCAGGCAGCAGCGCTGTGCCAATTCCTGGCGGGTGCTGCGTTGCTCCGCGCCAATTCTCAGGCCGAGTGGTAGTTGGGAGGCTTCGTCTCTTGGGGCTAAAAACCAATGGGTTTTTGACAGATGTCAACTGGTGAGTGGTTTGGAACATTTTTTATTTTCCCATATATTGGGAATAATCATCCCAACTGACGAACTCATATTTTTCAGAGGGGTAGGTCAACCACCAACCAGTGAAGATAGTGGCCGATCATGATGGGCTGCGGAACACGGCGCCATGATTCGGTTCCTCACGTTGTGAAACCAGGGCTTTACTGCACAGGATGATTCGGGTCAGATCCCTAGATTTGTTGGGGGAAGAACAACTCAAAAATGATGTGAAGATTTATCCCCAACCAATATGTGGGCTATACCAGTTATGCCCAATTTCATCCATCTACAGGTAGAAGCCACATATACTCCACATTCGGCGTGGGTGGTTTACCGAGCTTCCGATGTTGCCAGGTCCGCACCTACTTCCAGAGGGATGCCAGGCATGGGCGCGGGCCTTGACCAGGATGTGGATGGTGGGGAGGTGAAGTACCCAAAGATGATGAAACATGTCTGGAAATATTCTGGAATTTGAGGTTCTCACATGCACATATATATATATATATATCAATAAATGATAATAGTTATGTATATATATATAATATATATATATATACACGCATGTCATACAATGTACACATACATATACGGACCCGAAATGGATGGTTTCAGATCCTATGACCGGCAATGTGGCCCATAGCTATCTGACCACATCAATGGCTTCACCCTTCTGAAGCCCGGCTTCAGATCGATGACTGAAATGCAGTCCTACTGAGCCACGTCGGGTCTCCTCGGGCACGCTGTGCTGCGGTTGCGGACTTCGCGGTCGCGGCGAATCCGTAAAGGACCCCATCACTTACTTCGAAGCGAAAGCGCTGCAGAAAAAGATGGGTTTTCTCAAATGGTCCTGGGTCATTTCACCTTGCAGTTCAAATCCCTAGCCATTTTGGGGCACAGCGAAAATTTGTGTAGCCCAAGGAGGTCTTACGGAGGTGACCAATGACATAAGAGTCTATCCACTCACGACTGCAAGTGAGTATGGTTTCAATTCGGAATGCTGGTCAACACTCAGGGCTTACGACTTACCGCCTATGTATAATATATATATATAATATATATATATATATAATATATATATATAATATATATATATGTATAGATTATATCCACACCGATGTTTTTTTATCATTCTACCCGGGCTTGGGTTGATCGTATAGAGAATATAAGATATACTATGACTTTTTATTGGTTGGATCCCCGTTTTCATGCTGGTTTTCTGTGCTGAAATAGAACAGGATTCCTAGGTATTGGGCACCCTTCCTTTAGAACATGATATTTTGAGGCAAAATTATTGCATAGCATGAACTGCACAAGTTATTTTCCAGCAATAGGGTCCACAAGAGAAGCAATCCGTAGAACTATGCCTCGCAAAATCAGGGAAAAATCCCAAATCCATCGATTGTCATCATTTTCTCATAGTTTCCCCATCAAAATTGCCATTCCCTATTTTCAAACACACCCCCTAGGAACCATCTGACCCCCTTGTGCCGTTTCAAGTTGCCAAGGTGCAGATGCTGGCTTGTGATAGCCTACTGACCGCTGCAGCAAAAGATTCCGGTGCTCGCGGAATGTGGACCAGATTCAAATTTAGGCCAGAATCTGAGGGAGATTCTAAACCTGCCTGGTTTATAGCTGTTCAACAAGGGGGAAAGCGGGGTTTCATCATTTAATCACAAAAAAACAGGGGTAGTATCGAGGATGTCAACCAATGAACCGGTCGGTGGGTTGAACTTGTTTTTACCATTCTTGCTTACTGGTAGGATGTTTGCCCCAGTGGGTTGAAACCACCCACTAGTTTTGCACCCAGGACTGAAGGATGGATGGAGCTGCAGCCAGCCCATCTGAGCATTTTTGGCTTGGAGCAGCAGTCTGTGAAGAGCTGCAGTGATGCAAACTTGAAGCAAATCATGGCAGCATTGCTACACCAGACTGTTTTGGGACCAAGCAAACAGGTCGAAACATGTCGAAACAGCATCCTTTGATCTTTCCAAAAAGTGAGTGAAACTAACATCTACCGAAGTCTTGGAGGCTTGAGTGCTGGATGAGTCTCTACAACATTTCTGGAGGAACCACACAACAAAACCTTGAAAGCGGTCTGATTCTGATTACACTATTCTTTAGTGAGGAAAATCAGAATCAGAATCACCTTGGCCCCAAGGGGAACCCCTAAACCCAAATCCTTGGACTCACTTTTGCCCAAATAGAACATGGCAAGCTGAGAGGTGGGACATGTGTGATTCCCAATGCCTCTCGGCTGACTTGAAGATAAATAGCATTGAACAGCTGTGACAACAGCTACAAATCGTGGAGTCTGAGCGCATGATAAGCATTAAGATAGCATTAAGCCAGAGATGTGCAGATTTCTGATACATTTTCTCAACCAATCCATCCCCTTTTTGGAACAAAAGCTTCTGACATGGCTTCGAACCCCAGGTTGCTGCGGCCTCTTGAAGGCGCTGTCAGATGGCCCATGGAGTTGGATGAGAAAACCATGTTTGACCAACTGGGATACCCCAAACTCATCCAAAATTGGTGATTCTCAATGTGAAAACAAATGGTTTGGGGTGCCCATATTTCAGGAACCATCCACATGGCGATTTTCCATAGCTATATCATGTTGGTTTACCAGAGGGCTTTTAGGGATAACTCGATGCACTTATGGATCGTGAGGTGGAGGTGCACATGTTTCCCATCATTTGTGTTTGTTGAAAATTTCGGGGAACCCCGGGAATCCCCCCAAAATCCGGTTTAACATGGTTTAAAACTATTTAAAACCAATCAACACCGTAATTTTCCCGGGAAAAGTGGCATAATTTGATCATTTGCAGGTATTCCCAGCATTTTCAGAAACATCCAGATTCATCCAGATTCCATATTGGTAAGATGATATCCCATAGTATGTCCCCTTAGGTCCTCACGTCCCCATCACATCCCCATGATAGGCCCGCCGCCGTGCCGAAAAAAAGAGTGCCAGCGCCGCGCCACCGGCGGCCGTGATGCAGGAGAAGAAAATGGAGATGGGAACTGTGGGTAATATGTGCATATATGAGGTCGATTGAGGTCGAAGGCTGGTTGATGGTTTTAGACGTTCTTACTTTTCATCCTATCCCGGATGATTGAGAATATTGTATTTCTTTTCTAGGGAAGCCACCATAAGCGACCAACCAGATGGCAATTTTCCACTTCTAAGGCGAATAATCGGAATTTATCAAATGGGGTTGATTTAATAGAATGGGCTAGCGCCCTGGTGCCGCCGACTCCCCCTATTTGGGGGGTCCTGTAGAGAGATAGATAGATAGATGGATAGATAGATTGATAGGTAGATGGGTCGATAGCTAGATACACAGTTAGATAGACAGGCGAGATAGATAGATAGATAGATGGATGGATGGATGGATGGATGGATGGATGAATGGATGGATGGATAGATAGACAGATAGATAGATCGAGGCCTGCTACGAGAAGGGGTCCGAGCTCCCACACATTGTTTGATTGTTTATTGTTCATCAGTATTCTATGGCACCCAGTGGACCACTTGAAGGGTTTAAAGCATTGGCTGGAGCGTGTAGCTGCGAGAGTTGCCTTGGAAACGCCTGCGGGAAGCACAAGAGTTGCCTTGGAAACGCCTGTGGAAGGGTTTGAGGGGTTTGAAGGCGGGCAAACGGCAGTCTTGAATGCCCTTAAAAACAGATGGCTGGGGCGTGTAGCTGCGAGAGTTGCCTTGGAAAGGCCTGCGGAAGGGTTTGAAGCATTGTCTGGGGCGTGTAGCTGCGAGAGTTGCCTTGGAAAGGCATGCGGGAAGCTGCGAGAGTTGCCCAAGCCTGAAGAAGGCCCAAGAAACATGCCAGATGATGGCACTGATGACAAGGCCCCTGACAACATGGACATTGGCAACAGGGCAAGGTCCAGGAGCCTGTCATCAGGAATAAAATCACCAAGAAGATTTTATTCCAGCAGGGCCAAGCCAAAAATGGGCAGAGGAGTAAGGCTGGTCCTTGGAAACGCCTGCGGCAGTCTTGAACGCCCTGAAAAACAGATGGCTGGGGCGTGTAGCTGCGAGAGTTGCCTTCGAAAGGCCTGCGGAAGGGTTTGAAGCATTGTCTGGGGCGTGTAGCTGCGAGAAAGGCTTGCGGGAAGCTGCAAGAGTTGCCTTGGAAAGGCCTGCGGAAGGGTTTGAGGGGTTTGAGGGGCTTGAAGGCGAGCAAACGGCAGTCTTGAATCTGTTAAAAACAGATGGCTGGGGCGTGTAGCTGCGAGAGTTGCCTTGGAAAGGCCTGCGGAAGGGTTTGAAGCACTGTCTGGGGCGTGTAGCTGCGAGAGTTGCCTTGGAAAGGCTTGCGGGAAGCTGCAAGAGGTGCCTTGGAAAGGCCCGCGGAAGGGTTTGAGGGGCTTGAAGGCGAGCAAACGGCAGTCTTGAATCTCTTAAAAGCAGATGGCTGGGGTATGTAGCTGCGAGAGTTGCCTTGGAAAGGCTTGCGGAAGGGTTTGAGGGGTTTGAAGGCGGACAAACGGCAGTCTTGAACGCCCTTAAAAACAGATGGCTGGGGCGTGTAGCTGCGAGAGTTGCCTTGAAAAGGCTTGCGGAAGGGTTTGAAGCATTGTCTGGGGCATGTAGCTGCGAGAGTTGCCTTGGAAAGGCCTGCGAGAAGCTGCAAGAGTTCCCTTGGAAATGCCTGCAGAAGGGCTTCAGGGGTTTGAGGGGTTTGAGGGCGGGCAAACGTGTAGCTGCGAGAGTTGCCTTGGAAAGGCCTGCGGAAGGGTTTGAAGCATTGTCTGGGGCGTGTCGCTGCGAGAGTTGCCTTGGAAAGGCCTGCGGAAGGGTTTGAGGGGTTTGAAGGCGGGCAAACGGCAGACTTGAACGCCCTTAAAAACAGATGGCTGGGGCGTGTAGCTGCGAGAGTTGCCTTGGAAAGGCCTGCGGAAGGGTTTGAAGCATTGTCTGGGGTGTGTAGCTGCGAGAGTTGCGTTGGAAACGCCTGCGGGAAGGTGCAAGGGTTGCCTTGGAAAGGCCTGCGGAAGGGTTTGAAGGGTTTGAGGGGTTTGAGGGCGGGCAAACGGCAGTCTTGAATCTCTTAAAAACAGATGGCTGGGGCGTGTAGCTGCGAGAGTTGCCTTGGAAAGGCTTGCGGAAGGGTTTGAAGCATTGTCTGGGGCGTGTAGCTGCGAGAGTTGCCTTGGAAAGGCCTGCGGGAAGCTGCAAGAGGTGCCTTGGAAAGGCCTGCGGAAGGGTTTGAGGGGTTTGAGGGGTTTGAAGTTTGAAGGCGGGCAAACGGCAGTCTTGAATCTCCTAAAAACAGATGGCTGGGGCGTGTAGCTGCGAGAGTTGCCTCGGAAAGGCTTGCGGAAGGGTTTGAAGCATTGTCTGGGGCGTGTAGCTGCGAGAGTTGCCTTGGAAAGGCCTGCGGGAAGCTGCGAGAGTTGCCTTGGAAAGGCTTGCGGAAGGGTTTGAGGGGTTTGAAGGCGGGCAAACGGCAGTCTTGAATCTCTTAAAAACAGATGGCTGGGGCCTGTAGCTGCGAGAGTTGCCTTGGAAAGGCTTGCGGAAGGGTTTGAAACATTGTCTGGGGCGTGTAGCTGCGAGAGTTGCCTTGGAAAGGCTTGCGCGAAGCTGCAAGAGTTGCCTTGGAAAGGCCTGCGGAAGGGTTTGAAGGGTTTGAGGGGTTTGAGGGCGGGCAAACGGCAGTCTTGAATCTCTTAAAAGCAGATGGCTGGGGCGTGTAGCTGCGAGAGTTGCCTTGGAAAGGCCTGCAGAAGGGTTTGAAGCATTGTCTGGGGCGTGTAGCTGCGAGAGTTGCCTTGGAAAGGCCTGCGGGAAGCTGCAAGAGTTGCCTTGGAAGGCTTGCGGGAAGCTGCGAGAGTTGCCTTGGAAAGGCCTGCGGAAGCGTTTGAGGGGTTTGAAGGCGGGGAAACGGCAGTCTTGAGCGCCCTTAAAAACAGATGGCTGAGGCCTGGAGCTGCGAGAGTTGCCTTGGAAAGGCTTGCGGGAGGGTTTGAATGTCTGGGGTGTGTAGCTGCGAGAGTTGCCTTGGAAAGGCCTGGGAAAGGCCTGCTGGGAAGCTGCAAGAGCTGCCTTGGAAAGGCGTGCGGAAGGGTTTGAGGGGTTTGGGGGGCTTGAAGGCGAGCAAACGGCAGTCTTCTCTTAAAAACAGATGGCTGGGGCGTGTAGCTGCAAGAGTTGCCTTGGAAAGGCCTGGGAAGGGTTTGAAGCATTGTCTGGGGCCTGTAGCTGCGAGACTTGGAAAGGCCTGCGGGAAGCTGCAAGAGGTGCCTTGGAAAGGCCCGCTTAAAAGATGGCTGGGGCGTGTAGCTGCGAGAGTTGCCTTGGAAAGGCCTGCAGAAGGGTTTGAAGCATTGTCTGGGGCGTGTAGCTGCGAGAGTTGCCTTGGAAAGGCCTGCGGGAAGCTGCAAGAGTTGCCTTGGAAAGGCCTGCGGAAGGGTTTGAGGGGTTTGAGGGGTTTGAGGGCGGGCAAACGCCAGTCTTGAATCTCTTAAAAGCAGATGGTTGGGGCGTGTAGCTGCGAGAGTTGCCTGGGAAAGGCTTGCGGAAGGGTTTGAAGCATTGTCTGGGGCGTGTAGCTGCGAGAGTTGCCTTGGAAAGGCTTGCGGGAAGCTGCGAGAGTTGCCTTGGGGAGGCCTGCGGAAGGGTTTGAAAGTTTTGAGGGCGGGCAAACGGCAGTCTTGAACATGCTTAAAAACAGATGGCTGGGGCCTGTAGCTGCGAGAGTTGCCTTGGAAAGGCCTGCGGAAGGGTTTGAAGCATTGTCTGGGGCGTGTAGCTGCGAGAGTTGCCTTGGAAAGGCTTGCGGGAAGCTGCGAGAGTTGCCTTGGGGAGGCCTGCGGAAGGGTTTGAAAGTTTTGAGGGCGGGCAAACGGCAGTCTTGAACATGCTTAAAAACAGATGGCTGGGGCCTGTAGCTGCGAGAGTTGCCTTGGAAAGGCCTGCGGAAGGGTTTGAAGCATTGTCTGGGGCGTGTAGCTGCGAGAGTTGCCTTGGAAAGGCTTGCGGGAAGCTGCGAGAGTTGCCTTGGGGAGGCCTGCGGAAGGGTTTGAAAGTTTTGAGGGCGGGCAAACGGCAGTCTTGAACATGCTTAAAAACAGATGGCTGGGGCCTGTAGCTGCGAGAGTTGCCTTGGAAAGGCCTGCGGAAGGGTTTGAAGCATTGTCTGGGGCGTGTAGCTGCGAGAGTTGCCTTGGAAAGGCCTGCGGGAAGCTGCAAGAGTTGCCTTGGAAAGGGCTGCGGAAAGGTTCGAATCCAAGAAAGTAATGCTGACGTTGTGTAAAACCCCAACCGTTGACACAGGAGTGGGGGCGCCTGACCGCTTGCACGCAAATTTTGGCCTGTTTGGCCAAGCGGGCGGCGCTGCTCCCGTGCCCTCGGGAGCATGCAGCGTGCAGAACGGCGCTGGCGGACTGGATCCGGGCAAAGGGCGGTGAAGTCGGCGATCAACTGGTCGCGGAGGCATGGGGCCTCGACGCACAGGACCGTGTGAGGAGCAGGAAGTCAATGTACCAGACTGGTAACAGTAGCTATGGAACAGTAACAGATGAGGTTCGACACAATCGCAGCTGCAGAAGCAGGACCTTCTATGTAGATTTATCCACAAAAGCGCACAAGATCTTCATACCAGAACTTCCTATTATGAGCATTCCAGACGAAATTTCATACAAGCACCAACGCAGAGGAACTTCAAGACCTTAATGCAAGGAACTCTCGAGGAGGATTTCTACAGGATCACCACAAGATCTTCTCACAAGGACCTGTACCGGTACCACACCATGTACGGACACGGGGGATATTTCACCAGGACCCTTTCAAGAGCTTCTCACAAGGACCTGTACAAGATCATGTCAAGGCCTCTGACAGCATGTCGCTAGGATCTCCACAAGATCCTATCACAAGGGTTTGTAAAAGAGCCGGACTAAAATCTTCGTACCGGGACGCGCAAGAGAAGCTCATGAGACTGTCATAGAAGGACCTGCTACATGTAAGAGTGTCCCAGAAGAGTTTTCAGACCTTCGTGTCCAAGACATGACATCTAGAAGGTTTTCAGGCAATGGCCTATTAGAGAGGACCTTGCGAGGATCTCCACAAGATCTTCTGACAAGGCCCTGTACAAGATCCCGGCAAGGATCTCTTAGAGGAATTTATCCAGATTTCCGCAAGATCTTCGTATAAGGATTTGTGCAAGATCATGCAAGGACCTCTTAGAGGATGTCAGCCAGATCTGCACAAGATGTTTTCATGAGGACTTGTACAAGATCACGCAAGGGCATTTGACAGGATCCTAGCAAGACTTTCACAGCAGCTTCTCACAAGGACCCTCGCAAGACTTTAGCCAAGATCTTAAAAATCATCGGAGCATGAAACTCTTGCAAGATCCTGATGGAAGGGACCAAGGGCAGGAACATTTTTTTGCCCGAGCCTGCGCAGGCGAAATGCACATATGAACATTCTGTTTGATGCCAGAGGTTACAGGAAAAATGTCGCGGGACGGCCGTTTTTTGCGAGCCTCCGCAATCGAAACGCACACGAACATGTCACGGGCTATCTTAAGCTCTAATTGACAGGAAAAAACACCACGTGTATCACGCCGCAGAAGTTGGGCCCACATTTTGCCCGAGCCTGCGCAGTCGACATGCACCTGGACATTGCACAGGAGCCACCCGATGCGCGAATTCACGCGAAAAAATTCACCTCCCAACATCGCGCCGCAGACTTTGTGCGAGCTTGCGCGGTCGAAATGCAACAACGTGAAGACTGGACACTAGATGTTGAAATTTATGTGTAGTCGTGCAAAAGGTTAGAGTAGTCATGGTCTTAGGGCGGCATTCCACATCCCTGCGGGGTTGCCCAGGACCATGTGAAGTATACGGCTTATCGCCGACAAGCACACCAGGTGGCCCTCCAGTTCCTGGACGACGTGCAGGACCCAACACCAACCGCTCTGCTGGAGCAAAGGTCGGAGGAGGAAAGGAAGCACCTGCTAGGTGTGAAGTCAAGATTTAGTTCCTTTTGTTGCTGCGTCATTGCGGGAGAATTAAGCCAAGAAATTATTTGTCAATGACATTTAGGGAATTGAAGAGGAGGCATGCACCTGTGGGGGATCAAATATTGAATACATTTCTCTTTCATGCTGTTTGGGGCATTAAGTATTGATTTTATTCCCTTTCATGGGGTTTGGCACAAAATCTCCCAAACAACTGATACGGTAAAACGTCGGGCAAATGCACTTAAAAAGAATACATAAATATAGTAGGGAAGAGAAAGGGTAAGAATCAAAAGCATAAAGAAGATAAAGAGCAACCAGAGAGTTGAAAAGACTAGGGAAGAATAAATACAAAGAGAGTAGGGAAGGAGATGGAAGAACGATCACGGGGTATCAGAACCAGAATGAACCTAATTAAAACCAGAGTTAGTTCTGTCACGGTAGCTCCCAAACGGGATAAGCCTTCAAGGCTTTCCCGGGTCAGGCATGTTGTGGAAAATGATAGAGTAAGGGCATCAGAAAACAGAAAAAGCAGATCAAGGCCTTTGCATTGGCTCACAAGTTAATGCGTTACCATTTGCGGCCAATGTTAGCCATCAAAGGTAGAGAATTAACTCTAGAGCTAAGCCTTGCACCATTGTGACCTGGAAACACAAACAAACGATGAAGGAATGTAACGCGATTTGACCTTAACTAAATCCCGCATCCACTCCCAGGTTGAAGTGCACACAAGAATAACAGTCTAAATTATGATTTCATTTTCACTGCGTACTGGAATTCATTTCCATTTGTGCCGAGGAGAGGAACCCCTCGTGCCTGCGGTGAGGCACAAGGGATGCAATCTTCCGGGGTGGTCGCCGCTTATCGGCAGCAATGGATCGGACCGTCAAAGATCCAAAGCTGCCTTTGGACGGCAAGATATACTTGCATTTTTTCGGGATGCATGTTTTTTTGGACCTGGGCACCCTTTTTCTGGACTTGCACAAGTTTTTTGCACCTGGCCGGATTTTTTTTTGGGGTTTGAAGGCGGGCAAACGGCAGTCTTGAACGTGCTTAAAAACAGATGGCTGGGGCCTGTAGCTGCGAGAGTTGCCTTGGAAAGGCCTGCGGAAGGGTTTGAAGCATTGTCTGGGGCCTGTAGCTGCGAGAGTTGCCTTGGAAAGGCTTGCGGAAGGGTTTGAAGGATTGTCTGGGGCGTGTAGCTGCGAGAGTTGCCTCGGAAAGGCCTGCGGAAGGGTTTGGTTGCTGGAATGTGAGGGCCATGGCCGTGACAAAGCAGGTTCCACACCTCCGGTGGTCCCAGGCGCCGCCCTTGCCTTGGCCAAGGCAGGGTCGGCGGATTTTCACAGTTTGTAGTATTACAGTATTACCAGAACTAACCATCATTATTCCCAAGGCAGTGACTGTAGGGTTTCAATCTCTGTGTCTGGGAGTGGTGCACCGTTTTTTGTCGGCCTTGAAAACCGGAACGGAACCCTGGGGCCTGCAGTTGGGTTGCAAAGGTGGGTTAGTCCCAACTTCATCCGCAAATCTGGTTGGTTGATTTGTTTATTCCAGCCAAACAGCTTGCTGGAAAACTCTCCGGCCGCAGCTCGCTGGAAAACTACCCATTTGTGCATGATTTTCCCATTTGAAACTTCCATTTCTATCCATTTCTAGGGGATTTCCCAAGCCATGGATTCAGGATGTGGACCTGGGGCCTTTCACCCTGCAGATTGAAACCTGGCTCCTTGGCGGACGGTGCTTTCACCCAGGAAACCAAGAAGAAGATAGGGATTTCACCAGAAATTGATGATTTGAGTAGGAAACATGTGGATTTCCCCTTGCAAAATTGAAGCTTCGACCAGATCTGACGCGGGAGGATGACAATTTGCAGGACGCCCCTGTGGTTCTTTCGTTTTTTTTTGAGCCATGGGCCATGGCCACTTGCGGATCCCTAGTAATGGTTTGACATGAACATGACCAGCCGTGACTTGTGCGTCCTTTGGTGCCGATTTTGTAGTAAGACTGCCGATCCTGGTGGTGATAATCCCCATGTTCGTTGATATCACGATTTTCATCTACTTGAAATCCAATTCGTCCGCTTAAGGTATGGTATTTTCTGTTAATTTTTCACTTTGTTGCTGATTATAACCGGCATTTTTACTGAACAAATATGGTTTTTCTTGGTCTTTCTGAGGCCCAGCTTTCGCTTGGGCAGCTCTTTGTGGCCCTCGGGCTTTTTGTTGGCTGAAGCACTGGCCACAAGTTGGGGGCCTGGTGAAGCTAGGAGCTGGTCAGTTTTAGAGGATCTGAATCCATCCATGTGTTTTGGATGTTGATGATTTTTGATCCGCATTTATGGGAAAATGATAATTCATTAGCAACATTTTCAGCCATGAAATTATGGGAAATCATCATTTTCATAGGTGAAGGGAAACTTCCCATTTTTGATGGATCAAACCATATGAAACTTCATTTTGCTAGATAAAATACAACACAATTTCAATTCTCATGGATGAAATCCTCGCAAACGACCAACAGATCAACAGTGAAACCTGCATTTTCTCTCAGTTTTCATGGTAAAAGCCCGATTGCTCATGATGAAATCTCTATATTCCACAGTGAAATTCCTATATTCCATTTAATTATTCCATTTATTCCAAGAAATCCATGATTCTCCCATCAACAAATCACCAGTTTTCATGATGAAATCGCCCTATTTTTCCATGGTGAACCCCTCGTTCTTCGCAAAGCCATGGCAGGTGCCGTGGCGCTGCCCCGGCCTTTGGCCGGCTCCTCGGTCCTGGAGCTGGGCGCCGGGCCGGGGCTGCCGGGACTGGCGGCGGCCAAGATGGGCGCCAGGTTCCTGATCTGGGAACAGGAAGAATTAGATCAATAAAAAGAATTGATAAATATCTGGGCAAATTATAACGACCTCACTGCGACCTCGCTGGAAATCATGGTTAATAAGGGGAATCATCCCCAAATGGCCTTAATTCAGGTTAGTGAAATATTATAATTTGTCCAGAATAAATATCTATTCATTATTTTTGATGATCAATATTTGTTTCTATACTATAATTAGATATAGGAAGAATATTTTCTTTGTTTATTGGTAATGATCTTGTTTATTGATATACAATCCAATTGAATTGGATAATTATTGGTAATTATATTAACCCATCAACCTGATCAATAAACAATGAATATAATGATCCAATGGGATAAATTTGGTTATAACTGACATAATTAATAGTGATGTAGATAAATAAATGATATAGAAATCATGAATTTTGTGACTTTAGCAATAAGAATCTACAGCGCTACCTGACAACATCCATTTTTTTTGTGGGTTGGATTTGAGCAATTTGGCAAATGGTCCGCGCAAATATGCGTATGCGCAACTCAAACGGTTAGACGGATATGAGCAGTACTTGTAGGGAAATCCAGTATCACCTCTGTGTATGGAAACATGGCTGGACACATTGCCGATTTGTAGAGAGACTTACCCTTGGGATCCAAATTGCAAGCCCATCTGAGGAGAGTTGGAACTCCAAATTTCCGCAAGTAGGAATTGTATCCCGCATCTGCATACACTCACAACAGAATATCCACTTCTATCCACCTATATAATTAGAGAGTATTTTTGTTGCACCATTTCTAGTCACACGGTTAAATAGGTATGAATATGTTCACATGTTGTACAAAAGCCACCTTTTTCCTATGGGATATGTCCAGACATTGTGTGGGTGTAGACATACCACATCATACCACACTTCAAATTGATGTATACAATTCATTCCTAGGTTAGTTGCTCATGTAATACACAATCGTCTAGATCTTATTACCGAGGAATCTAGACGCCATTCTCAAGCTTAGCAGCTTCTCAATGACCCATTCTTTGCCAGGGTTACCTTGACGGACTATTCCGAGCTGGTCCCTCTGATGGAGAGAAACATCCTCCACAACCAGTTGCAAGGCGCTTGTCGCTGCGGCAGTTTTCTGCTTCTGGATGGGCTACAAACTGTCATCAATTGGGTCAACACCTGTTATCATCCTGGAATGACTAGATAGATGGATGGATGGACGGACAGACAGACAGACAGATAGATAGATAGATAGACGGGTCTGTCTCAGAGGAACAAGCCACTGGATTTGAGGTATACATCATTTTCAGACACATCCAGATAAGCAGATCCACTATAGCTACAGTATCTATCTACAAATCTCTATTTGTCCCTGTTCCTCTCTCTTTCTCTATCTTTCTGTACGCACACATGCACGCACAGAAGCACATGTCCAGACAATTCTCTACATATTTGTACCCTGTAGACTGTAGCCAACATGGCAATAGGAAATCTATATTGATCAAGTGGATATGAAACGGAAGCTGTTAATTGCTGCCCCATCAAATTCTACCCTTTGGAGGTCTTTGTATATAAACATCCCAAAAGTTGGTGTGTACTACCACTGCCCAATGGTATACGCCCGCGTACAATACCCAAGGTTTTTGGAAATGGGAAGATCCAACCATTTGTCACATGGCATGGACATGGAGTTTTCAATGCAGACAGTTCAGGATCAAACATTGGCGGTTTTCAACATACTTCAACCAACGATACAGGACTTCAAGCATGTAAACATGGATCAACCGTTGTTGTCTCAAAACTTTGAACCATTTTCCACCGTCCCATGGTTTGGACCATCATTTTAGCCATCAGAACAGTGGATAGTGAAGGTCAATAGAAGCATGTGATGAACTTCAAAGGAACCCAATATCTCTACATATTACGGCTCGGCCCCATTCTTGTAGTTGGTATCCCTAGATATTCCTATATCTTCCCCTCTTTCTCTCTCACACACACACTCTCTCTCTCTCTCTTTGTACATGAATATAAGTATATATATATACACACATTATAAGTTATAAGATGCAATTGACATATACAGAATAAACAAATGTACCAGTATTCAGATCTTCTCCATTCCGATTAGTGATTAGTACATCAACTCTGTGCCTGTATTCCCAGCCAAGACTGGGATGTTTATTGCGGGAACATCTGCAGAATATTTTCCACGTCAAATACAGGGATACACCCTGCAAAATGTCCTCGCCAATTTTGGGGATATCATCAACCTTGGTTGATTGTTACTTTAGATATGTTAGTTATTTGGTTGTTGGCTGATACCAACTGAACTCAGCTGGTTAAACGGGGGCAATCCACACACTGTGAATCCTGATCAGGATTTGGACAAACCATGGGTTTTCTGTCTCAAAATCACCCTTGAACCCTATGGTTTATCATAATTTGCAGTCATGTTGCTACGAACATGGTGATGAAGTTGACCAAACCTCATGGTCTAACCTCTGGAAATCAAACGCGGCAGTGGAGAATCCATTCAGGATTTTCCCAGCTAGTGCCTCCATTTCGTTTGGCCAGCTTTTGGCCATGTTTGATTAGCGAAGGGCAACCAAGACTTCGAGGCGCCAAAGCCTGCAGCCTCGATTGGAGCCAAGTATCTGGGTGCCTGGACCGGACCTGGACTGTTGGGAAGGGGCTGCCAGAAACCTACCATGACTGGGGATGAAATCGCAGCCATCAAAATGGGTGATGACTTGGGGATGGCATTATGTGTGTGTATATATATTATATTATATATATTATACTATATGTATATATATATACACATTTGATATTCTATTGTCCTTATTTGTCATTAGTAACTATTGCTGTTGTCATGAGTATGATCGATTTCCACGGGCACAGAACAAAACCGTGGCATTCTCAGGTCGCAGCTCGCCTCGGAACTAAAGCTAGCACCTTTAGTGCCTTGGAACTTTGGGATGCAGCTCTGGTGCAGTTGAGGTGGAAAACATGGATACCATACAAAGAACCCTCATTAAAATTGGTACGCAACTCAACTGATATAAAGCCTACAATGATGGCCATCTATGCACTATATTCATCTATATTCAGTGGACTTATTCCGCGCTGAGGATTTCATCCTGGCTGCTGATGTGGTATACTTTGAAGAACAAGATCCACTGGTCGATGCGCTGAAGGTGCCGGTTGAATCCTGGACCGGATGGAGTGAAGCCATGGGCCCCTTTAGCACCAATCGGCTCATCCCAGTTCGCTTCACCAATCTGGAACCTCTTTATGGACCAACCATCAAAAGTTGGAGATTGGTTGCTGCTTCGTTCATATTACGAAAGCTAGTTGCTAGATGTTGCTAGCTGAAGTCCCTCTTGCTTTAGCAAGGCATTGGGGGGCCTGGAATCTCCAATCGCGTGAAACTTCACGGTTAACATCAGTTACCCTCTGGGAATTTAACGTAGTTATAGAAAATCACCATTTTTAATAGGTAAACCATCTATAAATGGGCCATTTTCCATAGCTATGTTAGTTTACCAGAGGGTAACTACCCCCGATGTCCATCAGCCAGGAACTCATGATGCCCGAGACCACTTTAGTGCTGGCGTATCGAGAGCGCACGCCTGCAGATCGGATCTACTTGGAGGAGCGGTCGAAAGAGTCGACCCAAGAATGGGACAGATTTGAAAACATGTATGATGTTCATATACATCTCATCCATATCATGTACATAGATATAAAATGATATATATATATAGTCTATAGTTATAATTACACTTACGCCTTATATCAACCATTGATGTTGAGTTGTAGCACTTATCTCCGCAGCCCGGGTAGCCCGGGTCCCCAAATCCAGGATGTGATCCTGCCAAAGATGCAGGTGGGTCGTGAGTCGTGCCCACGAAAAAAAAGAGAGGTCTTGCACTTTAAGACTTCAGTGAATCGGATTTATGGTGGATATATCACTGATATATCTATAGATTCTATAGTTCGATGGTTTCAAACGTTGGAGATTCAGTTTTTGTTGTACGATGTTTGGTATATTTCAACATATTTCAACTATTTGGGTCAAAATCCACAGTGGCCCATTCTTCAAAAAGCAGCCCCAAAAGAGATAGAGACGTAATTTAATTTACTACTATTTTAATCTATTTCAGTAGGATTTTACCAAACTTCACATTTTTTTTGGGGTTTTGTACCACCTGTCCAGGCTACCCGGCTGGACTTTCAGACGCCTGCGCATGGCTCCTGCGAGATCTACGTGGGGAGCTGGAGTCAAAAAGAGAATGGGTCTGTTTGAAATGGTGGTATACCCTCCGGTAAACTAACATAGCTATTGAAGATGGCCCATTTATAGTTGATTTGCCCATTAAAGATGATGATTTTCCATAGTTATGTTGGTTTACCAGAGGGTATACCCATAAAATGACCATTCAATGGGGAAAATATGGGAACATGATGATTAAGCATGATTAAGCGATTTAGGGATACCTGATTTTCAGACAAAGTCAGATGGGATCGGCTCCAGGGAACCTAGATCTGAAAAACATGGATGGCTTACTGCAATCCTACTTGTAACAAACAACTGGAATCAGAATTATGAGATGGTTAATTACCAATTGTTGGCTGGTTCATGGATATGGCTCAAAACGATGTATATATATATATAGATATATCCCCAAGAAATGGATGAAATACTCCAAAGTCATCCAGCATTTTGTGGGTCCAGACAGGTTCCCCTTCGATGATCCATAGCGAACATGTTGCCACCCCGGTTCCCAAGTGCCGCCTTTTGGGCAGGTTAGCTTTGGAGGGATGGCATTGATTGTTGATTGGTTCGGGAATCTTTGGGATCTCTCTGGGACTTGTTTCCACGGCTAACGCAGAACATCACTCTGCAGAAGCTTGGCAGGCCCTGGAGGTCCTGTAGAAACACAGAGACCTGGAAGGCTTCCATCAACATCCATGTGGCGGAAGTTTCCAGGTATCCTGACACATCCTGACTTCTTTAGTAGTGATTCCTGTGGCAGAAGCCTCTGGGCGTTTCGAAGGGAGCACACATTTTTCATTCTTGGCGTCCATCTAAGTAGGAGATTTCTGTTGAGTTCTAAAGTTGGCGCGTCTCGACCTGGTGGTATTTTGGCTCCTGCCTTAACGACGCAGCTTGGTTGGTGGTCCGTTGTTCTTAAGGTTGGAACAATGGCATGCCTAGCTATGGCGGTTCCATGCACAGCAACAAACCATCCAGAATACACTATGTACATCTATCTAGATAAGATAGCAGCTCACAACGCAAGAATGCCATTATATAAAGACAAGTCAATCAGCAGATGGTGTGCGACAAAGACCTTCAGAACGCAGACACTTAAGGGCCCTAAAACAGAATACAGGCCCGCGACCGGAAACCTCTACTGCGATCGCTGCGATCAGCACCAAGAGGTGGCCATGGAGGACAAAATCTCATGGTTTTCAGATGTTTTTAGACGCTCAAGATTGGTGCGGCTTCATTTCCCCACAACCTTTTGGGACAATGCAAATCTGGGCGCCCCTGACTCAATCAATTCAATAAATATCCTGCATTTCGGGGCGAATCTCATTTGCGTCGTTTCCCATTTTTCTGAGATCAATGGTCAGTTTTTCATCACGTCTTCGTTGCTTCCAACCTCAAAGTTGCCCCCAACCTCCCTCCGCCCCAACGACTATTCCAAAGGACCCTGCCGCGGCGGCTGCGGCGGTTATGGCGGAGGCTTCGGCGATTGCGGTGATGCCTGGAGGCACATGAGAAATGGCGGATTTTTCCATCAAACACGGAGCTTTGACCAGCAACTGGGGGATGGTAATGATGGTCATCTTTGATAGGGAGGTTTCCTGAAAAAGGGGTACCCCTAAAATCATTCATTTTTGTAGGATTCCATTATAAACCATCCATTTGGGGTACCGGGTACCTCCATTTATGTCTGGTGCATTTTCTGAAGCCAGGCCCCCCGCCGATGCCGCCTCCGGGACACATGCCGCATGGCCCACCCATGATGCCGCCCCCGGGGATGATGCCTCCGGGGATGATGCCGCCACCCGGGGTTGGGGGCCCCTGGCAGGTCAGGTGGAACCAGTTGGGCCCCTGGGTTGGGGGGTTCCTAAAATCATTGGTTTTTCCTAGAACAAAATGGCTGAGAACTTGGAATGATAACTTGGGGTTCCGAAACCCTCAGTTGACCAATGGTTTGAAGGATTGGGAGTTGCATTACGCGGCAAGCAAGTCAAGAATGGGATGATGCGTCCACGGAATGGCCGAAGGGGACATGTGTTTTTCCAAGGTATGTAGTGAATTCATGTGGGACAGCATCCGAAATGAAGTGGTCAACAAATTCCGCATTTCTTTACCACTGTAACATGAACAAACAGAAAGCAAAGACAAAGGAAACCCATTGTCGAGATCGGATCCTAGTTAATTGACGGAAATAACATCAGCTGCAGAACATTGATGCAATTCATGCTTCAGAGGAAAATTTGAAATACCTCGCAATTTCAGTTTGAACTTTGGAAGCTGGGGCATGTTGAGGCCCTACCTGATAGTGATGACCTGTTCAAAAAAGGCGGAACCCAATTATCAGTACAGTGGTTCTAAAAAAGGATGGAACAAAACGAGCAGACCCCAAACATCCCCAGTATATCACTCGTTTTCGATGTTCGAGCATGTTGGTGCCCCTACAGAAAGGACCTTCCCACTTATAAATTTATGTCAATGCCCACCCATCCCAATTCGAACAGATCCCATATCCCCTCTGTCCATGGGGTTCCCGTCTCTGGTGCCAAGGTGCTGCCCCCAGAGATGCATGGTATGCCCATGCCACCGATGCCTGATGGAATCCCGGAGGCCATGACTATCCATCTTCGGGCACCGAAAATGCTGTGAGGAACTGACACCACTTGGGGTGATTTCGAGATTTTCAAGGAACTTTCGGAAAGAAATCCCGAGGCCCGGTTTAAGCCGTTTCTGCCCGAAAATGCCGGCGGCTTCCTGCAAATGTTCTTTTCATCTTCCGGGATCATTGGCCAGAAACCATGGGGACAACAACGGGGATCATCCCATCAGTTGTGGACAATCCAGTGATTTGGGAGTAACTGCAGTGATTCTGGTTCCGAATATTGGGACCATATACATTGGCCAGCTCAAAATCGATATTCGTCGGCTACAAGCGCTCCAGTCTTGAAATGGAGTCACTCTCCATGACCTGCCAGCTTGCTATGGCACGGAAGGTAACGGATTTTCCCACAGGTTTTGGTCATGAGAGTCACTCAAAACGACAGAACAGTAAAGGTTCCATCAAGAAACTAGGGAAAAACATATAGTTTTTATATAAGACCCCTATTCCAAGAAAAAGAGGAATCTTGTAAGTCATAAAGATACCCTCTGGTAATCAAACGTGGCAATGCAAAGAATCAACTCTCTCTCTCTCTATATATATATATATGATATAATTATATGATATATATGATATATATGATATATATGATATATATATATATATGATATATATGATATATATATATATATATAAAATAGTTCAATGATTTTCCCAGCGAACTAAACCTCCATTTCGGCCAAGCGGGGGATTTTCCAGGGGCCACGGCCAGCCAAGCGCCGGCGGCTAAAGGGCTTGGACGCCAACAGCTGAAAGCTCAGCAAAAAATGGCCGTGCTTTATGGGGAAAAAATTCGAGAAATGATGAATCAACCATTGGATTTTGGGAAAGTTCTAGAAATCAAGTGTTTTTTTTCCGACAACCAGTGATTTTAACAAAATGGCATGGAAATTCCACCATGAAACTAAGGTAACTAAATCATGTTCTGAAGGGGAAACGACCATGGTTTTCCATAGCTGGAGGGTACCAAGTTTGGGAACAATTTTCCAAAAACATACCAACTATCAGGAGGAATCACATTTTGTTGAGGAACATGCGCAATGTTCAGGGGGCGAACAACTTCTATTTGGGGGACAAAAGCCAACACTTTTGGGGGAATCAGGTTTTGATTTCAGCTATGCCATGCCAAATCACTTCAAACTTAATTAAAAACTTTATTTGAGTCGCTTCGTGACGAGAACCGCCCGCACCCAGAGAGTTTGGCCCAACCAAAGCTACTTGGCCCAACCAAAGCCGACTGGGTCAAACTTGGCCGTCCTTGGCCTTAACTTGAGCCGAACAGGAGCCAACTTGGGCCCAACTTGGGCAAAACTTGCACCGAACTCGGGCCAGTTGGCTCCAACTTGGGCCCAACTTCCCCCCAACTGGGATCTGGCGCCGAAGTTGGGCCCAATACAAGCCCAATGTGGGCAACATGGCCTTGCACGAACCCCCATCAAAGCCCAAAAACGTTGGAAATAGCGCGTGCAAAGAGTCTGCAAATTGACCTGGGTTGGGCCCAGCTTGGGCCGGGGCTGCCCCCAACTTGGGCCCAAGTTGTGCTGTTTTGGACCCAACTGGAGCCCAAGTCGCCAATTGGTCATGTTGGGCCGAAGTTCCAAAGCGATCCAGATGGTCCCCAAATTGAAGCCATGTGATGCATATGAAAGTCCAAGTCAGGCCCAACATGCTTGGAATACTTTGGCGACAGCTTCGCGCAAGTTGGGCCCAACGGAGACGCAACGATTTCGTATTTGGCTGGCCATGTGCTCCATTTTGAAGCCATGTGGACCCCGACTTGGGCCGGATTGCTCCCAAATGGTCCGACCTAGGGCCAAGTTGCGGTATGTTGGCCGAAGATGGAGCCAAGTGGGTCGAAATTGGGCCGCAGTTGGGGCCATCTTGGCCAAAGTTGACCCCAAGTGCAGCCGGATCGAAACGGTGGATTCGGACGATGTTGTGCCGATATGCAAACCGACTTTTGGCGCCCTGTCCTGGGCGAACATGGGCTCCCCCCAGCTGAAGCTGCACCAGACTGATCGGCCTATTCGTATTAAACTACCACCTTCGGTGCGGGTGGATTTTTTCCATATTCTTCTGATGGGAGGATGTTCTGCTTGTGGCGAGCCGCTTGGGAGCCGGAAATCGAAAACTCAACAGCTGAATTACCCTTGATGGGGGACTAACCGTGCCGAACAAAACTGCAACCCAATCCTGCCAGCATCGGGGCATGGGTCAACCTTAAGACCCCTTGACTAGACCATCAGATTTCGGGATGTTTCTGCTATCAAGAGCAAATCTAATTGGGGGGTGGCTAATCTTTGGCTTATACCGATTTGTCCAAATCATCTATGCCAACAACACCAACAACCCCAGGCCCCCAGGGCAGCCGCTGAAATCAGGTCTAGAGAAGATGCTCCGCGGTCTCTACCAATGCCTTAGGCACGGAGCTGATGGGACGAATGAAAATCCAGGGCACAACATTCTGATTGATGTATGGGCTGTATCGGGGTGGTAGTTACCACCCATTTCTAGTGATAGTTACCACCCATTTCTACTGATTTTAGGGAAGGGGTATAATTGGGCCTCATAATATAGATAAATAGTTACCTATTTGGCTTGGGCTTGAACATATCCCTATGTTATTGATTCTCGTATCACCCCAGTTCATGAGTCATTGCTCCAAAGGTACAATTTGGAGCTCCAATTTTTTTGGATGATACTCTCTTCTTATTTGAGCGACATTCTCAACAGCTGCACCCGCTGGAACTACATTTTCCGCGGTGGACGGTTCCCCATTTACAGTTAGATAGATTTATAGTTCTAGGGTGGTCCCCCAAAGAGATGCAATAAAAGAGTACAAAAAGTATCTTTTGAAACAAGACCCCACTACTTGAATAGATTTCTTGATTTTGCATGGCCTCACTGAGCCCTGCCTTTCTTTCCCCATGGCCCGGTAGGCGCCTGGTGGACGTGCTGCCCGAGAAGACGCCCAAGGAGGCCCCCGTGGAAGCCTTGGAAGAGGCGCCCGATATCAGCGGAAATATTGGTGGCTATTAGTTAAGCCAATAAAAATATGGGATCTAATTGGTAATTCATCATCAATACCGTCACAACTACTATGCTTTGAAAAATACCAAGTAGATCCCAACTAGCTATTAACTATACGTAGTTTTGTTATACCCCAGGGTAGACCAACGTAGATGTGGAAAACCTACGAAGAGTTGCTTGACTTCTGATTCTGCAATCCAACCAAAGGAATCGAAATCAACTTACCCTCTGGTAATTTAACGCAGCAAGCTGGGAAATCACAATCTTTACTAGGTAAATCATTGTAAAACATGGAACTAAATGGGCCATTTTCTATAGCTATGTTAAATAACCAGAGGGTATATCCATGGTTAACCTAATTTTATATATTGCAAACACCATAGTTTGAGAAATACCCATTAGTTATCAGCTATAATTTTATGCAGCGTAGTTAACCGACAGTCAAAAGTTGGATTTAAGAATTAAACACAGAAATACACTGGTGTAGCCAACTGCAATTTATCAGAAGCTAGATGATATAGCCATGTTTGGGGATTGTCAGCAATCCCTTTCCATAGGGATTTATATACAGATGATGTTTTAATTCCCATGGATAGATGACCATACCTGATATACCATATGTTAAAAATTGGGGTGTTTGGTGGGCCTTGGCACATGAAAAATTGCGGTGATTTCCCATAGTAATTTTGGGAGAAGAGGCATGTACTCATTTTCTTGCCGGCTGCAACTGGGACCCGTTAGCTCAGCCCGCGCAGTGAATTTTACTTTGATGCCATAGACTTCTTGGCAGGTCACATTCTATTCACTGTCCAAACTGAGTACCTACAAACATGAATGACAAATACGAAAATCGATCACCAAAATCTGTCAATCCCAAGGTCGGATGGGATGGGTCACAAAAAGGTCGCCCACATGCCACATGCCGCCTCTCAAAAATAGGCAAAAAAGTATTCCCATATAGCTACGGTCAAAACTGCCATTCACAAAGACAGTATTAATATATTAATAATACAATTATGTCCTACTTATAGCTCTTGGAGTTGCGTGCTCTTCATTGAAGTGAAGTGAGAGGTGGCCAGTCAACTCGATGGCTGAACGGTTAGGTTCCATCTCAAATTTCAAGGGACCATCACGGGGTTTTAGATTTTATAATGTCTTACTATAGCTATATGAAATCTTGATCAGCATTTGGATTGGTCTCGACACATCGAACATCTCATAGTTGTGTAGTAAAAGCCAGGGTTTTCGGTTCCGAATTTCCCAACCAAAACAATTCGGGGCCCCTGCGCCATTCAGCTTAGACTGAATAAAGAAACACAAGTTTCTTCTAGACTCATTGCAGACTCTGTTGGCATCTCTTGTCAAGCTATTTCTCAACATCCCAGGTAGTTCAGTTTTACGAGTTCTTGCAAAATGGGGATGTTCCCTAACAGTTACTAGCTGGGAACATCCCATGGTTATAGCTACCCTCTGGTACTCAGACAGACATGACTGGCTGGAAATCCCCCATAGAAACGGATGATCTTCCCAGCTAGTGACACCTCCATTTTCTTCAGGGATTTTCCATTGCTATGTTTGATTGGAGGGTAATTCGGTTGCCACTCCCTGCATTGCGCCTGGGTTTCAGGACTTCGAGCAATTTTGGCGCCTGCGCTTTGATGCTCGTGCCATGGGGGAGCCAGGTGGCGGCTGCAAGCTGTGACCCTTCCACTGGGTGCAGCTGGGGGGTTATTAATGGGAGATAACCATTGTAGACCCCATAAGTTGGGATATGGGGCCCCTTTTTCACTAGACTTCATTTCTGACCACTTAGTGGAACTGCACTGGTGCAAGTCCCGGTTGTTTTTACACCATCATCATAGGGATTAATCCCGCAGAGTTTGGATTTTAAGCGGGGTGTGAATATGGCGGGGTCTAACCAAGCAAATAGGGTGTTATTGAGGTAAACTCCGGGTCAACCCAAGACACAACCACTTTTTTGGGTCTCGTCTCGTTTTTAAGACCCCCCAAATGGCAAATCTGGAAACACGGGGTGAGCACCCAAGTGCCAGCTACAAAGCAGTATGTTTTAGAGAACGCCAGCGATTGGCGTACATGGTTGATGATAATCCCAGAAGTATTTGTAACCTCAGGTACCTCGCAAAACCCCTCTGTTGCATCTGCAGGTACTTCCTTATATCTACAAGTAGTTACATATTCTGATCGCATTCTCCCAGCTTTTGGAAAGAACTCCGTGGGCATCATGAGACTCGACCAATTTTTCTCCGCCAGGCACCGCAGCCTTCTTGCGACGTTTTCCAACTGTTGGGTGGGCCCAGTGCTTCGAAACCTGCACATTTCCAGGGGTTTAGCATGTAAAATATCTGCAAGAATGGGATTCCAAGCAACCAATGGAGATGAATTGGGATCAATGTATTTCATGATGGGAGTTCCTGTTCTGAACCAACTGGTGAATGGTTTGGCTTCCCCATTTTTCAATAGAGGAACATATCATATTCCGGAATACATATTATGTTGAACATCTAGGGTTAGCCGTGAGCCATGCTGATTAGTAAAGAAGGTGTAGGAAGACCTCATTTTTTCCAAGAACCATCTGGATTTTGTTCACCAATGTTTGATTGAAGCAAGCTGCAAGGAAACCTTAAAGATTCATTTTGTTGACCGTAAACCTCCAGCCGCTTCATCCGAAAATCAGCTTCGGAATGCGGGGGGCTTGGCATCATCTTTTCGGTTCAAATGGTTATGGATAGATAGGGATCTACACAATATTATGGTATATTATGGATATACGGGGATAGAATGTGGATACGGTATTGAGTTGGATACATAGAGACAACAACATGTGATGACAGACTTAAACCACCTTGTTTGGGTTATTTTCACGGGTAAAACCATGCACAATTCCATGGGATTCTTCCCCCAAGCTGGGGCAAACGGCATTCACTGGGATTTCCCAGCATCCTCCATGTCTAGTTTGGGGATCTCCCAGCTAACAGAGGCTTCCCACTTCTTCCCATCCCCTGGTGGCTCGAAAAACCCGGCGAAAATCCCCATGGAACTTCCCAGCGAGATCCCTTTGGAAAAAATCCCCATGGATGTGCCGCTCCAAAAGCCCAGGTCTTTGGTCTCCGCAGCACTGGCTTATCTGTGATGGTCTCGCCCATGGAGGACCTGTAATTTCACCTGAAAACGATGATTTTCCCACCGTTTTGTCGATGATTTTCCCATTTCCATGTTTGACATGTTTGACTCATATGATGTTATTTTGGATGACTTTAACATCAACTTCATTTTTTGAGGCTACTCATGTTCTGACCATAGGGTCTCATGCGAACGGGAATGCGGACCGTGGATGCCAAGCGGAGCTGAAATTCATGATGGCTGCCCCCCAGCCGATTTACAACAATCGGTGGTGAAATAGTGGTTACCCCGAGAAGTTGAGATATTTGTAAATTAACATGTGGTGGTTTCCTGAAATGGATGGTTTATAAGGGAAAATCCATCTATAAATGGATGATTTAGGGGTACCGGGGTACCCCTATTTTAGGAAACCACCATGTATATAAGGAAATCCCAGCAAAAAAAGGACTTTTTTTTGTTCAAGCGGGTTGTGAATATGATCGCATCCGAACGGATCTGCTTCCTATGATTCTTTTTCCTTGTAACTTCCAGTATTGTCAGCTGCTGCTTTTCTATACCTTTCTCAGTATGATCATGATTTATAGCTGATTTCTAGCTGATTCTGTTGTAGACATTGGGTTTTGATCGGCAGCTACTTTCTATCACCATCCACCCTCCAGAATCCGCCGAAAAAACCTGAAAAAAGGAGCCGAACTTTGACGAAGCGGCTGCTGTGGGCTTGGAAAAAACCAATGCCGAAACCAAGACCTTCAAGGTGCCAAGCCTTTTCGTCCGGATCCAGCTTTGCTGAAGCCTGGGTCAAAGTGAAGGAACTGAGTTTAGCCTATACATAGAAATAAGGAAATAGATATATCATGTTTCCAAATATGGATATGCAGATAGAAGGCTGATGTCTGCCTGACATTGAAGGTATTCTATGCGGGACTGTAATTTGTTGTGTTGTTGCTGCATGTGTTTTCACAAGTTTGAACTATGGAAAATATGATTTGCCTCCATCTCCTGACATTTTTGCACTTACCTAAGACGGTATATACCGAAACCACCTTTTGAAGCATGTTTGAATATTTTCTTGGTCATTTGCAAGGTTTCGAGCCTCAAACTAAAAGAGGAAACCAACCCTCTAAAACGAATAATTTAATATACCCTAAATCAAGCCTAAACCAACCCTACATCTTATACCCACCCCAAATTAACTCCCAGTCAGTGAAAGCTAAATTAGGACAAAATGAACTCGAATTGAACCCTAAACATCGCGGAACCAACCCTTAATTAATCCTAAATTGACATGTTTGGGCGAAATTCCGCTCTGGATAGAGATATGATACAGTAGCACACATTATATGTGCCACGGCCAAAATTTGGCTACCCAGTCCTTGGGAGATGGTCATCAATGCCACTGGTGGGATTTTTGAGGTCGGAAGCTGCAGGTAAAATGCTGGTCATGCTTTAGTGCAGTAAGATTTTGGGATTTTCCCAAGTGAAGCAACATCAACTTCGAGTTTTCAGCCACATGCTGACAGAGATTAGCTGTACTTAGAGGCCAACCCTGGGGATGGTATACCTTGCAACCATTGGAGATCCCAATTTTGCGACATACGAAGGGAGGCTATTTATTTTAGGATTTTTTTTTTCATAAGGTTTAGGTTTTTTTTGAGTCCTGCTTTTTTGCTGTTCCTGTTTCTCTGCTTCTCTGCTTTTCCTGCTTCTCCGCTTTTTGATTTTCCTGCTTGTTTGCTTTTCTGCTTTTTTGCTTTTCCTGCTTTTCCTGCTTCTCTGCCTTTCCTGCTTCTTTGCTTTTCTGCTTATCTGCTTTTCTTGCTTCTCTCTTCTCTGCTTCTCTGCTTTTCGGCGTTTTGCTTTTCCTTCTTCTCTGCTTTTCTGCTTTTCTGCTTCTGTGCCTTTCTACTTCTACTTTTTCCTTTTCTGCAGTCATGCGTTTTTGCTGCTCTATTTCTTCCTGCTCCTCTGCTTCTCTGCTTCCTCTTTACCGTCTCTTTGCTTTTCTTTTTCCTTTGCTTTATTCTCTCCTGTTTGTATCCTTAATGAAACCCTAGAGAAACCCTAGGTGAAACTCTGAAGACCTCCTAGATGCAAACCTAAAGAAACCCTAAATGACACCCTACTAATTCGGATCGCTAAATGACAGCCTAAAAAAATCCTAAATGCCACCCGAAAAGAACCTTAAAGAAGCCCTAAAGATCTCTTAAAGACACCCTAGATGACACCCTAAAGAAACCCTAGATCACACCCTAAAGAAACCCTAAATGACACCTTAAAGATACCCTAAATGAAACCCTAAATGACACCCTGAATGACACCCTAAATGAAACCCTAAATGAAACACTAAATGCACCCTGAAGAAACCCGAACCCAAAAGAAACCCTGAACCAAAAATGAAACCCTAAAGAAACCCGAACCCAAAAGAAACCGTAAACCAAAATGAAACCATAAAGAAACCCGAACCCAAAAGAAACCCTAAACCAAAATGAAACCCTAAAAAAACCCTAAAGATACCCTAAATGAAACCCGAAAGAAACCCTAACCGAACCCTAAATGAAACACTAAAGATACCCTAAATGACATCCTAAACCTTAAGTAAAACCTAAAGATACCCTAAATGAAACATTGAAGAAACCCGAAATGAACCCCAAAAGAAACCCTGAATGAAACCCTAAAGATGCCCTAGATGACAGCCTAAAGAAACCCAACGTGACACCCTAAATGAAACCCTAAAGAAACCGTAAATGAAACCCTAAAGAAACCCCAAATGAAGCCGAAAAGATACCCTCAAGAGACCCTAACTGACACCCTAAAGATCCTAAAGAAACCCACATGAACGTCTGAACTATCAACATGCAGCAAATACTATACAAAATAATAGCTTGAAGTGGCACACATGTAGCAAATACCGTGCAAAATGGAAGGTGAGCATGCGAAAAAATAGCAAATACCATGCAAAATGACAAGCTCTAGTTCCAAACTGTTGCAAATACAAGGCAAATGGCAGCAGGAAAGAAGTCCAACAAAAAAAGCCAAACCTTATCAAAAAAAAGTCTTCTTCACCCTGGCATTGTCCAAAAAATTGGACAAAACCACTCAAAATCCAGCGGATTACCATCATTTCTTTGGACCACGCTTTAACAATCTTTTACGAGTTGTGCCGGAAACACGCATCCACACTCAGCCATGGTTCCGCATCTTGTGAATCAAAGCACAAGGAAGAGCGAGTATGGCCGAGCACTGACCCCTGAACACCAAAGACATGTACAGCAACCACTCCAAAAAAAACGGGCAAACCAGGTCAGGAGCCCCCAAGGTATAATTTGAGGAGCAAGGCCCAAAGAATGTGGCCATGCCGAAGCCCGAAAGACAACCCACTTAAGGAACAGGCCAGGACGTGAGGGGACTTAGCCGGACTTGGCGCCCTTTGGCATGAGTGTTGCACGAAGGAGGCACTTGCGCCTGACGCGTCTAGGCTTCAAACTTGCCACCCAACCTGCGCGCACGGAAGCTCAATTTGCTTGGCGCAGAGGACCCGGTTAGCGAGGGCACGATGATTCAAAACTGCGTAGAAACACACTTGACGCTTTGTCTTGGCAGGTGTGCTGCCCATATTGCGCTTTTGGGTCCCAACAGACTTCTGGGGTTTCCACGCAAGTGAGAACATGTCAACGGCGCGCTTTTTCGAAAGAATAGGCACAATGTTGCACCTGCAATCTGCGTTGTTGGGGTTCAGCAGGTCAGGGAAAAATCATGGACCGTGTTGGGAACAGGTTGTTCATGTTACTAATTTGCAAGTGGCAACACGTTTGGGCGGCAACACGTTGGGCGCCGACAGGTTCATAGCTCAGAGCCTTCGTGCGTAAGGGACAAACATCGTGTACCGAAAAAAACATTTTCAACAAGCTTCAGATGCACATGGGGGGCGGCATGACGTCAGGATGTTAAGACAGTTTTTTCTTTGTCATCCCGTGTGTCCATGGGATGTGTTGGAAACAATTTTGAGTATATATATATACATATATATATACATATATATATATACATATATATATATACATATATATATATACATATATATATATATACATGTATTTATAATTATATACATGTATATATAATTATATACATGTATATATAATTATATATATACATATATATATATACATATATATATATACATATATATATACATATATATATATACATATATATATATACATATATATATATATACATATATATACATATATATATTATGTTATATGGTGCGTGAACACGTATGAAATGGATAAGGGGCCACACACTGTAAGCCATAAATGCCAAAAACGGCAGGTGACTTCCAACAGCAACCATGGCGGATTGGGTCCGTTCAATGTGTGAGGTGCCGGACGGCTTTGCCCATGGCCTTGGTGAGCAGGTGATCCGGGCATGGAATGGGAAGAAAATCCCGTGGCAAAAACCATCCGTTTCTCCATCAGTTTGGAGGCCATGATTGGGCAAACCCAACCCACCCAGGGATTGCAGGAATTTTAGATTTTGAAATTTGTTTGACACTTTGTGTTACGATCTGCTAGTGGGCAGCTAGCGACACAAAGAGGAAACATCCGTCGCCAATACCAGTGTGGAATCAACTTGTACCTAGGCGGAATGGGTTCCAACAGCATGGTCATGTACATATTCGATCAGTACCAGTGGCCGAAACTGGTTCAAATTTGAGAGGATTTGTCTGAAAATAAGGCACCCACAAATTCGATATAAACATGATTTTCCCCTATGAAATGACTATTTGTTGGGGTTATACCCACCATTTTTGGACAAAACCAATAGGATTTTCTCGTTTTTTCCAGCCGTGGCACAGGTCATTGCGGCTTTGGTGAACCTCACAGCAGAGGCTGATGGCCGTGAAGCACCTGAACAATGAGTTTTAACCAATAAATATTAGACTGTAATGTATATATATACAGTATATATGTATAGACTGTAAATATAATTGCCTACATTCAACCAACAATATGATTCTTGAGTTTGGATCTGAACATGTGGGGATTTAGCCTATAAAATAAAATTTCATCAATTTTCATAGGGAAGATGAATTTTATCCACCATCAAATTTGGGGGTAACTTATTTTCAGACAAACAACACATATGGGTATTGTTTCATATAAAAAATGAGAAATTTGGTGTGTCCATTGGTACTTGTTTGAGCCATAGACTGTTTATGGGCAAATGAACGTATTTTGGGTTATCACTGCGGATTAGATATGAACAAATGCCAACAATATTTCTGGGGTTTTGTAGCGATCATTGCAATACATCCACTTAATGATAAGGATAATAATGACAATCAAACATAATCCTGAAATGGGCACCATGTCCATGAGTCAATGCAGACGACAATCAGTGGTCGGCTCCCATGGGCAGATCGTTCCCTGGGACTTGGGTCCCCCCAAGATATCCAAGATCCAGCAATCACAATGAATTTTGGCAGGAAACATTAGGAAACCCATTGTTTGGGTCCGTATCTCCTTCATTTTCAGGAGGTTCCAAAATCTGGTTATTTAACATAGCTGTGGAAAATCCATGATAAAAAACGGAGGTTTAGTGGTTTAAGATAGCTGGGAAAATCATTTGTTTCTATGGTCCATGGCTTCCATCGGGTGGAAATCACCGAACAAAATCACCGATGTTTTTCGCCAGGACCGAAAGCCTGGAAGCGTTCCGCTGAACTGCCAATACGCCAGTTATGAGGCCTGGGAGCTGCGGAACGCCAGTTATGGGCCAACAAAAAGCATTGCCTACTCCTTACTTCCTTTATATACAGGATGTATAGTGACCTGTAATATGTATATAAATATGTGATGTGCGTATATATATATGATATACATATTGTATACAGTGTATCTTACGCAATCCACTCTTCAAGCAGACGTAAATAACTGGCAAACAACTGTCAAAACAATGCCACTCAGAACCAATAGCACCCCTCATGAGTACAGTATACCATGGCAGTTGCTTTGCGCTCGGCCTGTCAATAGTTTCCCTAAATATACTTCGCCCGCCAAACTAGTCTCGCAATGAAAGAATAAACTGGTGATTGATGATTTACTCATTCAAACTGACGGTTTTCCAGCAAACTATGCTTCTTTCATGGAACGTCCGATTCTAGAGCTTGAACAGTTTGTTGTTCTGCAACAATCATAGCTATATGCAAAACTGTAACACACTCACCTGCAATTTTCACTAGCGGTTTGGTGCTTTCAATGTCAGTCCAACCAATCAAGTTTGATGCCCCAAAATTGCTCCGGCTTAACCAAAAAGGTATATATCGTTTCCTAATGATGAACCAATGGCAAAAAAAGCCAATGATTCTTAAGACAAGCCCATTGATATAATATACTTACATACTGTAGTTATATATATGTATATATATATACTTATAGGCACATGGGTTGATAATAGAGAAACCCGCTTTCGCAATTTCCATATTTACTAGTTGTAATCCCCTTTTGGTTGATAAACATAGCTATCGCAACTCAACGACTGATCGATTGCAACATGGGTTGCTGTAAAGATATGCCAATGTCAGGGAATCACCTGGATTACAAACCCGTAGGCTGTTTCATCGGCGATACCATTTCAGTATCTTCATTGGACAACTATATGGGGAGCAGCCTAAAAATTAGAACATCCAGGGATTAATGGTTTCTTGCCATATTTGGGGACTAACTTACCATTTAGCAAGTTTTTAACCAGGGTTGATTAATCCAGGGATCGTAACTTGCTCCAGCAGCGGCGTGAGGTGGCACAGGAACTGCTTGGAACTCTGAAGGAAGGCAACCGCGACGAGGTCGGCGTGTATTGGAGATGGGTATTTTTGCAGGAAACTTATGATAATATAGTTTTATTAGCTTGATAAACATTATGATAAACTTATGATACATGATAAAACTGAGAATACTGTTCAATGCTGTTTTTTGCTCGGTCATGGATACCAACATTGGTGGTTGGTTAAATGGTAAGATATACTCAGCCTCCTGCAATTGGGATGTTGATGGGGTTTGGCTCAAATGTAGAGGTTCAACTTGAACCACACATTGGGTCATTTCTAGTAGTTCACCTTGCACACACACACGGACTCATGGTAGATCGCGCGGTCAATCTTGATTGGTCCTATGAATGTCCTCATAGCAGAATGTTTTGTTGATATCTCAGTGCTTGGTGGCTTAAATTCTTCCATCAGGAGCAGGAACTTCTAAAAGCTCTTCGCGATCCCAAGCCTTTGCAGCCCAGAGTGGCGGGGGGATCCCAGGGGTGTGGTGAGGTGGTCAGTTAGATCGTGGGACTAGCAGATTTGGGTCCGTTTTTTTTTACAGACAGCGACCTTATGTGGGTCCCAGTTTTGAGATGTGTACATTTGAGTGGAATTAGTTTTCACACACACACATATATGTATATATATATAAGGAACACGATAATCAGCATATATGTATATATATATAGATATGGAGTCATATTTTGCTTGAAGAACGAGTGAATACAATGAAATGTATAAGAATTGAATTATATCGTTGTTAAGTTTTCTATTGGTTCAGATGCCATCACAGAGACGGGAGGGCCATTTTTGTTTGGCTCCCCCCTCCTCTTTGCTCTCCTTTAAACAAACTTTAGAACAAAGAACTTATGCTCGAGCCTGTGCCTGTGACCATAGTATGTAAGACCTTACTTTTTTTTTTGCCCGATACGCAATGGTGCGCGTGAAGTGCAAGTGTGGCAAATGAGGACGTGATCGGTGCACGCGTTTCATTCTTGTCAGTTTTTTTTTTTAACAAAGGTAAAGGAAAAAAACAGGTATGTAAAACAGGCAAGGATTTCCCCGGCAAATGTTCCGACGGTAATTTCAAAGGGATCTGCAGAGATGGAGCCTACTGATTCATAAAAAGACAAAGACAAGGCACACGGCAAAAAAACAAAACAAACAATAGATAAACACATAACATATATATATATAGATACATACAGACATACAGACATACAGACATACATACCTACATACCTACATACCTACATACCTACATACCTACATACCTACATACCTACCTACCTACCTACCTACCTACATACATACATACATACATACATACATAGATATACTGATGTACATCATAAGTTTTCAAAGTATTCAATTCATATGTATATATGTATATATATATACATGTGTATATAATAATAATATAACCACTAGAAAACTACGTAAGACAGTTAATAAAGACGGTCACGAAATAAAAGATAGCTACGAAAAATGTGGTGAGGATCCTCCAGTTCGAGGCGATTGAACGCTGCGGCACTACACAATCTAAAGAGTTTGCAATAGTGCGTTGCTGTTGAATTACCCTCTGCTGATTTTATGCTGACTTTATATTATATATATACTAATAATATAGAGGGTGCTTTTCACTGATTTAGGCCGAATTACCCCATTATATATTGAAATTATATGAATGCTGGTGGTATGAGGATGACTTCGGGGTGGTTTCTTGGAAACTGCGGGAACCAACCCAAAAATTGGCTGTGAAGCATCGCTAGTTGGCAGATGTTCTATCTTGAAAAGGTCCCATCAAGAACCCAACTTTTGACCTTCTCGGGTTGGTGAAACAATCAGTATATACAATTCATCCAGATCATCCAGATCACTTATATTAATCCATCAATAGTGAAACATAGATAGTCCATGAGCTAAATCAATAATCCAGATTCATCATCCCTTAGCAACCAATTCATTTGCGACTTTGGAGAGGAGCTACAGTATGTTTTTCAAGGGCCTTTCTGGTTGCATGGTCCGCCCGCCAGGAAGATCCCATTGTTCGCGAGGACCTAGGCGCTGATTTTTGAAAAACCATTCAGAGAGGATTTTTCGCCCAGAGGAATTGAGATTTATCATCAAATGTTAATGGTGGTTAATGGTGGTTAATGGTGATAACCTATAATTACCATATCAAATATGGAGGACTCATGTTGTTTGCCAACTTAGGTTTGGTGGGGATTCATGTGAATTGGATGGGATCTATGTGGGGATTCAGCCGTATTTTCGATGGGGGGATCCCCTTGTAGTAATCCTCATGTTGCTAGCTGTGCCACTGGGGATTTCACCAACAAACATGGGGCGAAGCTAAGCGGCCAAGGAGACACCTAGGGATGACATGGCTTGACCACACTGCTATCCAGAATTCATTTTCGTAACAAGTCTATATACATACCCATATATATATATATATGTATACATATGTATAATATAGTATCATAAAATGTAATGTAATGTGATATAGTATAATATGATATAATATAGTATATGATATGATATATATTATAATATAATATATAATATGATATAATATAATATATAATATGATATATAATATGATATGATAATATATAATTAATACATAATATTTAATATATAATATAATTTAATGTATAATATACAATATAACATAATATAGAATAAATATTATAGAATAAATATTATAGAATATATAATATTTAATATATAATATATAATATTTAATATATAATATATAATATTTAATATATAATATATAATATAAAATGTATAATTTATAATATACAATATATATAATGTATAATATATGATATAATATGATATATAATATAAAATATAATATAATACATATATATATATATACATATAATATATAATATATGACATGACCTAATATACTATATAATATTATTTAATATGTAATATACTATGATATAATATACCATGACATAAAATATCATATATAATATAATATATGATATAAACTATATAATATAAAATATATAATATACAATATACAATACATAATGCATAATATATTATATATGATATATGATGTATAACATATAACATATTACATTTAATATATAACATATAACATATATAATATATAAGTATAATATTTAAAATATAATATATAATCTATAATCTATAATATATAATATATAATATATTATCATACCATATAATATAAACTATATAAACATACTATATTTGATAAATCTATACATTAAAAACATATATATACATGCATAGATATATTGTTACATATCTACAACTCATTCATCAACCCCCACCATTTCCCTCAACCAAGGGGGCGTATCATCCTCAGCCAGGCCCGCCTCCACACCCGGGACCACCCAGCTTCAACGGGCCGTATGGGGAGCTCAGATACGCTTCGCTGACCATGGTTTTCTCGGGGTTTAACGGGAAAATTAGATATAATATATTGGGGATTCGTGTAATATAATGGAAAAACGGGGGTTCAAGTTAAAATTTAATGATAGATGAGGATTTAGTGTAATATGATGGACAAATGAGATAATTATAACTGAGACTATGATATGTGGGTTTGTCTGAAAATTAGGTGCCATCCAAATCCAATGGTCAATCATCTATTGATCGTATTGAAATGGCTATGTACAGGCTATGATATCTATACCTGAGTGCCAAGGTCTATATCGAATTGAATATCTGCTTACCTTCATATCCTATATCTAATATCTACTAATATCTCCTGCTGCTTGGTTGGCTAGGTACACATGGGGTTTTGGCACGCTGGGAGACCCCAAAGCCAAAGATATTCACTTGATTAGGTAGTGTTACTGCGTTACAATGCAGTTGCGATCATCATTGACCAATTTCCAGAATCACCCCAACACCCCAACTGCTATATACCACTATCTATCGCTGTCGAAGACCATTATTTCTCAACACCAGAGTGTGTTCATCATACTGTTTACTATACCGGTAATGCCATAACTGGTACGATACCAATCTTTTTGGTGTTGAGAATTGATATGATCAGAACACCAGAATAAATGATTATCTATAATCACACCATGATGCTGTATATATATATAGATACCTCGTATTTTAATATGCATTAACCATAATGATATATCCATAATTATGGTATTAAATGGGGAGATTATTTTGGTGATTTCATAACTTAATACAACCATAATAGAATATAATGCAGATACATAATATTCATAGCCATCTCTATTGTCTATAGATATATATATATATATTCAGTTTTATTTTTTGTTCTTATGACTGCTACTTTATTGCGGGGATAACCATATTTGGGATAATATATAACACGAATGAGAAGAATAGTAACATTAATAATGACAGATAATAGTAATACATAACATTTTTTATTTTCCATAATATATGGGATAATCCTTCCCATTGATTTTAATATTTTTCAGAGGGGTTGAAACCACCAATCAGTATTACTAATACTGTTATAGTTGATTTACCTATGAAAATAGTGATTTTCAATAGCTATGTGAGTTTACCAGAGGGTATCTATGATTGTCATAATACTATTGCTACCATCTGGTTATTTAACAGTTCGCCATGTAAAATCATCATGCTATTAATAGGTAAACCATCTATTTCTATGGGCCATCTATACCATGGCTATGTTAGTCATAACCAGAGGGTAATACTATGATTCATAGAATTGGATGATGGGAAAATTTACTTCGGAAAACCCAAACAAATATATATTTGATGGTAAAAACAATGGGTTTCCGGTTATTAGTTTAACCCATTATTTACCCACTAGTTAATGGTGATTTATCCCTTACCATTGGTTGATGGAAAGCCATGGGTTAAACCAACCCAATGATTGGTCTCCGAGGCCTGGACCTCCCCCTCCCCCGGACAAGGGCTTCGGCAAGGCGCTTTGTCGGTTTGAAAAAATCTGTGTCGAGTTCTCGTTTTGGCTTCGCTTCTTCTAAAAACCGGGACTTAAGATGCGCCAAAAAATGGTGACTTAAGATGAGTTAACCAGAAAAACTGGTGATTTTTTATCAGAATTATGGTCAAGAAATCGGGATTTATCATGATTTATCCTTCAAACATGGTGAACTTAACAATGAAACATGAGTAACCCAATGCTATAAACATCCAATTGGGGATGGTTGAAATCCTTAAAAAACCACAGATTTCTGGCAAAGTGGAGATGGTTTATCTGTGGGTTTACCACATTATATAAGTGGGATATGGATCAGAATAGTTCGTGTTTGTGGATCTTTATCTCCCCATTCATACATGGCATCATAGGTTTCGGCCGTCAGCTGAGTGGCTGGGGGTCTGGATGTACAGCCTGCATGTTCATTATTGGTGGATTGGATCGGGTTTCCACATCAACTATCCAACCATCACTGAGTGTCAAGTTTTTGGCAGGATCAACCACCTCGATTAATTACCCTCTGGTGAACTAACATAGCAATTGAAAATGGCCATTTATAGTGGATTTTCCCATTAAACATGGTGATTTTCCATTGCTATGTTAGTTCACCAGAGGGTACTCCCCATGGATCCTATAGGGGGTATAGCTTCCGTTGAATCCTCGCAGATGATGCGACCGACTGTTTTCCCAGGGCGGAGGCTTCAGCAAGGGTGGCAGGCCCGGGAGAAGCCAACGACATGAAGCCGCAATAGTTGGAAGATAAGCAGCGATTCTGGGGATTAAGAACTGCTTGTTGGAATGAGGCTCCCCAATTGGCTACATCATTTTTTAAGAGAGGGGCTCGTTTAAATCTCTGGGGTGAGCTTGCCGGATCTTTGTTTTGGAGTTCCCAAACCCTGACTAACTACTGGTCCTGAGGAAAAATGCCACACATTAACATAGTTTTTTTTGTTTTACGGGCTGTGCAGATGCATCGGTCAGCGTGGAAGTTCAACGTTTCAACCCATAGCAATCACGTGTGTGGGGACAGTGTGTCGATATTTTCTCCGGAGTGAAGCTCTGATCAACACGTCTAAAAGGGACATTGTGCTTGATACACTCCCAGTAGTGGTTGCAGCATCTTCGTTCCTGTTTACTGCAGTAAGCTTCAATCTCACTACCGCTGGTTCAAGAAGAATTCAAAAGAAGCTGCAGGTACATGGATGTGTCTCACTTTTTTGGTTATATAATTCTATATACACGTTTTTGTCTGGAAATAGAGTATGCCAACATCCATTTGTTTATCGTCCTTATCACTGTTAAGATGTTTTTTTGGAAGTATATACCTCATCATCATTTTCATTTTTTTTGGTGCTGTTGTCTATTGTTACTATAGATATCTACAATACACCACATTTCGTGGCAGGTTGTGCCTCCAATTCCAATATGGACGTTGCACCTGGGGTGCCTCGGCTGTCTGGTTTCAGCACGTTGATCATGATTTAACCAAAGTGGGGGATTGACATGGTTTACCACGATGCAAATCATGATTTCCAGAGGGATTTACATGGTTTACCACGATTTATCATGATTTTTTGATGATTTTCGTTGAAATTTGTGATTTCTCATGATTTCCATTGAAATTTAGGTGAGAGGTCACAAAGGTGTTTGAAAAACGCCGATTAGAAGAAGGATTAACCACTAAGAGACCAATCGTTGGGAGATAGTCAGATAATCAAGAATTGCGAGGATATAAGGTGGTTTGTGGGTTTAGACACTTTCTAGTTTCAGATAGTTCAGGACTGCTTTGGTCATTACCATCCGAGTTCTGGAACTAGCACAAATAGCCTTCAAAGCCATGTTCGCGGGAAGGTGTTTGATGATCTGTGTCTTTGACCCAAGCAGGACGAGGATAGCGTCTCCACGATTCAATGGCACAGGTCCATCTATTCCCCCAGCTGGGGCGTATAAAATGTATAAATAACACTGTCAGTGCTACTATCATTGGATTGGTTCAAGGGAAATGATGCAGGAATCCCGGAATCCCCAATGTTTCATGGGGGGGCACACCATGATTTAAAGTGTACACTGTAGATTGTTCCGTAAATCACTCCAATTTGACTTTTCTTCTGGACCATTGAGGTGAGAACTGCAGGTTTGTCCATGAGAGGCAATGAGATATTGGTCACCTGGCGGCTGTTCCCTGCGGACCAAAATAGATTCGCTGTGCAGCCCTGCAACTTGGGCCGGGCACATGGAAAGGGGCTGTGCTCCTGAGGTTTTTGTGTGTTCATATGTTGTGTTTATGTGGGCTTGCTTAATCAGGTTTTTTTAGGTCAAGGGACTGTTGTGGATTTGGAGAGGGACGAATCCTGGAAAAAGCATTCAGGGGTATTTTTCCCTGCAGGTATGAAACAACCACCCAACGAATACATGCGAATGCCGCAAGCTGAGGCACTACTACTTTCCCTTGGGATCCCTTTGATTGAAACGCACACATACAAGTAGATAGTTGAATCGCTGTTTGATTAAGAACATTTTGCACCAAATGCTATCTGGACTTAACTCTGGTATCTTTAGTGATTGTCAATTCCTGGTTTTCCGTACCGTGGCTCAGGAGGAATCAGTTTTCTCACTAAACCAGCAATTTCTCACAGCACGATGCCGTGGAATTTCAACAAAAAACACAGCAAAAAGAACGCCTTTTCGAAACACATGATGGGCAACTTCACTTGGGTATGGATCAATACCTATTAATACCATTTTTAGGGGGATGAACATCCATTTACCAGCTATTTTGATGTGAACTACAGGGGTACCAGGGTTTTGACACACTGCCACTTCCCAAAACCTTTCAACACCTGGAACCGTTGGGCACACCGCTTCAACGGTGCGCTGCCGTTGGACCAACTTGGACCCGTTGGAACCAACACAGTGGATGGCATCTGAAATGAAGACGCCTCTGCTCCCAGTGACTTGGTGAAAGGACATCTACTTTATCTGCTTGGTGGTTTGGAACATGAATGGATTATTTTCCATTTCATATATGGGATATATAATCCTTGCCATTGACGAACTCCATCATTTTCCAAGATGGTTGAAAAAAAAAAAACCAGTTGTGGATCTTGTGAGTTTGTCAGAAACCGGGGTTTACCATTTGGTTATTTTCATGTCTTTTTTCCCCTATTCTTGGGTTTTTTTGGGCGTATGTATGCAATGGGGAGCGGAATGCACAAACGATTTTCATCGCACGATTCCCTCCTTCAACCAAAAAAAGGGCACCATGATATCTGACGCCAATCCCGGATTCATTGGCTCTGATTCCATACCCTCTGGTAATTTAACATAACTATGGAACATCACCCTTTTTCATGGGAAATTTCACATGAAAAATGGTGATTTTCCATAGTTATGTTAAATTACCAGAGGGTAATCAATGAATTAATCATACTACAGGGGGATTACCAAAAACATCCAAAATCAGTGCTAAATTTCTATCAACACTAGAAAACTGCTTGGCAAAGATGGATATAGATCCCATAGCTCACAGTGGCCCAGCAACAAGGATGATCCTGAAAAAACTACTGAAAGACCGGTTGCATGCTGCGGAAAAAAACAAGTGGGCTGATTTCATGTGGATTTACAGAGTAAAACTTGATCTAGGGGCCATGGCCTTTCGGATGGCGTAGGTCTGAGATTTTCCATGTGAGATCTGTGAGATCCCTGCCGCCCGAGGAAAAGAAACAAGATCCACAAGCCGGTCAAGGTAGAGATGGGCACGGCACAGATGGTGAATCATCCCAACTCTACGGGGGTTTCCTACCATGAAGATCCCAATAGCTGGATGCTGGTGGGTGGTTTCAAACATGAATGGATTATTTTCCATCATATATGGGATACATAATATTATATAATCCTTCCCATTGACGAACTCATTTTTTTTTTCAGAGGGCTAGGTTGAAACCACCAACCAGGATGTGTTATTTTCATGGAAAATTCCATGAAAAATGAGGCCTTGGGACAGCCAAAGTTTCAAGTTCCGGATCCGCCTTCGTGTCATGTTCGACATTATTCTTGGGACCCATTTCCATCAATATCCCAGGTTTAGTGTTCAGTTAGTGATGTTCAGTTTCTCGGAAGTAGTTCTGTCCATTCGAAAGCTTACCAACATGCGGGTATGTTTCAAACCTAGTTGCTTCCAAAACGAATGTTTTTATAGCATATATTATTCGCATTTTTTGGTGTTGACCACAATTTTTCAATAGTTGTGGCAGATCCCGGGTTTCCACAGACTGCCTAATACTGCCGAACTACTTCTTAATGGCCAACCCTGCCATATGCTTCAGGGATGTCCAGGGTACCATATGATGCTATGGTTGGGGAATGTTGGGGATAGCTAGGACAGAGAGACATGAGAATAGCCCGCAAATACTGCTTCCAACTCTAGTTCCCCAAAAATGATTTTCTGCCCAACTTCCGGTCTTGAGCGAAACTCCCGGAAAAAATGCCAGGCCGGGCCTTAAAAAGTTGGTCAATCCCCTTTCATAGGAAAACTGCATTGATATCTCTTTGATTCAAGCAAAGCCAAATGGAGATTAGACGCTGGCACATGAATGCATGGGACTTTCCAGGTGATTCCGCCGAATGAGACACAAGTACAGTAGGCAATGAGGGCAGGAACATGTGCCGAATGAATCTTTTGTATCTCGGGGGACCATCTACAACATACTCAACACCCAGATTTGTTTTGAAAATCATCGGACCAGGGTGAACTGGACCGATTCTATCCCCCAATATATGCCATTGGATAGACAGAATAGATGGATAGGTAAATTGATAGACAGATAGAGTATATACCCAACACACCCGTTACCCTCTGGTAATTTAACAGTTTGCTATTGAACATGGCCATAGAAATAGTTGATTTTACCCATGAAAAATGGTGATTTTCCATAGTTTTTTGTATGTTTACCAGAGGGTATGTACCAAGTACCTGACCTGGTAACCGCCAATCCCAACAGGAACGCCGTTGTCCACCGCGCTGAATCTGGCGGCCACGTCCATGGGCACGGGCCTTCTCACCTTGCCTCATGTCGCTCAGCAATGGGTGATTCAAAGCTGGTGATGAAACTCGCTAAAATGTAGAATGGGATAGTTAAGATTAGTTAAGCATAATCTACAGTGAGATTTCAACAGCTATAAGATGGGACATGGCCATGGATATTTCATGATCTGCCATATTTGAAGCTAAGTTTTCATATCATCCCCAAACGGCGATCGATGATGTTTCACCCCCCGTTTCGATGTTTTTTTTGTTTTTTTAAAGAACGACCGGGCAGCCCCTTGGCTACAATTTATACACATCATTGGATATACAATTTATATAATATAGTATAAAGCTATTATATAACATATATAGTCACACATATTCGTAACTATATATAAAATTATTATATATATATATGTATATGTATATTGTGTAACAACATACATAGATAGAGGATTCCCATGAAGAGCACATTCTCGTCTCACTCGCTAACATCTCCACGTCCCACTATCCTCTGGTACTCTGGTCGCTTGGCAAGTGGACACCCACCTTCTTGGATATTTGGCAGTTTTTTTAACCGCCGTCCAGGTTGATTTCCAGAGAAACCTTTGATTCAAGATTGTTCAACTTCAACTATTTACGCAGCAAGCAGGGTTAGTTGGTCTTTATGTTGATCTTCCTAGTGCAGTATTAAGTATCCTTATCCATTTTTGCAAGGGAAATAACACTCTTGTTGGAACAAGCTTATTGGTGAAATCCACATTATTCCTAGTCAATGTCATATACCATTGGAAGGGTATTAAAAACATACCCACAAGGGTGCCTGTGGCAGTAGGTTTACCTCGATCGCAAATTTTCGTGATATCTCCTATCTTTGCTCCTTAACTCACCACATTTTTCTTGGGTCAAATCACCATTTATGCCTTAAGGTCCCCACTTTTTTCGGAACGACGAGCCTCCGAAAACTTGGGATCCCCAGATTTCAGGTCTTCGCTGGTTGCGGACCCTTAGTCGCCTCGATCTTGTTGGGCGTGCTGAGCATCACCACGGACATTACCTTGGTGTTGCTGGCGACCTGGTCCAAATCGAGGGATTTAGCATGGATTTTTGAAGCATGAAAACCAAAAAGGGGAAATTTCACCAAGAATTGGAATTTACCATGAAAATACATGAAAATATGGGAAGCACTTGGAATTTACCATGAACATTTATAGTTTACCATTTGGAATTATTTTAGTTGAGGGAAAAACCCATGGATTTCATCGCAAACATTTGGACACACTTGGAATTTAGATGAATTTGCCATTCAAATATGAGACCAAATGTTGGAATTTAACTAAGTCACAAGCCTGAAACTTAGACTGCAATGCCAGCCAGTTTTAGGATGATTCCCATACTAGACTCGACTTACTAGCCACCATGTATTGTTGTACTTTGCCCCAGATTCAACGGTCTTATACTTTAAAAAGGACCAGCCATTCATATCCCCAACACATGTGTGTACTGTGAGTTAACTGCAAATAATATAGTGCAAGATAACGTATAATAATGTATAATAATGTATAACTATCTAAATATCTATACAGTGCAATATATCTATATAATTATTTAATATTATCTATATATTTATATAGACATAGATATGCTGCACAATATTTCTATATCGATATATTGATGTTTTGGGCCAGTAGAAATAGATTTGGCTTTCCGGGTACCGTGGTTTCACATGAAAATTTCATTGGTGTAGCTGGATGGTCAGCATCCAGCCGATCATCCCGTGGATATTGATCCGTCCTCAATCCATTTGACGTCGGTTCAAATCCCAGTTTTGTTGGCTAAGAGATTAACATTCCTATATTTGTTGAATAAATCTTGAGATTTGTTCATGGAATCCCACTGTTTGTTGGTGAAAAAATCCCTTTTGAGGCCGAAGAAATCTGATAATCTGGGTGTAGCCAGGTCAGAATGGGTCGGATGTTGAATGTCATGACCTTCGGCTCCCTGATGCGTCGGATCTTTGGGAAAAGTGGCTCTTTGGTGTCTTGACACCAAGGGGATCGGATCAGTGTTGGGATCAAGGGATGTGACTTGTGTAGATCCGGATTTTCGAACCACGGGGGTATAAAATGCTATAAATCAACAGCGAAAAACCTGGAAACAGCTTGGGGATCCTTGGGATGGGGTGAGCCAGGGGGGGGCTCCACCATCAGGTCGCAGGTGTTGCAAAGGGTCTCTTTCTGCTAGGAATGGGATGGAAAAGGGTAAATTATAGCGACCAAAACTATCAATGATTGTCAGATGGGAAGAATCATATATATATATATTTACATATATATATATAATATCATCCCAAAAAGTGACCTACATCCAGTTTCGAAATGATGATGACCTCCCCAGGATGATGTTCGGCGTTTTCTCCGACAAAAACCCAACGGTGGTCCAACGAGTCTGGTGGGACTCCGAGTCCCCACAAGTGATCGCTTCGAAACCAAGACCCACTGAGTCACTGGTTGGTTGAGAGTTTACCCTCTGGTAATTTAACATAGCTATTGAACATGGCCATAGAAATAGAGGATTTACGCATTGAACATGGTGATTTTCCATAGTTATGTTAGTTTACCAGAGGGTAAAGGCTCATAGCCCCATGTTTGTTGCTTCACATCCCCCGTGAAACAGACCAGGAGCCTCAACCGATACGAAGAAACCCAAATGGTTTACATAGACATGTTTCCACACATTTTTGAATCTAGGGTCTATTGGGGGATTTTCCCAACCATGGTAGCGATGAAAAACACTGGGAATCCCCGTTCTCAAATCAGGAGTCTGGAGTAATCAAACATGGCAACGGAAAACCTCTCATTTATCGATGATTTTTCCATAGCGGATGTTCCGTTGCCAAATTTGATTACCTTCGGGTATTTTTTTGATGGATGATTTGTTGGTGCGTTGTGTTTTTTTTCACACTGCCAGCTGCTAGGTCTTTCAACTGACGCTCATCTCAGTCTTGTTCTTAGCGCTGACTGCCATGCAACGCGTGGTGATGGATTTGCTTCCCATCTTCGTGCCCTGCCGCCCATGGGGAGGGATTCGTAAGGTGAAGGGACAAGTGAAGGAATGCCCCATTCCTTAGTTTTGGGGCTCAATTTACCCATGGTTTCCAGTAGATGTTCACTGGAAAATCAATCGCCTTGAGTATATAGGTCTGCTTTTGGACAATTTTGGAGTTCCGTTTCTATCTGAGATTGTCGTCCCATGTCATCCTGCAATAACGAAATGCGAAATGCCTCACGGTTCGATTGGTAGCCTCCACTGGCTCTCTCCACCTCTATAGGGGCACTTATGCCATCTGATACGCGTATATACGTATACCGAGTGTAAGTCTCAATTGTTGATCAGATGTCCATATACCAATATATATATATATACAATGGTTACACATTAGTTGTACATATACATATGTATTATGCCTATTTATCTATCTATCTTTGTATAACTATATATATAATATAATATATAGCTGCACTCCTCAATGGAAAAATCCCATCGAGATGTCAAGCAAAACTGCAGGTGGAATCCATTTGTGGTTTGATTCCTGGCACAGTGAAGCCTCTGGCCCTCAGCATGTTTGCCACCTGGCGCGGGAAATCCATAAGTTGATCCTGAATTAAAGATTGGGATTTCTAGATTGGGATTGACATCATGGAATGGTTCAATGGATATACCCTCTGGTAATTTGACAGAACTATGGACAATCACCATTTTTCATGTGACATTTACCATGAAACATGGTGATTTTCCATAGTTTTCTTCAATTACCAGAGGGTATCATGAACTGTTTGGAATCTCTGTCTGAACATGGAGATCATGGAGGATTGACCATCCCATGAGGAAAACTTGTTGGTTTTATGAGTCAAAACCCTGGCACCCAAACGGTACCCTAAAGTGGCTGGTAATGGATGATTATTCCCCAAATATGATAATAATAGGGTTTGACCCATCCCCAGAATCACATATATATATATATATACATGTAAATACATGTGTATCCCGTTCCTATTTTGTGCCAATGTCCATTCAGATTTGGGGGACAGCTTTGGGATTCCGGGGTCGGCCGCCCAGACACGGCAGCAGACCAAACACAAGAAGCTACATTTGGTTGTGCAGGTGACTCATAATGGTAGAACAGCGTCAAAAGTATCGTTGTAAATCAAGTTTATATGTATTACATGTATCCGCCTATATCGTATAAATATGGCTAAACACTTATATCCTATAAGTGTATCCCGGTGTATCTTAATCATGTATATATAAAGTGTCAGGTGTTCAAGTCTCTTTATTAGCTCAATCATGTTTAATCAATCTCACCGCACCTCGCCACCGGTACTTTTTTTTATGCCTTCAAGGTGAACTTCTTTGTGATTGCTGCGTGCTTCTCCAAGAATTACCATTCCTTGCGGCTTGCGCAGCATTTAGCCGACCTGATTTTCGGTCGAGGATTCAGAGTTGACAGGCAAAAATTGAACACACGGGACAAGTGAAGATGTCCTAGGTACAGAATGGGTTCTGCATCCTTGTTTGAGACTAGTAAGACCATTGACTGATACTTGTTGAGACTACCAAGTAGCAATGTCATTCACACCTGCTTGACAACCCATAGCTGATCAGCCAGAGAACACCGGCAACAAGCAACAACTTATCTTTGAAGGGAGCAAGGGTAGCCCCCTATTGATTGAAGGGTTCATGAGGTTAGTAACAGGGTCAGTCTTTTGAGTAAACATGAAACTTGATGTTTCTGGTCAACTTCGCGGCACTAAAAAAAGACCATCCCCCAGGTTCGAACCACGCGTGATTTTTTTGAAAGCGCGCCATATATACGGTACCTAAATGTACCTCACTTTATGATATATTATGATATTTAGAGGTATATCCACTGATATTTTTCCCATCACACGGTGGGTGGAAGAAGTCCTGCACCAGAAGGTTCTTCCATCCACAGTATCTCATAAAACTGCCAAATTCAATGATCTTCCAATGATCTTCCAATGATCTTCCAATGATCTGTTGATCTTTTCCCATTTTTAACATTTTTCAAGGCACTGCCTTGGCCGCCAGTCGTCCCAGCGGGTCCCACCGTTCCTGGACGGCCCTCAGGAGGTTTACCTCAGGAGCAGCGCTGCTGTGTCTGCTGCCCTTCGTCCTGTCGCTGTGGTTCAATGCGGCCACAGCGGTCGAGTCGCCCCGTTCGGTGGCGGATTCCATGAGTAGCCACTGGATCCACTGATGCTGGTGATGGTGATGGTGAATCTCCAAGAAATCGTGGATTTACATCAATTTGCAGGCAACAAAACGGGAGTTTAAGTACCTTAACTACTTGACTGATAGGTTTTTTACGGGGAAAATGGTCAGTGACCTGTTGAGTTGTGTCCGAAAATGAGCGTTTAACTGGCAATAAATGGAGACGAAAATGGACTCACCGTATACCTCTTGCATCTTTTCCTTAATTTTCTTTAGTGGCTGTTTTCACGTGCAATATGATACAGCAATGGATTTGGGTTATTCCTTGTTTTTCGATCAACCCAATCTAGAGTTATTGAAGGGTGGCAGCTATTCGCAAGAGGTACACATGAATCCGAATCCGTATCAATGCAATCCATCTGTGCACATGCAAATGTCATGCATCAATGCAGCGAGCCCGAAACGAAGGATCGCAACCAACGGACTGGTTGGTGATATTTTGATACTTATATTGTGTAATTTCCGATGCTACGTGGTATGATTCACACGTGTTGACTCGCAAATAGTTGAGTAGGTGGCTCAACCGGATAAAGTTGGTTGAAACGTTCATGGTTCCCGCTGAATGCCACCAAGCAGTTCTAGATATAGGTTTCTCACTGTGTGTCTGGAAATGGGGAACCTCCAATTTCATCAGTTGTCCCATTGAAATGGCAACTTTGGGGTAGAAATATTTTGTACTAACAATATGCGCAAGCACCTTCGTTTGCCCAAGGCCGCAAAGGACATCATATAACTCATTAAAACGTATAACATGAATCTGTTGCAGATCTTGCACACATGCTCCATATGAGGAACAACAGAAAGAAACCGCAGGCACCCCCCATAATGAATGGAAACACAATAGTTTCCTGTAAATTTCTCTTAGAGTGCTTCAATGACTCTAGATGATTGTTCGTATCAATTCATATATTATTTATCCATTCATATCCCATTTTAGCTGTTTATCCCTCAACATTCCCTAGGAATCAGCCCAGAAAATCCCGAAGTCAATCCGCCACTTTTTGAGGCGAGGGTTTTTTGTTGGCATCGCCCATTCTAGCCTCATCGTTGGCAGGTGGGGTAGAGCTTGGGTGGATAGGTTGGATTCCGTTCGGATCGTTTTTTTCCGATGTTTCAATGGCGGCGACCCGGGAACTGGAGGGAACACGTATGGTTGAAACGATGTTTCGGGGATAGATAGCGTGATTTCCTGCGAATATTCCCTGGGAAATTTGGATGAAGCTAATTTACTACATGTTCAGGGCAGGGTATTTAAGTTTAAGTATGGAACCATGCAACAGAACCCTTCCATTCGAAAAATAGCCGTTTCCACACTTCCAACTACACAACGTGGTTTTTCACCCACCAGATTTTCATATTTCCCCAACGAGAGTCAATTCCTCAAGTTCCCAGCTAAGTCGTTCATATCACTCATACATCCAGATATTCACATATATTCACAATATATTCATAAACTTACTATATACGACTCGCATATCCGATATGATCATGGCTAAAACCCTCATTTTTTCCACGACAAATCCCATGCCTTCAGGCGGGCATTTCAGCATCATGGAGATGTCCTCGCAGCTGCAGAGTCGCTATAAGGTGCCGAGCGACGCCACAGGCAAAAACATGCCCAAGTGGGTGTATACATACATATATAGATATATTATATGTATATACACTATATATATATATATATGCACCAGCCCCTTCCAGCCCCCCTCCCCCCCATGGGATGCATCCCATATATTGCCCCCATATGAGATCTTCCCCTGTGGTGTGGTGGGGATGGTATGTTGGGTATGTATGGTAGGTATGGTATGTATGGCATGAATGGTTGGTATTGTATGTATGGTAAGTGTGGTAATTATGTTTCATATGTATGGTATGTGCGGTATGTATGATAGGTATGATAAGTATGGTATGTATGGCATCATTGGAATGTATGGTAGGTACGGTATATGTTAAACACATGTAGTGTTGTGAGAGTACACAGGTAGTAAATAGGAAGTAGATACATAGCACATGTATATATGACTATAGGTAGCACGTAGGTACTTTGAGGGAGTATGTGTGCTACGTAGATCGTCTAAAAGGTAGCATGTACCTAGTAAATGCGAGGCTGGTAGTCAGAAATGCTGCAAAGACCTAGCAAAAACGAAGCTGGACCTCAGAAATGCTGCCAATAGCAATAGAAGGGAAGGGGGTGCTACCTGGGGACCCAAACCATTGGGGGGGAGGGGGGGGTGGAGAGACGGAGGACGGGACCATATATACACTATATATATATACACACTATATATATATAAGGCGTTAAGGTTCAAATCCCCCACGCTTGTTCGAACCACCGCCTCAGTGGGTTTGCGCCATACCCACGGGCCTATTTGTGGCCTTTGCTGACCACCGGACTTCGGTAGGTTCGGGGTTAACCTTTAAAACCCCGTCAACAATTTTGGATCTTGCAAGTGGACTACTGAACTGCTTCGCGCTGGTATCATCCACACAATATTTCCTTTTGGCATTTTTGGCATCGGGTTCTCATTCAGTATTCATTGACTGCAGGTGATTTTCCCTGCTCTGTTTCATTGTTACTGCGACTTACCTGTTTGCCTAATTTGGATTTGTCTTCACAATTTTCAATTTGGAATTCCTGGACATCACCTCCACTGGTTTCTGCGGTGTACCGAACACTGTTTCCTGGGTGTGTCTTTGGACAGTACAATTGGTCTTGTGATTCACAATCTGATTTATGCAATTTCGTTTTATCCCACTGGTGTGCACTCTCATTTTGGTGACTTTGAATTACAACGGCTTCGATTCCATCCTGGCGGAGAAAAACCAGACGTTGGAGAGCGACAGCCCGACATCTTTGGTGGCTACATCGTACCCAAAGACAGGCAAGTTCCATTTACACACTTCGGTGGATCCAGTGTGTACTACAGGGACATCATTCAAAGGATCATCATTTTCTGAGCACTATTCAGTCAGAGATTTCAAAGATGGCGCAGCAAACTCAAAAGAATGCCGGATGGCTTTGTCAGTGGTGCCGTGTTATGAACGGCAAACATGCCCTATGCTGTCATCGATGTGGCGGGAAATGGTACGAGGTTGGAGATTGCGAAGAAGCAGATGGCTACTACGCAGCCTGGCCCAAAAGCCCGCGTTACACACAGGCAACATGGGAGGATGGTCAACATCCGAAATCCCCGAGACAGAGAAAGGGCAAAGGGCGTGGGAAAACACCCAGCCCTCGCCCAAAGCAGAATCGACACAGAAAGGGAAAGAAGCCTCCACAGCAGGTGGAACAGCATCCGCCCTCTTCTGTTCCAGCAGGAGCCCCAATGATGACGCCGAACACAGGACAGGGCACTCAGTCATGGATGGCTCTGTTTCAGATGCAACAAGCGGCCAACCAGGCGGCACAGAATGCGCCAGACCCTACACCAGCAGCCTCATCGAATGCAGCAGTGCCCCAGCAAAGTGCGGCCATGAAGAATTTACTGGCTTCACTCAAGAAGGACCAGGAGAAGCTCTCACCAGAGAACCAAGAACTGGTCAAGACTCTGCAGGTGTAGGAAGAAAAGAACGAAGAAAAGGAGCTTCAAGTGGCAGCCAAAAGTCTTGGCCGAGCTCGACGCGATCTACAGGAAGCATTCGAAGCTCGTGCAAACCTCCACCAGAAATGGAGGGCCTTCCTTTCGATGAGTGTTGCGCAATGGCAAGCCTTTACGTTGGAGTTCCAACAACAGGAGAGCAATGCATTGCAACAAATCCAAGTGGCAAAAGACACTTTGTCTCAGGCCAAACAGAACCTCGAAATGTCCAAGGAAGCATTTCATTCACCTCGGGAAGCCAAGGGATCCATGGAGGTTCAAGATCTGATGTCGGAGGAGGACGCCAACGACGAGTCCAGCTCGACCAAGCTCCAAGAGGGGTTGAACCATCTCACAACCTCTCTACAGAACCTTCACCAAGCGGCAGAAGATGCACATGCGGTGGAACAAGCAGCGAAGAAAGCTCGCCTGCACGATGCCAAAGATGTTTCAGGCCTACCTGGTGGAAAAGCTTTGCAGCCTTTTCCATCGCCCGGTACTGCGCGACCATAGGGTGCGAGTACCAAGGGCATTGCCCAGAATGGATCGCTCCGGAGCTTTTTCGACTCAAATGGAGGCACAGTATTTTGGAAGAGCCAGATTTTCGCACCGAGTGGCATGCAAGGGTGGCTGCAACTCGACTTTCTTTTGAATGCGATACAATCCTCTCCAACTTTTCCATGAGTCCAAGCCGTTGCGATCGTCCGTGCAGACAACAAGCTGCTTCAGTCACCTTTGACGATTCTTTCACATTGGTTTGCCATGATCCCGAATCCCAAGTATGTTCCGTCTTTCATGCCTCACATGGGCAAGTGCAGAGCTGCATTGACAGCTTTCATAATAAATTGGACAAGGAAGCTGATCCGCTGTCGCCCCAGGGCCAGGCCGTGTTGATCTCCCTTGTCTCAGATAGCCAAGATGCCACTTCCATGATGCAGCATGCTTCGCAGGTACACAACAAGCCTCACAGCCATAATGAACCTGGTGTCCCAACTTGGTACCCGTTACCAGACCGTGGAAACCTTCCTGCGGACGATGATGCGAATGAAGAGGAATCCTTTGAAGTTGAATCAGACGGTGCAGATGATCCGGAACGTCCAAACGAAGAGGACCCTGACGACTCAGACCCCTCAGAGGATCCGATTCAGCCACCAAGTGACACCAACAATCGCCAGTCTGCTCTCATGTACCATTTGGATGATCATCCGATTCATGCTATGCTGTACTGGACAGAATTTGAACGATTGATGCAAGAAATTTCACTGCACTATCAAGTTGCAAGAGAGGAACTTCTGGACTCATATGAATTGACGGTCAGGCCATTAGACATTCCAGAGGGAACGGCTCCACTGATCGTTCACCTTGTCAATGACTTCCCACATGGGGCCAATTTTGCCCTGGCTTTGGTTGATGTTGAAGTACATGGCAATACGGATGAAGTACATTTTCATACCATGCCGGTATCAGCCAGGAGAGTCATTCCTGTCCCAACGTATTTGACCAGAGAGGCCTTTCTCAGGATCACCAACACGTTTGAGTTCTGTCGGCTTGAACACAACCGTTGTCTGGTTGAACTGAATCATCAAAGATGGCACGCACAGCAACAAGCACCCACTCGCATTGCCAATGGAGATTATTTCAAGCTTATTGTGCCTCCGCCTGAGAAGTGCGCCACGCCAACTCAGGCTATGCTCAATGACAGCAGGCACATGACGACTGAAGAATTTTGGGGTGAATACTATGTGCCAACTAGTCCAGCTCAAGAGTCGGAGGAATCATCCAACAATGTCTCGCCAAGTCTTATTGACTCGGAAGATATCAAAAGAGAATTTGGTCCCAACCGCACTGAAGATGATGATCTGTCACAATTGCACCTGAGCTCAGATGTGAACAGCCTCATGCAGCAGCACCCGTCTGCCTCGTCTTCCTCCTCAGATGCTCCCCAGACGAGTAGCCTGGCTGATCAGGTTGAAAATATTGTGAATGAATCTTGCCTTCTTGCGATTGACACTGCAAATATCAGAACCTGTCCACTTTGGCTTCGCGCTCTTAGCGCCACCTTCGGGGCAACGATGACAATTGAAAATGATGATGAAGGCCCGGTTGCTTATTTTGATACCTGGTTTGCTGATTGTCGTACGGTTTCTGTCACTGAAGTTTCTCGGGATTTGCGCCTTGATTCACAGCAGAACCTTTGGCAGCATGACATTCAGCATTTGTGGCGAGATAAGATCACCCCAGGTGTTCCGGTTTACATCAAATGGGTATTTCCCACACCACAAAGAAGGCCTCTCTCACGTTCCTCGGGCCACCTCATTGTTTTTCAATTCCCAGAAACGCAATTGGTCCCATTCTTGCTCACGATCCAATTTCAAGCTCTCGATGTCCAAGGGTCGACACATGTCTGTGTAGTAGAAGACCGAAGAGTGTCACCAGCACAGATTGTTGACCGTGTCAACATGGCTCGAGTTTGCAGGGGTCGTCGTTGCACAGTTCACAGAGGCACATTTGACATGGGCAGAAGAGTAACATGGGCGACCCCACTCAATGCTGGTGAAGGTGTACTGTTGGTCATACCACCATATGGAGCACGTGCACATGATGACATTTTGTCATTCCCAGGTAGTGTCGAAATCGTTCAGACTGCACCTCCACAGGAAGAAGCCTTTGTGATCTCAATGCGACTTGAAGACCATCAGCCTTTCATCAGGGAGCTGCACAATGTATGGTCCAGACATGCTACCAGAGGTCCAGCGGGAATGGAAAATCTTCTTGAAATTACCACATGGTATCTGGATGCGCAATATGTTCCATACAATGATGCGTCACGACCTGCACTGTTAGGAGATGACTTTTTTGCATGGGAACAACAATTTTACGAGCTCTGGGCCGACCTTGCAGATGCGAGCCTAGATTTCGATTTTGCATTTGTAAATCCCGTGCCAGCGGACAGTCCTCTCAGTTCCGTCCATGTTCTGCTCATGCAGAACTTTCAGGATGACACCATTGGCAGTGTAGTGACGTCCTTTGACAACGGTGCTAGACTGAGTGCTCCCTTCTCAGCTGCAGTTTGTCTCCCAAGGACTCGGAATCGCCAGAACATTGTCAGAGCTATAGGCAGACCCACCATGCACAGTGCGGTACTCACCACTTGGTTTGGTAGTCTTGAAATTCATGATGCCACCAGCTTTGAAGCTACCCATGGCCAAAATTTCAATGTGATCATCTACCGTCCCTTCCTGCCGCAATGGGAATCGGATTCCAGAAGAGGACGAGAATCAGGCCATGTTGCAAACAAATCTACATGCCTTGCCGAAAGTTCAAGCCTGCGATGCATGCACTGAGTCTCTGCCGATCTGGACGCCATTCAAGCAGAATGCCCTCAGAATCCTCACTGAGACTGTAGAAGCAGACCTATTTCCGTCTCATGTTGAGATTTCGGGACCCATTTCGGCATTTGCGGTCCAGCAGGAACTTAGGAATTTCGGTCAGAATGTACAGGCTTTCATCATTGATAACCAAACAGCAGCATTTTGCAGGTCCACAGTGCCACTGTATCATGTCTCGGTAGTTTTTGTGCATCTCGCTGCACCGAACGACCAAAGATACTTCATTGACTCCATGAAGCCTTCTGATGTGAATGACCCAATCTTTCACATGCAAGTTTTGTATCGATTGGGTTTTGAAAAAGCAGTGGTCACGGACTTGCGACGTCATCAGCATGATGTTTTTGAGATTCATTTTCAAGAGCCTGGAGGTCACTTCGATGAACCAATAGCGGCAGTACGGACACAGAAGCCTTGGCCATCACCGCAGCCCTCATTTCAACATCAGCCAATGTTTGTCGATCAATCAGGTGACTCATCTTGCTGCTTGCTTGATTTAGGCATTTGCCCAGAGGATTTGAAAGATCTTTTCATTCATTCGTCATGGCCACTTTGCCAAATCATTGAAGGTATTGACCTCCCGGAGTGCTCCCTGGAAGCATGTGGCCACCTAGTTCCAAACATGGACTTTGATCGCCTCATCATCCACACGGATGGTTCTTCACATTCAGGCAGGTTGCATAGATCAACAGCCTATGTAGAAGAATGCGCAATACCAGATGCATGGGCCTTCCTTGTGTTGGGTGAGAAGTATCAGCCGAACGGGACGTCAAGCCTGACGCTCATTGGTTGGATGGCGCAGCAAGTGCGATATGATGAGGTAAACCCTTTTCATCTTGGTGCCACATCTGTCAACCCGCTGATTGCGGAAAGGGAAGCGTTGACATGGGCGTTTATCTGGAGGATCATGCTCAACAGTACAATCCCTACGACCTTTCGGACAGATTCATTAACATCCAAAGGTCAGGCAGAGGGCACGATCGGCTCTGCCCATTGCGATCTGTCGCTGAAACTCTTGAGAGGTTGCTATCAGCTTCTGGAAACGGCTTTGGGCGCATCTGCGCTACAGATTTCTCATGTGTTTGGGCATCTTGGCGATCCGTGGAACGAATTTGTTGATCATGTGGCAAAAATTGAAGCGGTGTCCAGTTTCTACCTGATGAGACCTTCTTTGGATCTCCACAAATGGAAGCGACTTTTGCCTCACTTATGGCTTCTGTTCGCAACTCAACATGGTGCACCGACATTTTGTGGAAATGGATTTCATGTCCCGCCACCAGATTTGCCAAGCACTGAGACTCTGGCTAGTGAAGATTTTTCAGATCGAACTGCAGGGATTTCTCAGGTGAGCTTTACTCTGAGTTTGGCATCCGCAAATGTTCTTTCGCTTGGAAGACCAGCACAAGGACACATCGGGAAAATTGCATATTTGAGGAAACAGTTTGCTGACCTGCACATCAACTTTCTTGGGCTGCAAGAGACTAGAGCTGACAATGGTGCGTCTCTTGTTGATGGTGTCCTCAGGCTCAGCTCAGGCCATGATAAAGGCACCTTTGGAGTTGAATTGTGGTGTAATCTGCAATGCCCCATAGGTTATGTTGCAAGCAAGCCGATTTTCCTGCAAAAATCCCATTTCAATGTTGCTTATCAAGATTCCAGGCGCCTGCTAGTTCACATTGCCTCGCCACATTTTGCGTTTTGGGTTTTGGTAGCACATGCCCCTCAAAGTGGTAGATCTTGGCAAGAACGACAAGCGTGGTGGCAACGCACACAGACTATCCTGGAAGAGACCATCAGGCAGGATGAACCACTTTTTGTTTGCATTGATGCGAATGCACCTCCAGGCCCCCGTGATGGCAAGAGAGTTTTTGAGAAGGGTTTTGCGTCAGCATCCGGTACTGGCCTTCTGAGGGACTTCATTGAACAGTTTGATTTGTGTGCACCTGCTACGTCTAAAAAGCATGTTGGGGACACTGCCACATGGCACTCCCCAGATGGCCTTTCAGAGCATGTCATTGACTATGTTTTAGTGCCTTCACTGATGTTTGGTGATGTGACCCACTCCCAACTGCTGGAACGCTTCGACCTTGGTAACACTGTTTTGGATCATACCCCGGTAGCGCTTGAGTTGGCTTGGAAAAAGACCTTTCAACTGCCACCAGTGGCATCAATCACAAATGTGCCAAGTTTTGATCGACACAGCATAGCGACAGCTGACCTAAGTGGGCCCCTGTTGCAACACCAAGTCCCTGATTGGTCCACCAGTGTTGATTTGCACTTCACTGCTCTTAGAGATCATTTTCTGCAGTGCCTCTCCACATGTTGCCCCAAGCCTCGGATCAAAGCAAAGAAGCCATATGTCTCCCCGGAGATTTGGACCCTGCGATTGCAGAAATTGAATTGCAGGAAACAGCTCAAGGAACAGAGACGCTTGTTGACCAGGGAATCGCTCGCTAGAGTTTTTGTGGCATGGAGGTCTCGCAACCGATCGACCAGCCTTGTCACAGCAGAGCAAGACTGCAGCCTGATGCTTTCTTTCAACTATGGCACGTCCCTGCGCTGTTTTGCAATCAAGTTGGTGGCACAATTTTTCAGAGTTACCAGAAACCTCAGGGAATGCTTGAAATTTGCCAAACAAAAATTGCTGAATCAAACACTTGACGGGATAGCCCCTGAAACGCCAGCTGGGAAAATCCAACAGACATTGAGACCTTTTCTTGGCCCATCCAACAAATTGCGTCAAGGCTTGCCACCTCTACCCGCAATCAAAGATCAGAATGGAAACTGGTGCCCTCGGTCTGACGACACCGTCAACCGTTGGGCTGATTATTTTGCAAGCATTGAAGGTGGAGTGCGCATTGATGCTCAGACGCAAAGAAATGAATGGGTAGAAAATTCGGAGCAATTTTCAATTACTGATTTTGCGTTTCCAATTGATTCTCTCCCATCACTCTGCGAGCTTGAATTTTCCCTACGACAAATGAAAGCTGGGAAAGCCAGCGGTCCAGATTTTATTCCGTCAGAGCTTTGCAGGCACTTCCCCGGGCCAGTTGCCAAACAGGTCTACACACTCATGATGAAGTCAGTGATTCAAGGGCATGAGCCTTTGGAATTGAAGGGCGGAGTTGCCCTGCCGATTTGGAAAGGAAAGAAGCAGAAAGATGTTTGTAATGCATTCCGCTCCATCTTACTTTCATCGAACATTTGAAAAGCTTTCCACAAAACAATGAGGTCCAAACAATCGCAAGTGTACGAATCGTACTTACAACATCAGCAACTGGGAGGGCGAAAAAAGGTGCCTGTAGTGCTCGGAACGCATCTGACCAAAGCGTTCCTTCGAGCCCACCATAGCCTGAATCATGCCACAGCAATTTTGTTTGTAGATTTGGAAGCTGCATTCTACAGTGTTGTGCGCCCCCTGGCACTTTCGGGTGCTTGGGACGATGAAATCTTGGCTAGCATGGCCGCACGGCTTTGCCTTCCAGCCGACACAGTCCATGCGTTGTACCAACATTTGCAGCAACCTGGTGCAACAGAGTCGGCAGGTATGAGCAGCCAAGATCAAAGAGCTTTGAGAGCGGTGCACACAGACACCTTTTTCAGGGTCCCCGCGCAGACAGATGCAGTGAAGACGCACCTGGGCACGAGACCAGGTGACGCCTATGCTGACATAGTTTTTGGATTTTTGATGGCTCGGGTGCTCCATGCCTTTCAAAATCGACTTAGTCAGCATGATGTCCTTTCAGTTGTACCAGATGTTCAGACGCCTGCCTTTTTTGGCCGATCTTGCCCTGCAGGCCCAGAGGCAATGAAGTTCATCGGGCCTGTTTGGATGGATGACCTAGCGGTTTGCCTCTGGGGAAATTCCACAGATGCAGTTGCAGCCAAGGTAGGAGTCGCCACGGGAGTGCTTTTGGATCTGTTTCGTGAACATGCCATGAGCCCCAATTTAGCTCGTGGCAAAACAGAATTAATGATCACACCCAAAGGCCCCAAATCCAATGCGTGGCGCAAAAGGCTCTACGGACCATTGGCCACAGGTTTCTTTCCCATCATTGGGGAAGTTGAAACTTACCAAGTGCCAATTGTGTCCAGCTATCTTCACTTGGGCAGCTTGATTCATCATTCTGGCTCCACCAAGCAAGAAGCCAAGAGACGCATCGCCATAGCCAACGCCGGTTTCAATCGCTACAGAAAAGTTGTATTCCAAAACCCACGCATTGAATTGACCAAGCGCAAGGAAATCTTCAACAGCCTTGTCATGAGCAAACTGACTTATGCATTGGAGACATGGACCATCACAGACTGGAAGACCAAGGAATATTTGCACGCAGCGATCCTTAGGCTCTACCGGCGGATCCTGAAAGCCGGTCCTGATGCACACTTGTCAGATGATCATTTGCTGACGGCTCTTGAATTGCCTTCACCTACGGAAGTTCTCAGACAAGCACGCCTGCGCTATGTTGCGGGTCTACTCCAAGTGGGAGGTTCAGCTTGCTGGGGACTCCTGAATCAAGACACGGCTTGGATCAATTTAGTTCAAGACGACCTTCGATGGGTATGGTATCAACTTGAGAATGCGAGTGACTTGGGCGATCCATGTGTCCATATTGAACGTTGGCTGGAAATCATGCAATTTCACAGACAGTATTGGAAAAGACTGGTACGCAGAGCTTGTCGTCATGCTGTCTTGCAAAGAAAGAAACATTTCCGATGCCAACAATTTCACACTGAAATGAAGCAACTACTGGTTGATCATGGTCATTGGACTTCGCCGGACAGCCAAGATTATTGCTTTCACCAAGCCAAGGAAGAGCAGGCATTTGGTTGTATGACATGCAAGCGCAGCTTCTTGTCGCTTGGTGGTGAAGGAGCACACATGTTTCGCACACATCAGGTTGTGAACGCAGTGCGTTACCTGTTCAACACCACGCAATGTGGAGGGTGCCTCAAAGAATACTTCACACATGGAAAGATGAAGATGCACCTTTTGCGCTCAGCGACATGTCGTGCGTATTTGCTTTCTCATGATGTCAGATACCAGCCAGCCCCAGGCTTAGGATCCAGTGAAGATCAAGAGAGGCACTTGCGCCTTGACAATCGCCTCCCGCCATTGCAAGCACTGGGACCTCGTAGGCCACGCCCACGTGACAGAGATTTGAACCTTGTTCACTGGGCCCTGCATGATTCCATTGTCGAAGCCGCTTTTGCTCTCACAGACGAAATTGACTTTGAACCCACAGTGCGAAGTCTGATCGAGGAGACGCCCATATCCTGGACACGTTGTGTCGTGACCCTGCAGGAGTTGCGCACCACCATGGACACTGAAACAGAACCTTTGGGAGTGGTTTCATTGACTCATGCGAACAAATGTCTAGGCAAACTTTGTCAAGGTGAGTAATGGCCTTTCCTACACACACGTGGTCCTTCAAGCAAGAGAGGGAGCACAACAACCGGAGATTTGGAAGAGCAGTTCCAATCCCTGACAACGCCGCAGGACTTGCCAGTCTTGAAAGTACAACGTTGCCTCGGGAAACACAAGATCGTCCTGCACGCTTTCAGTGGTCGCCGTAGATTAGGTGACATACAATTTTTCATGGAGGAGCTTCAGAAGCCGATTGCAGATGGAACGCTGCTCCATGTAGTGTCACTTGATCTCATGACAGATCCTGTTTGGGGAGACGCAACCAGACAGGACACGAAAGACTTTTGGCGCAATGCAGCAGATGCTGGTCTTGTCCACGGCCTATTGGCTGGACCCCCGTGCGAGTCGTGGTCACAAGCCAGATTTGCTCAGATGGGAGAGAAGACAGGCCCTAGACCAATCAGGTCAGCGGAGGCCCTATGGGGCATGGAATCATTGAATCTTCGCGAGCTGGCCCAGATTCTGGTGGGGAATGACCTCCTTTTCTTTGCGCTTGATCTCCTATTGAGACTCTACTTCTCTCAAGGTTTTGGAGTCATTGAACATCCTGATGAACCAGAAGAAGACTACAAGCCTTCGATCTGGAAGCTACCAATTTTGACCATTTTCCGCTTACTTCCTGGTTTTGAGGAGCTGAGATTTGCACAAGGCTTACTGGGGGCCAGCAGTCCTAAGCCGACGAGACTGCTAGCCCTAAATTTGCCATGTTTGCAGAGAACTTTGCGTGCCCACCATATCACCAAAGACCTTCCTCGGAGATCCTCAATAGGAAAACAAAACGGAGTGTGGTCCACTGGGTTTCTAAAAGAATACCCACCCGCAATGAGCCGAGCTCTTGCGATGGAATTCATGGCCTGGTTTGATCGCCAATGCGTTGACATGCAGCAGTGCGACAACCAGGAATTTCTCGCCCGATGCAAGCTGATGTCAGCCACGGCACTCGCAGCACAGATTGGGCGTGATTACACCTCAAAGTAGGTGGTCACCGGAATTCAGTGACAGCCGCGTCGTTGAGACTCAATGGGCTTGAAAAATATATATATACACTATATATATACTATATATATACACTATATATATACACACTATATATATATACACACTATATATATATACACACTATATATATATACACACACTATATATATACACACTATAGATAAATAAATAAATAAATAAATAGATATATATACATATATATATACTATAAATAAATAAATACACACACATATATATATAAACTGTAAATATACTTTCAATATACTATAAATAAATATATATATATATGTATATATATACACAATGAATAACAAAAACATATGTATACTACATATATATATACTATAATAACTAAATATACATATATATATAGGTACACTATAAATAATATATATATATATGTATACTGTATATACCATATATATATACACACTATATACATATACTATAAGCATCTATATACTAAAAAAATATAGACTATGAACAGTATATGTATATATATATATACATACTATAAATATATGTTAATATATATATATACAAGACTGTACAAGGGCTTATCCTATTCACAATGATCACAATGTAACCACCATTCTTTTATTTTGGGGCAAATCATGCTGATAGATTTTGGTATCCATGTATAATGTGGTAAGCCCATCACAAACCATACCCCTACAGTAAGACTTTCCGATTTCTTGGCGTTTGCCTCAAAAAGTGGGATGCGCCAACTTCCATGAACCAAAGATGGTTGCACGGCTAGTTGATTACATACGCTCATTTGTTGTGTTATATTTGATGAATTTGGAACCCCTCTCTGTTTGGTTGTATCCCATTTCTTTCAAATCTACACTCTTGATTAGAAGCCAGTTACTTGTTGGTGTCATCACATATACGCAGTTCATTTTTTCATCAACGTCCTTTCTCCCCTTCTTTGGCTGCCCATCATCGCCTGTTTCTTTTGATTATCCCTTTGCTGGGGATGTTAACACTGTTTAACCCTCCCACCCGAGGAAAAGTACGGACCCTGTACATACATTCTATCTCCATTTCGTATTTGGATTGGTGTAAACCCATCAAAAGCCAACATGTTGTATATATATATATTATATATACATATATATATAATATCCGGTAGTTTTAGCCAACGAAAAATAGTTGGTACTGGTTTGCAATGGTTTGGATATTTCGATCATGATTCATATACAATGTTGTTCCTCTGCATAAACTATTTTTAGCTGGTATTCTCTCTATTCGGTAGTTGGATAGTGGCTGTATGCCCAGTTGGTCGGTGCCCCTAGTGCCAAGTTGGTTAACACATGTTAACACCCCCATCTAATACAGAAAATCATCATCATAAACATCCCCATCTAACTCTACTTACAATATGTTATAATCATTTAATATTCATCATAAACCCAAGTTGAATATGAGTTATAAAAGCATATAAAAGCAAGTTAGCAAAGTTGAGCCTTCCGCCCCTTCCGTTAGGAGTCGATTTATGGGGTGATCCACGTGGTCTTTCTGGCGGTGATTCCCATCTGCTACGTCTCCGTGTCCTGGGCCGGCGTGGTGCTCTTTGGTGCGGACACGCCGGAGGCAGCGGAAAATCACCATTTTTCATGGGAAAATCCACTATAAATGGCAATTTTCAATAGCTATGTTAAATTACCAGAGGGTACCCTCTGGTAAACATACAAAAAGCGATGGAAAGATCCACCATGTTTCTTGGGAAAACTCACTACAGTACTATTTCGACTGTGCCATTTTCAATAGCTATGTAAACGTTTACCAGAGGGTAACAAACTCAAGGATTTTGCCAATGACATTAAAGTATGCCAGCAAACATACATATAGCCATTGCAATTCTTCAGCTATGGAAACTTCAAATGGGCCACTGCGGGATCCGAGAGTAGTGCCAAATTGATGGCGGCTGCGACGGTTTGCTTCTATGATGTAGCCATAAGAAGAAATGATTCGATGCTTTGCGACAAATCGCACTGTCTCCCAACTACTGTATCTCAAAATTTGTTGCTGAAAATTATTGCACGCGGTACAATTACATGCAATTAGAGCCACAGACACAGACACAGACACAGACACAGACACAGACACACACACACACGTGAAAACATACTCCGGACCCACACTTGATGGTGACATCCAGCCGATTTTTAGTGTGATTTGCTGGGACTTAGAATATGTTGAACCATGTTGAACCTAGATTCGACATCAACAGGTCCCCGAAGCATAGTGGAAGTGTGCCCCTGTAAACTTCCATGGAACCCAATCCCTAGGAAAATCATCGGCTCAACCGTCACTTGCGGCAGTAAGATTCGATCACTTGCGGCAGTAAGATTTCAATCACTTGCGGCAGTAAGAATCAATCACTTGCAGCAGTAAGACTCTTGTAAGACTCTTCAAAACCAATCACTTGCGGCAGTAAGATTCTTGAAAGTTCTTACTGCCACAAGCGATTGGTTTTGCTTACCGCCACAAGCGAGGTAGGAGCCTGACGGTGGGGTGGGGTGGGGTGGGGTGATAACGTTCATGTTCCTGTACACACACAGGCACGGCAACAGGCACTGCTCTTTCATCATCAGTTACTGCTGGGGTGGGGTGGGGTGGGATAATAACGTTCATGTTCCTGTACACACACAGAGACACAAAAACTCATCATCTTTCTTGCTGTCCTGCAGACACAGGCACAGCTCTTTCATCATCAGTTACTGGTGGGGTGGGGTGGGGTGGGATAATAACGTTCATGTTCCTGTACACACACAGGCACGGCAACCTCACTAAGGAAAGCACTGCTGTCTGAACCGTAGCCGAAACCCAGCTGGAAAGTTGTGAGGATTAACAAAAACAGAGGATGGATGAGAACCCATTGCTGACAATCCAAATTATCAAGCACAACGGCTTCCACAAATCCATTCATCAGATTCTTGCACCACGGGCAGTGCCACACGTAACAAACGAGGACAATGTATTAGCAAGAGACCCCAAACAGTTTGGGGCAAGTACAAAAAGTACTAGAGTGTAGATGAAAATGATGAAGATGATGATGTGATGATGATGATGATGATGATGACGACGATGATGACGACGACGATGATGATGATGATGATGATGAAGATGATGACGGCAAAGAGGAGGAGGGAGGAGGATGAGAATGATGATGATGATGATGATAATGATGATGAGGAGGCTGATGATGATGATGATGATGTTGATGATGATGATGTTGAGGAGGAAGATGATGATGATGATGACGATGATGATGGTGAGGAGGAGAAAGTTAATGATTATGTGCTAGGTATGTAAGTAAAGTTTCCACCCTAAGCCCTGAACCTTTCCATGGAACTGCACGCTCGCTTAACAGCTACAAATCTAGTCGCGGTCGCGCCGTTCTATGTATATCCTAACGTGAGGCTATCGCCACGGTATTTATAACCACTATATCAGCCGTCGCGTTATATACCATTATATATACCCAACTGCAAAACGAAAAGACATGAAAAACACAGCAGAGCTGAAATTCCACCTGGATAAAAGTCGGTCTTTCTTTTTCTCCTTTCATTCATTCTCTCTGGGTTAGATTCACACCAAATGCTATCAAAAGCCATATGTTTTACCTATGGTAACCGAGTCGAATATGTAGCACCCTAAAAAGTTGCTCCAACCCTCTTTGTTAGATCCCCTTAAAAGGATACAGACATGATCTAAACTTCAATCAAGACACCAGTAAAAACAGTGAAATCCTGTACAACAGAAAGAAGTTAACATAAACCTTCTGTACGTCAGCGTTGCAATGGTTCCAGTGAATGTGTAGAAATCACATGGATAGAAGACAAGTATGTGCGCAAGTGCTGCAAAGCAGCTTACTGCCACAAGCGATTGGTTTTATATACCCTGGCATCAAGGACACCCACTTACCGCCACAAGCGATAGATTTTTTACCGCCACAAGCGATTGAAAACAGAAACCGCGATCTTACCGCCACAAGCGATTAGGCCTTGAAATGCTGCACCTGCCACGCAAAAACAGCAATCACCTGCGGCAATAAAAAAATCACTTGCGGCAGTAAAAAATGAACGTTCTTACTGCCACAAGCGATTGGGGCATCTTACCGCCAGAAGCGAAGTACGAACCAAATCATCTAATCCTCACCCTTTTCTTTGGGGGATTTCATGCCAGGATATTTTGGTGGAATTCCAGGGAGACTATGTCATGGAGGCTGGGGAGGTCAGTTGAATTGGTCCAAATTTCAGGCACAGAAATTCATGGCAGAATTTGATACATTTTGATACCATGAGTTTGAAACATTTTTTTTTTGCACTCAATTTTGACCCTTGTGTACAATTAAAAGATATTAAAAGTGATTGGCATGGCCAAGGAATTTCATCTATAGTTTTTGCATTCCATCATTTCCACAGAGTTCCAGGAGATTCCAGCATAACCAAAGTCAAGTCAGACGTGCCATTAGGATATGGAGGTTTCCATAAATGGGGATACCCCAATAGCTGGCTGGTTTCATGGAACATCCTATCAAAATGGATGATAACTGGGGTTTTCCCATTTTGGGAAACATCCATATGGGTCAAAGTCTGCAACCCAAGCTGGGACGTTTCCTAAGCCTGGCCAAAAATTATAGATCCCAATGGGTGCACCAACATGGACGGAAAAAGGGCCTGGCTGTGGTGATTTGTTCGATCTAAGAACCTTGCATTTTTGAACTTATACACTAAGCATTCGATTCATTATTAGTCTATTTACTTTTGTTCACTGATCAACAGTTGTTCTAGTTCAGCATAATCAGCATAGAACCCCCCAAAAAGATTGAACACACACACATACGTACATATATATACACATTATATATATATATACTAATTATAATTATAATTATATATATATGTACAACCTCACTAACATGGGAACTGTCCTGTTCCATCTTTTTGATGCCTGACACTTGTTTAAACAGCGCTTCAAGTTCCGAATCTTCCGGAGCCTGCCAGGTGGCTCGAGGGATCCTGAGCTTCACCAACGCGCTGCGGATGCCGTTGATTTTGATGCCCCTCCACACCTTAGAGCCTCAGCTGAGCCACTGCTTTTGGGGTCAAATCATGCATGCCTGGATGGGGGGAATCAGTATATATATACACACATAATATCATAATATATATTATATTATATTATGTTATTATATTATATTATATTATATTAGGTTATGTTATGTTATGTTATGCTATGTTATGTTATGTTATGTTATGTTATATTATATTATATATTATATTATATATATAAATACAGGTTACCTGAAAGAAGTGATTATTTGCTATATTTTGCTACTCAAATGCCCGCAACTGAACAGCCAAGGGAGTTGTTCATCTCGGGGTGACAATCGAGGGACGATCGCAGGCTGGATAAGCAGAATCCCAAAGAATCAGCTCCTGCCTAGTCGAACCTATTGATGGTTCCTTTGAGGCGTGTGTTTTTCAAGGAGCCCAGCCCCAAATTGTGTTCAGAGGGAAAACCATTCTTTTGGCCGGTCCCAAATTTTTGGGAAACACTTTTGTGAGTTGCGAATTTTTCGCTGTCAGGCTCAAAATTGGAGAGCCCCAACTCAGAGATTTGGGACATTTCTAGCATCTTCCATCTTTACAAATGGCATATCCCCCGCATTGCTTGCTATTCCAAGTTTTGTCTACGAAGTTCTTCACCCTCAAAAAGGGTCCCCAAAGATGCCTTGAAATATGCTATGTCTCCACATTTACAACCCCAAAACATTGGATGCTTTGACAAATTTATAAGTTTGACACTAGAAACAAGAAATCTTTTGTGCCCCCAATGGCTTGACCCTTCGTCAACCTCAGGTCTGCGATACCTTGCACATGCTTACCGTGTCTCAGGGCGCTGGAGCCGCTGGAGCCGCTGGAGCCGCTGGAGCCGCTGGGGCCGCTGGAGCTGCTGGTGAGTCCAGCGCCCTGAACGCCTGGCGCCTGTTCCTGGGGATGCCTATGTTGCTGTTGTCCTCAGCGGGCTTGGCCCAGTGGCTCAGTACCCTCTCCAGCCACTGGGATGACGAAGAGCTGCGTTGCTTTCCATGAACACCTGGGACAGCAGCGCAATTCAGTGATAAACACATGGGACATATGCTGTGATCTCAACATATCCCAACCTTGCACGCCGTTCAGATTCAGGCTGGAAAAGAGCTGATTTGCAGGACACCCTTTCACGCACTGTGTCATTCTCAACTTTGATCATGAACTGGTTGGTTGGTTGTTTCAAATATGTTTGTTTGTGTCACTTCTAATCCCTTAGCTGGGATCAAGCACAATTTGATTTCAATATTCTGACTGCTGCGTGGCTCAACCACGGAACAGTTCTTTGGACAGATTGAAAGCATGGTTTACCCCAACCATTCATGGGTCAAATGAAGGTATATTTACCAACATTCACCCCAAACATGCCGCACATGTAGCTAACTTTACCAACTTCTACTGTAGCCCAGACATGGTTCAATGGAGTCGTTTAGTTGGGAAACATTAGACACGGAAACCATGGTAAAACTTATCACCAATTATAAGGGTTTCCGGTAAAACGATGTTCCCAATTTCACCGATCCCCCATGGCTTCAAGGCATCCTGGGACTGCTGGGTGGCACTTGTGGAGTAATTGGATGCTTCTGCGCCTGGGTGTTGGGGCAGGTTGACTGGGACAGTCTTCGGACGGTCGGCTGGGGGCTTCTGGGTTCCGTTGAATCCAGTGGTAACTGAGCCAGTCGGAGCTACTAAGAGTTTCCCAAGCACATGGATATGTTTCATGGAGATGTCATGGGGATACACCATATATTTCCATATGATCATCTAATGTTGGGGATACAACATATATTTCGTAGTACTGGTACCAGCCATTGTTCACCTTACGACGTCACCTAACATTGGACGAGACGGGACTGGACTCAGGTTTTCGTGAATCACGTGTAGCTGGAGGTGGCCCGAAAAAAAAATTGGGTCGCCCAATATGTAGCTGGATGGCTTATTTCATGGAAAATCCTGTGAAAATGGATGATAACTGGGGGTTTTCCCATTTTTGGAAATCTGCATATCCAAAATGGGAGGGCACTCCATTTTCGAACCGAGCTTGCCTGATCCCATTTAAAGCCGTTGGGGTTTCAAGCAATCAAAATGGGGATGGAACCGAAAAGATGGGGGGCCACCTTACCAGAATACAATGGGGATATAACCCACTGTAAAGGTTTTAACTTGACAACTAAGATATATTGGGATATAATTTATAATAATTTATATAATGGTTCAATGCATAGAATCCCGTTCCCATAAAAGCATCAAGCACTTGGTTTGACCGACACACATTGGGGTAAAGGGTCTCTGATTAAAAGTTGATTCGAGGGGGCAGGCGTTTGCAGTAGCTATACATGTGATCAAGCAGGAAGTGGTAAACCCTATTTTACACCGAACTGTTAAGGGGCACTGGATCTAATTAATTCGACAAGTGGGACTGGGACTTGGATTTAGTGCTTGTGATTTTTCGCCGGCCCCTTAGATCTTTTTACCCCCAAGGGACATCATCATTTAGTATATTAGAGTAGAGTTCCGGAGTTCCCCAAAAAACCTGGTGGTTTCCGTCGTGTCCATGCCTTGGTTTTGAGGTGTGCCGGGTGCAATGTATCTGCGGGTGCCTTGGAATATCTTGGAAGCACACGGAGGGGGTGGTCCCCCAGTTGATCATCCTCTCCAAGCCATGCGATTCTGTCAAGATGGAATCATACATTGCAGTGGCTATGTAAAGTTCGTACAACATACAAAATCCCATCCTCAATATATAAAACACCCCCATTCTTTGGTCCCAAACACGTGTTTACAACCCCCAAGGTGTTTCATATGAACGGGGAAAGGGAGAACTAACTAAATTCAGCCATTTGAGTAAGCGATTTTGGGCCACAGCCAGACCTCTGAACTCTGAACTCAGAAAGTCAGGATTCATGATAGATCATTCAGGTTCGATCCTTATCATCTTAAGCTGGTGACCTGGATACATACTTACATGTGTATATATATATATACATGAATCACATGAATCTAATATATACGTATATATACCGTATATATATACAGATATGCACAACATATGTATATATATATACATACTGTGTACTATGTAAAAACACTGTGTACATCTGTGTACCGTATATTATATGAATACACATATATATATATAAATAATAAATATTGTCCCTTTTGGTGGAGAAACCTCAAGATTGTTCGATGAGCTCAGGTGTGGTACACCAAGGAAGGTAAGACCACTTCGGATTGTGCAATTGGTGCTATCTTCGCCATCATCATTGGCTTCGCAGTGGTTATCTCCTGCTGCCTTTCCTGGTTCCACTGAGCGCATAACCGCTGGAGCACATTTTCCGTGAAGGGACATGTTTTCAAGCGGAGAAATTGGAATGCATGGGATAGTGAATGTTATGTACTTAGTGTCGTTAAGCGTCAAACTTGAATTTATTAGTTAGTATATATATAGTATATTCAAGGTAGTTAAGGGTAAAACCCAATGGCATCGTGTGGAATGTTCTTTTGGAACCCAGTGATGCACACGAGGTGGTGATCAAAATGACGTGTCCCAACAAATTGGATGAGTATTGGACATGAGCAATTTCCGGTCCCCAAATTTGAGCAATAGCATGCAATGGCCATGATTTTTTCCCTGCCTCACCCAGATCCGGACGCAATAGGCTGATAGGGTTCGAGGCATTTAGGCCCCTTTTCTGTGGGGATTTTCTGTGCTTCCGAAGGAAGGAGAAGAAGATCTGTCCGTGCTGTGGCAGTAATACGGCACGACGTCCCATTGAGATTGGGATGATGAAATCAGATGTCTCCCACTGATTGGGTGATTCATAGATGGTTCCCCCTGTTCAACAGCCTTATTATAGGTCGATGATAAGAATCACTACATGTATAAACCAAAGGGGCCCATCTATTCTTCCAAAGAGAACAATATTGGATGATTTCCCCATGAATTCGGGAGAGATGATTTTCCCAGTATATCAGGATATGTCTTTTTTCAAACATGTGGGACTTAACCTACCAATCATGTCCAAAGATGAGGATATTGGGATGCGTCAAGATGTCTACAACGAGCTGCTGTGTCACCTAGGACACCTCACCAGGCTTTTACCCACCTGGGCTTTGTTACATAAACTGTTTAAAAACTGCTTCGTGGGTGCTTCTTGGGTCAGCATTTGGGTGGATTTACAGCTGCAAGCTGGTTGATGAACAATCCCCATGAAACATCCTGTTCATCTTGTATCTCTGGATTGTCTGAGATTTCCATTCATACACCTCTAGTTTTGTTGATCACATCCTTAATATCGATGGTCCTATTCCCATTCCTGTGAAATCATGTAGGCTGTAGAATTCCCATTCTTGTGATCAACATTTCTAGTGATTCTAGTGGCTATACCTCCATCCGCTGGATATCAGGGTGCCGGGGGTGCCGTGGCCACTGCACGTATGTTGATGGAAGGGGCAGCTAGTTTCCTCCGAAGCATCTCCGAGTTCAACGAAAAGCTGTGAGCTGGGACCGGGTGCAAGGGCTTTCCGGGTACAGGCAGCAGGGCCTCCAAAATATACCAAATTCCTGGAGTTTTGGCTAGGATCTATCACCCTGCTTTTGTTTAAGCATTCTGCAAGCGTTTTACCCCAGAATTCAACCGCTTATTTGGCTGTTCATACTTCGTAGGAATCAGACTAGATCCCTATGGCTTTGACCAGCGCATCCAGGGTTACCTGCTTAGCACCAGCAACTCTACCTACTACATATGTATGAAGATTAATCATTGAAACAAGTAGGTAGCAACTGGTCTACATCCCAAAATGTTGTTTGAGGTTGTGACCTGCAAAGAACAACGACACCACCAGCTTGAATGATCAATATCATCATCCATCAACAGTGAGCCAGCGAGGGTCATCCTACGCATGGTCATCCAAGGGTGGACACTGGCAACGCTACATGTTTGGCTTCAGTTCTAGCTGTGCCCCAGCGGGGCGGCGAAGTCGCACCCATGGACCGGCTACCGGCAGAGGCATCGAACTTATTGTTGGGGCAGCTGGTGGGTTTTACCCGCCCCAAAAACACCTACCATCCCCCGGAAAAACGGCCCAGCCAGACTACCGCTTCCCTGCCAGACTCGCGCTTGGTTGGCGAGTACCGCGGTGAGCTTGTCATTTTGGCTGGGAGGGGTTTCTTTAGTGGCCATCAAATGCCTGGAGACTCAGGAAATCTCCGGTATTTTGGGGCTGTCAGGAGTTTTTGCAGCTTTTTGGTCGGTGATAGTGGATATTAGATGATATTAGGGTCAAAATTCTGCATTTTTACATTAAGGTATTCCATGATTCCATACGCGGCTACTCACTATTCACCCAATACCCATTTCACATACCCACGTCTCCATTTTTTTCTGGTGATCTGGTATCACATTTCGGAAATGTAACCACACCAACACGAGTGGTTTCAGACTCTCAGAACCCCCAACAATGGGTGGTGGCGATGATATAATAAGTCATCAGCAATTTTTTAAGTATATATATATAATTATATAAGTTAATCTGCCCTTCATGAGACCTCATTGGGTTCTAGTACTCCTGCCCTCAGTCTTATTGGTTTCCATCCCCACGTTTCTTGCTGGCGATATCTTATGACATCCTGATGTAGACTAGTCCTGTATGACGTTAACCATTGCACATGTGTGGATGAGTAATAACCTATGATATCATCGGGATAAACATCCAATTCACCATCTATTTTGATGTTCACCAGAGTACCAGGGTTTGGAACCATACCCATCGTTAGCCATAGCTACGGGTTAGATCACATATCTCTGCAATTTGATGTCATTACAATTTCTGTCATCCAGGAGATGTGCCATTCGTCTCCACAGCTGACATTCATCTCCATGCTGATGGATCATCCAGAAACCCCAAGTGATGATTCTTGCTGGGTAAACCTTGGTTTCACATTTAGCAATGGAGCCCCCCTTCGCCATGCTGAAAAAAAAACATGTTCCCCACGATGTTTGAAAAGGGCTTGTACTGCCCTTTTCGTTAAAAAACGGATGTGTCCGTAGCCTTATGGGTAGAATCAACATTATGGTTGATAAGATCCTCATGTTTGCTGGTTCTGCTGCTGATTTCATCCTCGTTTTGGTGGTTGTCACCGAAGCTGTTCGTGGATTGAATTGTCACCGTTGGTTGATTCATATACTAAGCCGCACACACCCCATATCATCCTACATACATCTTCCAGTTCAGACCCTCCCAACAAGTCTTGCTGTTTGGATACTAAGGGTGTATCCATATATATATATATATCCACATGGTTTATGGTTTATATGGTATATTAATATTATGGTTTATATATATATATATTAATATATATATATATACACATAAGTATATATATATATATGAGGAATATCATATCTACATGGTATATCTATATTATCTATGACATATATTTCACTATATTTCTATATTCTTTGCTGGGTTTGCTAAGAACATATAATGCTTCGATTTCGAAAAGATCACTCATATATAGTTATCATATATATATATGGTTTGTATTTCATCACATATCATCCTTATATATATAAATACCTGGCAAGAAGATGATGCACTTATCTAACATATTTAATGTTTGCTAAGTTTTCGAAAAAACAAAACATATTATATATCGATAAGCACCATGTCTGTGTCGATTTGGAACAAATCCCAGGCTTGGCGTATTTCATCTCAGGAAGCGAGCTCATCAAGGTGCCGCGAAAAAAAACCACACCTGTGCAGCAATTTGGGTATGGATCAATACCTATTAATACCATTTTTAATGGGATGAACATCCATTTACCAGCTATTTTGATGTGAACTACAGGGGTACAAGGTTTTGACACACTGCCATTTATCCAAAAATCCAGATCCATTTGATTGTTGATTCTAGGGGTAAAGACGAATTGAATCTCCATGAAATTTCTTTGGAGATCGTTTTCTTGATGTTCGAGAACAATGCAACTGGATGTGAACACTAACATAAGAAGTTTGTTCGAAGCAAAGCTGAGCACAAAAAGAGGCAACAAATCGATCACGGCGACGATACGATGCGGAACAAATGGGACGATGCGGAACATGATGCGGAGTCAGCCCACTTTGCGGTATCCCATGGCAACGGAAATTCACCACTTTTTTGGTCGTTGGAAATCCCCTGTTTCCACTTGAACTCCATATTTGTTGGTTGCCTTGTAGCATTTTTTGTTCAATCCATGTGTTGAGTAAAGAAAATAAACCCTTCAATTCATCTAAGATGATTGGTTATATATATATATATATGTATATACATACATATTACACTTTATACATCCCATTGATGGATTAAAGCATTTGTACAATCACGGATTCTTCATAGATGGGATTATATATATTTATATGTGGATATATATATATATATGATGTATATCCATGTATATCCCATATATTATGGATACATGATGTATATCCCATATATTATGGATTGTATTTTATTTTATTTCGGATACATCCTCTGATATATCCTCTGACATATCCTCCCATATATTGAGATATTGTGGATATACGAGTGATGCATATGCCCCAAACCCTCTGGCTATTTAACATAGCTATGGAAACTGACCCATAGATGAATTATGATGATTTACCGTGATTTTCCTATTAAAACATGTGATTTTCCATAGCTATGTTCAATAACCAGAGGGTATCTCTGATATCTACACCTTTGACCACTCCAATTTGTTATAAATATCCAATTTGTTCTACTTAAATATCAAATTTGTTATATATACCTATATATATATGTAAATTGTTATATATATGAATATCCAATTTAAAATGGATGATTTGTTTCACTTCTTTTGTTAAAACCCCCCCAATAAATCCCAGGATCTCCCTGTCCCAGGCCTCGATCTTTGAATCCTTGGGCGATGTGATGAGTTCTGCCATCCTGGCCGTGACCCAGCCACTTGGCGCAAAAGCGATGACTAACGACTAACGACACGAGTTGCTACGTAAACGAACTCCTACCCAGAATTGGGAATATCATGGAATATCTCTACAATACTGGTAAATACTGGTAAATACTGGTAAATACTGGTAAATACTGGTAAATACTGGTAAATACTGGTAAATACTGGTAAATACTGGTTAATGCCTTTGGTGAATACTGGTAAATACCTGACATGAAACGGAAACTATAAGAACGAGAGATTTTAATCCTACGTTTTTTGGGTTGAACACGGACCAAGTGGGATGAATAACTGGGGCATCCCAAAATTGAGCTGATCTTCTCAGGTTGTTTTTTCTCTGGTTGCTGAAGACATTTTTTTGTTTCTCCTTATTAGGGATGAACACACATTTGAATTTGTCTCTCCGGTTGATATGTAAAATGAAGAACCCAGCATTTGGGTTTGTCTCGAGCCATGGCACCTCTAAAAAGCATGGGAATGAGGTTCCAAATTTTCAGGCAACCCTATTTCAAGGTCATAGGGCTTGAATCTTTATGTATGAACATGTATGTATTTAACAGCATGTTTAGTAGGAACCAGTGGGTCGTTTTTCTGGAAGTTTGTGCCAAGCGACTACTCCAGTGGGCATCCAATTGGAGAATCCCATGATGGATCATGATGGTGTCATGATAGGTCATAGTGGATGGTGTTTCTAGAAGCTTATGAAATCCTGACCTATGACAAAAAACCTGGTTGATCCTATGCTTTTTATGTTTCTTAAAAAATGGTCCTATGGTCTTGAATTCCCCCAAACAACCGGCGATGTCGTGATCCATAGCGGGATGGTAGAGACATCGATTCCCACGCCATGGATCACAAGCCTGGTACCCTGCGGTTCACATGAAAATAGCTAGCTCGATTCAGCTTGATAGCTGGTGTTTATGGATGGATGCTCATTTTCCAGAAAACGCTGGAATTTATAGATAACTCAAAGGTAACTCATACCCATCCCCGACATCACACCATGGCTCCCGAGGATGAAGGTGCGAGATGATCGGGACATACACCTCTACCCTCGTGGGAAGGGGCGCTTCACGCAAGACCCCGAGTTTTTCACTGGCGACAGGGCAGTGGGGCAATGGGTGAGGGTGGGAGGGGAAAGCCAGATGGCCATGAAGCAGTTCTACGCTACTGGAGAATTATCTATCACAGTATATAGATTAGAGATAGATAGATAGATAGATAGATTAGATTAGATTAGATTAGATTAGATTAGATTAGATTAGATAGATTAGATAGATTAGATAGATTAGATAGATTAGATAGATTAGATAGATTAGATAGAGCTTAGATAGATTAGATAGATTAGATAGATTAGATAGATTAGATAGATTAGATAGATTAGATAGATTAGATAGATTAGATAGATTAGATAGATTAGATAGATTAGATAGATTAGATAGATTAGATAGATTAGATAGATTAGATAGATTAGATAGATTAGAAGATTAGATAGATTAGATAGATTAGATAGATTAGATAGATTAGATAGATGAGATAGATGAGATAGATGAGATAGATGAGATAGATGAGATAGATGAGATAGATGAGATAGATGAGATAGATGAGATAGATTAGATAGATTAGATAGATTAGATAGATTAGATAGATTAGATAGATTAGATAGATTAGATCGATTAGATAGATTAGATAGATAAAATAGATTAGATAGATTAGATAGATTAGATAGATTAGATAGATTAGATAGATTAGATAGATTAGATAGATTAGATAGATTAGATAGATTAGATAGATTAGATAGATTAGATAGATTAGATAGATTAGATAGATTAGATAGATTAGAGAGATTAGAGAGATTAGAGAGATTAGAGAGATTAGAGAGATTAGATAGATTAGATAGATTAGATAGATTAGATAGATTAGAGAGATTAGAGAGATTAGATAGATTAGATAGATTAGAGAGAT